TAAGAAATGTTGGGAGTGGGAAACCACGACTTTATAATCCCCAGCCGTCACACACAAGGACGGATATGTCACTGGAGCCAGTCCACTGATTATCATCAGGATAGGACCTCGGCTAATCGACTTGGGGCGCCGACGCCGCTCAAGCGGTACAAAGGCGTAAGAAGAAGAAAGTGATTCATAATGCCTTCCTGTTTATGGAATACTTATCTAATTTTTTCCGCCATACTTTTTTTTTCAAAGTTTCACAAGCCTTTTCATTTAATTTTCGGAATGCGGAACCCAAAATCTCAAGAACTTCCTTCTACAGTATCTTCACCTCTTGTTTACAATTTTCCGGTGCAAATCCAGCACAAATCGGATCAAGCACTTAAGCAAAGCCAAATTGGGCAACACATAACGAGCTTTTTTCGCCTTCTTCTTGAGAAGGAAAAAAGGCGAAACACGGAAGCTTATGGTATCTGCACGCGTGAATGGAATTATCTCACTTCCTCATAAGGCTCTCTGGTTTTCTCACTTAGTTTTTAGTCTTTCAGAAGGCGTTCATAACGGAGATGTTTCTTCAATTAATTGCCCTACAAAAAGAGCGATGGGAATGCCATCTGCGTCGAGGAATGTTCTCTGTTTCTCGGGGGTTTTTTTTAGAGAGCTTCCAAGTTGGGATAAGTTACTTTATTTCTTCATAGTTAGTTAAAAATTTCAAAAAAAAAGAAAGTATTTGACTTTTTAATATAAACACTTCGATCTCTGGTTATCATCTTCTTAGTGGTCCCGCGATGATATAAAAAAAAACTATAGTCAATTTAGTCGCACTTGGAATGGCTAACAGCCGTGAAGCGGTTTCTACAAGTTGCAACCGACTTGAAACGGTTTGCGCGTTAGAAATTGGAAATATTGAAGCTGAGCTTTGAAATTCAAGTTTTTCCTATGATTCTGATTACAACCACAACTTTTTCGAACCATTCCAAGTGCGACCAAGGTTATCGAATATGTGAACGTAGAGAAAAAGTTTGACGGGGGTTTTGGCGGCCAGAAATTGAAGAAATCGAAAAAAATTCATTTATTACACTTCTCAACGAACCAAAACTAAGTTCTTTCCTAGAAAAGTTTCTTCGAAAAAAATCAAGAATTCAAAAAGGTAATAAATTCCCAAATTCTAACAGTTTCGTTAACCGTCAAAAAAAGATCCAATGAAAAAAAGATCCGTTGGTTTTTACTTTTATTTTTCAAGTTATTCCCAGTTCATCCAAAATCAAAAAAGATCAATTAAGAAGCCTGAGAAAAAAATTCTCAATTAAATTCAAAAACTTTGTTCCCTTATTAGGCTTCTCAGACTTCTCTTTTTGACTTCGACTGAAAAACAAGAAATTAATTAAAAAAATTTTTGATCCAATTTAAATGACCTAAAAAAATAAATGTATTCGTCATTTTTGAAAGAGTCCAAATTTTTCTAAACTTTGAGTGAAGAAAAAAATTGTACAAATGGAGGAGAAGGCGGAAATGGGAGAAGCGTCCAATTTCAGGTCAAATATGCGTTTTTGGGGATGCGACATTTGTGTGACGTCTTTTGAATAAATATTTCATCCTTTGCTTGCAGAAATGTAGTTTTTTTATATGAAAAGTGAGAGGATCAGGGGTGTTCGAAAAAAATGTTGACATACTATAAATAAAAACTCGAGTGGGCGGAACAATCGGGCAGGCTTTTAATTCCATTTTTCCGACCGGTGTGAATTAATAAAAGCTGGAAACACGCAAAAAGGGGTTACCAACTCGAAAAAACATTTAAAAAAAACTTAAATTGACTATTTTTGACCCGAAGACTCTGTATTTGAAAATCTCTGATTAAAATTTAAAATTATTCATCTTTACCAGTATCTTCTAAATATTCGAAAAAAAGGAGTTCAACGGAATTTTTTCTCGAAAATTCACTTCCCAAGAACTAGCCTAATTTGACGGCTGTTCAAAATGCAACAAGCCAAATTTGATCATGAAAAACTTCCTAGTTGAGATGTTCCCAATCAAAAAAAAACCTTCGTTTTTGCCCTTTTGAACTCAGAAAAAACTCAAAATCCGGCTCAGACAAAACACAAAAACAAATCAATTTTTGAACAAGTCTGGAACATTGGGAATGCATTGGAGAGGGAAAATAACAAGACCTGACCAGCCAAAGCCTCTTATTTTTCGAATCCGAGAGACATTAGTGCTTGCAAATGGCAAGGGACCGTTCAAAGGAGTGTTCTCCGAGGAAGATAAATGGCTAAACGTTGTGTTTTTGTTGCAAAAAAGACAGCCCTTTAAACTTTTAATATGAGAGATTAGGGTCAAGTTTTGTGGAGAGCAGTGAAACAGAGCGAATGAAGTTGAAAATATTCAAAAATTGATAAAAAGCTTGAAAGAGAGATTTAAAAATTGTTGAAAATTTTCGATAGGTGAAACAGAGCTGCTTAAGGTGAGAAAGGTCATCCAGAGCGACCGCAACACGCCCTGGGGTGTCCCGACCCGCGAAGCCATCACATTGTCAAAAGAGTCATTTTTTTGCTTAAATTTTAGCCTTTTTTTTGGAATTACCATATAAATTTTGACTTATTTTCATCGCCCCGTCGGCAAATCTGAAAGAAACATAGAAAAAACTTATAAAACATTCGAAGCAATTTCAAAAAAAAGTCCAAAGCATGTCCTGCGCCTTTAAAGTATAGAATCTCCTATTAATAAACTACGTAGTGATGGACTAAAATACAAATTTCTCAAAAATTTGCTCTGAATCTGCTTGATCTCAACCCACGACAGACTAACATGAAGTTTAAGGTCGCATTTGGAATGGTTCGAGACGCGAAGCGGAGTTCAACCGACTCGAAACGACTTGAGCGTTGGGACATCTAAGAGCCCTTGAGAAAGATGCTGTATTTTAATTTCAGCCCCGACGCTTAAAGCCATTCCAAATGCGTCCACCGCGTTCAAATATCGAAAAAAGGAAAAATTCAAAAAAAAAAAAGGTTTAACCAGAACATTAATAACTTTAACAAGAAAATAATAATGAAAAAAAATTGTTTAAAAAATCCAAGTTTTGAACTAACGACAGCCTCAACCTTTTCTTAAAACTACGAAAATAAAAAATTTCCGTGCGAGACCAGAAAAAGACCTGGAAAGAAACTCTCTGAAGAAAAAAAGTAATCAAAGAACCCTCAACGCATTCAATTACCCTAATTTATTCAAATACATAAACGTCTACTCATCGGTGTTTCATCTCCACTTTTATTGTGTCTGAAACGTTTTTCGAATTTCAAAGACTAAATCGAATTATGAAGGCAAATTTATTCATGAAATATATTGTGAGAAAAATTTCCGTCAAAAATTTGGCTGGCTTGAAAGTACGATAGAAACTGCTGAGAAAAAAAATAGGTTTTCTCATAAAGTAAAAACAAAGAGCTTCAATTTGTTTCAATTTTGAGCTTCAATTATACGGAAATTCGTATTGAAAAATATGAATCTAATTTGATTTTTTTCGTTATGTTTTTTTCCTATTTTTTTCTTTCTTTCATTAAAAAAATCGCAAATGGAAGTTCGAAAACTATTATTTTTTTATTGAAATTGATGAGAATCGCATTTCTCATTATATTGATATCTTTTTCGAAGTTTCATTAATAAACACTGAAAAAATCAACTAGAGGACTGGATTCGGTCGAGACTTACCAATCAATTATTAAATTTTACCATACAACTGTTTCGAAAATTTTTATCATTATCTTGTTCCAACGCGGTGAAATTCATGTGATCCCAAAGATAATTCAGAAAAAAATTCTAAGGAAAACTGACCTTCGTTCCGTACTGAGAGCTACGTTGCTCATTCATCAAGGAGCAAAATATTTACGAGAATACTTTGTTGAAACCCATTCATCTTTCTGAAAAAAGCTACATGGAAAAAATAAAAAAGAAGAAAAAAGAACTAGATACAAACCAAAAATCGGTGAATCTTTGATTCGATCGAATAGAGTCGAGTTAGAGCAAAGTCTGCAAAGTGAAAATATACTTTTCAAAACAAAAAAAATTTAGAATCCAATAAAAAATAATAGAAAAATTTGAAAGGTGAAAAAAATGAAAAACAGTCGTGAGCTTCAATTTTTGGTGTGGTTACACGGTCGCGCGTAGATGCGGGATGTTATTTTTAAAAAAATTTTTATTTATTCCTTAAAAAAATATATTTTTTTGAAAAGCCTTTTTAAATATATGAAGTTGATACAAAGATGGAGCAATATAGGTTCGTATTGGATGATTAATTCGTGAAAACTTAATGATTGACTCGACTCGATACATCGATTTTCAAAATTTTATTCGACAAAGTTTAAACTTTTCTTCTTTTTTTAAAAGAAATATAGAAGTGATGCAAGAAAAAGGACGCAGCTTTTTTTTGATATTGAGCCGAAAATTTGAAAAGATGCTCAAGGTGCCCAGAAATGTCGGAATCTGCCAATTTTGCTGTCTGCAAGAAGAAGAAAGCTTCCTCTTGGGGATTTTATCTCCGGGAATTTAGAGATTTATAGAAGAACGGATGGAACTTGGAATAAGGAACTTGATGCAAAGATTAAGCGCCAAAGTACATTTTATTCCCGGAAGACAACCATCCAGCTAGTTAGATAGTTCAAGTTCAAGTTTGACCTTTTAGCGCGCCTTTGTTACTGTTGACCTATTGATCTTGTCAATGGCGGAAATCCGCTTTCTCAATGTGGAAACCACTTCTTCTATTGTACCTTATGCCGTGTTCAATTTGATTACGCGAAATGCAAAACATCCGTTAAAGAAAGGAAAAGATCACTAAATTTTAGAGAGTAAGGAATCATTTTGCGTTTCGCGGAATCAAATTGAACACGGCATTATTTTGTCTGGATCATTTTCTTGTCAATCGTTTCGTATTTTTCGATTTCTCGAAGTTCGTTTTTTAACCTACGATTTTCAGGGTGCGCTTATTTTCCTTGATTTCAATTTGTTAGGGCAACTTCACAAGAAAAATGCGCGGGATCGCAAAGCAGCGAAAACCTTTACAAAATGCGGCCGACCTCAACAAGCACAAAGAAGAGAAGAAAGGCGGTCTGAGGATGGTCCGACAGATCGGCCGAACGAATCTGATGGACCCCAACAAAGTTGTATTAATCGGAGTGTGAGACTTTGAGAATAAAAATTGCTTATTCAGATGCCCAAGCCTGGGCCCAAGACTTTGGCCGCGATCGGGCGTGGAAAATCTTCGAAGCTGCAACAGTCTTCTTTCCAAGTTTTCGTCGATTCTTCTCCGGCGAGTCGTGAATCCAATTCCATCAATATGATACACGTGCTCGAGAATTTCATGGAAGCGAAGGAGAAGGCCAAGGTAAAAGCTCTGGAAATCGGGTATCGATCGGAAAAATTTCTTTTTTTGAAATTCACTTCATATGGTCATTTTCGATGACTTTTGATTCATTTAAAATCATTTTTTAAATCTATGCACTCAAAATCCAAAAAAGCCATCAGAAAAAAAAGGTAAGCAAATTTTGAAAAGTCAGGGATAATTTTGTATTTTGCGGAAATTACTTTGAAATTGTTGAAACTTATATTCAGTCTTCAGAGAAGGTCCTCTGCTGAATCATGGATTAATTGGAGATTTTTTCTCGGTTCGAGAAACTATCGTTGATCAAGCGTAGACTTGTTTTGATCAAGAAATAATCTCTAATAGACTCTTTTTTTTTAATCCGACTCACGTAGACTCTATTTAAACTTGAAAAAAAGAACTCAAAACTTAATGTTTCAGGTCGAGGAGCCTGAAAATAAAGAAAACGCGCAGCCGAACAAGGCTTTCGGATGGAGAGCTCGTCACAATACAGACGATACCCCATGTAATATTGAATCGCCTCCTTCGAGCGTTCACGGTTTCAGACTTGATGAGGTCCGAAATCACATGAAAATATTCTACCAATCACATTTTCCAGAATGCCGAAACGGCTGCTCAGTCCGGAGCCACGGCGATTCGAGCAGAGATCGCCAAGATTAAAATGAATGTTGAGGTGATTTTTTAACACTTTGAAAATATCAGAAACTGTTGTTTAGATGGAAGCTGAGGAATCGACTGACAACATGGTTTCTTCTCCGGACGCAGAATTCAAAGATGCTGATAGAAACTCAGAGTGAGAATAAATATCAAAAAAGAAAACGTAACTTCCACTTCCAGATACGTGAAAGCTTTGGCTATGCGCGACCAGGCGCATGACGCCTTTTTCAACTCGGATGAGTACTGTCAGGATATTTATCGGTGGGTCTCGTAGAAAGTTCTAGGAAAAATATACTCAGTCGCTATACTGTTCAGATTTTGAATGTCAAGTGCAATGACGTCATTCAAAAACACTCTGTGGATGGCTCGCTCTCTGATTGGTTTATCGCGCCATTAGGGGCGGAGCTTGAGCGGCGACTTGACATTCAAAATCTGAAAAGACTATATCTGCGCAAACGTCTATTTTTTCAGATATTAATTTTTAAAGTTTGACATAGAATAAGACCCCTTAAAGAGGTCATTTTCGACTTGGAATTTTATACAAATTTGCTCGAATAATCTCGGAAGGCTTACGTTAGGATCCATGAAAGTTGCAACCTGCGTCAGATTCTAGTTTTGAAGATATTCAATTTGGAAGGTCGGAAAGTTAGGCCTAAAACTCATTTTTCGCAAATACGAAAATTCATATCTCAAGCACATCTGTTCAGCCCGTCCGGTTTGGCACACTGTATGTAAAAATTATGCATACACCAATAGCGATTTTTAGGCGATATCATCGTTAATAACAAGTTTTTTGTACGAAAAATGAACAGATGTGAAGAAAAACTCAATTAGAATAGCCTTGTTCTTTATAATAAATAGAAAAAATAATCGAAAATTGTCTAGTATGGCCCGCGGAGACGGCGCAGTGCATACCGGACGGGTCCCTGTAGGTCTGAACTGGTGTGCAAGTTTGTAGAAAATTCCAAACCGCGAAGTAAAATGACCCCCCTTTTGAGGGGAAAAGAAACGAAGAAAAAACGGGACCCCCCGCGTAAGCCTGATTAAAGATAAGTCGTGATACTTTTGAAGTTGATCACACACAAAAAAAGTTTTGCAGTTATATGGTGAAGCGGCAGCAAGTGGTACGCCCCTCGTCGCGCTACATGAAACGTCAACGAGAACTGACGGTGCAGATGAGAGCGATCCTCGTCGATTGGTTCTGCGACGTCGGCGACGAATTCACGTTGTCGCAGGAGACGATCCACCTGACTGTCTCCATCGTCGACCGCACCCTGTCCCTTTTCATGGTCGAGAAAAGTAGCCTGCAGTTGGTCGGCACCGCGGCCCTCATGATCGCCTCGTACGTAGGAAAAGAAATTTTTTCAAAATTGCAATACTTGACTCACTTCCAACAAACTTTGAACCTTGTAAATTTAATTTTACGCGGCGTAAATGAGTTTCAAAAAGAAAACTTTCCTATTTATCCCTTCGTTCGACACTTCTAGGCTACAAATTTTGCTTGCTTCTGTAAAAAGTTCAAGTTTTCCTACTTTATAGTAGGCAGTTTTCGCGTGTCTGCGTCTCTCTGTTCCCTCGCCGGCGAGGTCAGATAAACAAGAAAATAGTATGGGAACATGAGAGAGACGTCGAGAGATATGGAGGGCGCAGAGAAATCTTTTACAAGTCGCGCCGAAAGGACTGTAAACAATGAATTTACGCTACGTAAACTTTCAGGCGTGTGGCTTCTCATTTCCTTGTATTATTTGTTAGTTGGAAAAAAAAACGTTTTTGAAGTACCCAATATTCATTAAACCTTGCAACTTCCAGAAAATACGAAGAGATGTTCACAATAGATCCTAAGGACTTTGCTCACATTACCGGTGGCGCTTTCACCCTTTCTCAGGTACCAGAAAAGAATTACGAGAAAACACAGATGATCAACTTTCAGATCCTCATGATGGAGCAATATCTGCTCAACCAGCTCGGCTTCGTCGTCGGAGCTCCAACTGTTTCTTGGTTCGGCACCATGTTCGCCAAGCGTCAAGGGACTGACCGGTGCGGGAAAATCTTTAAAATTTAGAAAAAAAAAGTTCAAAATCTGATCAAAAGTTATGCTCAGTTTTTCGTGGAATCAAGCTATTTCCTTTGTGAAAGAATCTCAACCTCAAGAAAATCATCGAAAAAAGCTCCATAGAAATGTTCCTTTTTGCTGCCTTTTTGTGCCATTTCATCGGTTCCTATGAACCATTTTTGCTGCCTCTCCTTTTTTCAAAAAAAAAAAAGAAATTTCGTTTGCCTCAATGCGAGAGAATCATTCCGTTCGGGATGGTTCTCTAAATATTCTTAGCAATTTCAGAGTGGTCCTTTCAGGGGTTTGAGGAAAAACAGCCTTTATAGGGGATCAAAAAGTGGTCCATATAGGGGTAAAAACAAAGTGATCTCTATAGGGGTCTAGGGTCTCCCACTCTCAGCTCCTTAAGCTCAAGTGGTCTTTATAGGGGTTAGGGGAAAACTAACAGAAACCCCTAAAGGGACCAATAGCATGTCTCCTATAGGGAACACTAGGTTAAGAAGTACTTGAAGGACTACTTGAGTCTTTGAAATACATCGAAAGCTCGGTAAAGGGACTCTTTCTGCCTTTTTGGTGCCTTTCTGCGGCCTTTCTGCGATCTTTCTACGGCCTTTTTTGAGCATCTTCCTTCTAGTGGAAGTTATCCATTTGACCGAGATTTTCGTAATTTTGAAGTTGATCTTGTTGAGATGATTTAGTTATCAAAAGTTTTGAGCTCAACAAAAACTCAAAGTTTTGTTCGAAGTTATTTTTTTTTCACATCAAGTCGTAACTCAGTTTGAATCGTCTTTTGGAATCACGAAAAGTTTTTTTATCTCTCAGTTTACATTAAGAACTTCGAAAAAGGAGTCCAAGTTTATTTAGCCGTACTCGCTTCGCCACGCAGTACCTGATGGACTTGACACTTCTCGACTACTCTTTCCTCAAGTACAAGCCATCCTTCATCGCTGCCGCTTGCCTCTGCTACGCTAATATTCTCACGGGTTCGTTTATACATTAACTGATTTATTATGAAAGTTTCAACTAATAAAGTCAATTATTTCAGATTCGGAACCGTGGTCGGCGAAAATGGTTCGAGATACGGGTCTCTCGATACGAGCTTTCGCCGCGGTTCTACCTGAACTTCATGTGTAAGTTTTTCCAGAACCCCGAAATTCAGGGCTAGTTCATTCATAAATGAAAGGCTATTTTCATTGGCCAGCCACGCCCATTCTTGACACTGTTATGAAATTTGCAAGACTGAGAGTGTGCGCAAAAGTTTTCGAGTCCATTTTTGAAACGATGTCAATTTTTTTGCTACTGAAGGGACCACTTCAAAGAAATTATCTTGAGACGTTGTCATTTAAGGGATGCTTCAAAATTTTCGTAGATCAATAAATCAATATCATTATTTATTGGTTTTTTTTAGTCAGATGATCAATTTTTCGCGGTGAACTGATGTGTCCGCATGTAGAATGGCTAAATACTCACAGCGTTTTTTCGACGACGCCACGCCCACTTTTTCTTCGTAAAGTTTCGTGTGTCGTGTGCATGCACTGCGCCGCTCTCTTGTAGAAAACATGCGTTTGTGTAGAGAAAATCCGATTCGCCTCAAAAACCTGTGGAAATACAGCTGCATGCGCCTTTAATATGCCCAGTTATTTACGCAGTGCCGAAATCTCTGAAGTTCCCATGACGTCACCTGGGAAGGACCGAGGTTTTGACTCCGCCCACCTTATTTTTTATTTCGCGTTTTCTTCCACTAACAAAAAAGCCTTCCACATCTTGATTTATTAACTGACAAATCGTTGATTTTTTTTTAGTCAAATGAATATTTGATTATCTCAGCTGATCGATTTTCAGAGCCTTCACCAGCGCGCCAAGCAGCAAACTCAAGGCGGTTCACCACCAGTTCAGCAAGCCAGAATACGAGTCGGTAGCCTCGATTCCACCACCGGAGATGCTTCCAGTTGAAGTCGCTCAGATGAACTTTGTGAGACCATCAGTCGTCTAACTTCATCCAGAATTATATAATTCCTTTCTTTTTATTTATTCAGTTGTTTATTTTTGATCATAATTGCTCAATTTTGTTCTATTTCCCCCAGGATCTAATCTGGTTTCGCGCGTTTTGTACATCTTCCTAACCGTTTTATCGAAACGCTTACCTTTACGATCAAACTCAGGTAATTTTATCCAAAAGTTGAACCAAGAATCCAACCCCCTACAATTTACTTACGGCACACTCTCTCGATTGAATGTATAACCATAATGGTTTTTCGATTCTTCTCTGAGTATTTATTTTGAATCAAGTCTGTAACTCTTTTTCTTGTTTTTTTTCCTGTAGATTGTATTGTTGCTCCAATTGTTTGTTTCGAAACTGAATGGCTAAAGCCTTCGTTTTGTGTGTTGAATTGAATTTGATCTCAACGTTGTATGCACTGCTTGTTATGTATGGGAATCTTGAAGAAACCAAGTTCTTGATAAATGATTTTCCTGTTTTTCTGACTAACATAGTGGCCACTAAAACCCTCAACGGGCCACTTTTTGGTTTTTTTTTTCGATTTAAGGATACTTTAGTCGAATATCATTGCATTTATAGAAAAAAAATTCATAATTTTCCTTGGAAAAAGATGTTTTCCAACTTTCTTATCGATTGCAACAGCTGAAATCAAGTATCGAAATGGCAAACACTGATAAGAACTTGCATTTATTTGCATTTCTAGATCTTTTGATTCATCATCGTTCTTCCAAACGCTTCGAATAAACTATGGGTGGAAATTCGTCCACGCCACAGGTTCATTTTTCACTAACCATTTCTGAAAAAAATTAATTTTTTTATGAAATGAATTACGAGGCTTATTATAAAAAAATATAATCTTTCCTCTCTCGGCTCTCTTTTTCGAGCTCAAGATTTTTCGATACTGAAAAATTTTAAACATCGAAAATTAAAGATTTTTTTCTTTGTTCGCAAATAATGCTTGAGCTAGAGGGGTCCCTGTAGGGTTTTTAGGATAAAAACAGCCTCTGATGGGGACAAAATGGCTCTTTTTAGAGGGTAAAATTAAGGCGGTCCCGTAGGGGTCCCTTCTAACCCCTAAAGTGGTCCCTATAGTGGTATTCTGATTTTTTTCAGATTTGAAAGTTAAATAGACGTATTTAAAATAATCATCCTTCTAGTGATGTTTTTTTTTCCTTTCAAAAAGCACTAATTTAGGGGCCACTTTCGTTAGCTCTAGTGGTCCTTATGGGGGGAGCTAAGGTTGTCCCTAAAGGGGAACCTTCAGGACCCCTAGGGTTACCTCTATAGGAACAACTCTGGCGTTCCTGAGCTGGCTTTTGCATAGAAGCGCAAGTAGTTTCGGGTCTGGCGCAGCTTATAATTTGCGACCGTAGCACTCTGCCATTCTCCGTGCGACCAGCTTGTTTAAAGTCCTTCAAATTTACTGAAAAAAAAACGGCCGATGGAGGCCTCGGCAAGTTTTCCAACTTCTCTGGATTCTCAAGTTTCTTTCCAGCTCCAACGTGGGCCTCTCTTCCAAGCGGCCATCGACGGCGACGTCGACAGGATTGAAGAACTTCTGAATCAAGGAGAAGACGTCGATACCTTGAATCCAATCGGAAGAACTCCGTTGCACTACGCGGCATCCAAAGGGCATCTGAACGTCGTCAATCTACTTTTGGAGCGGGGAGCTCAAGTTGATTCCAAGTCGAAGGTTGGACTTTTGCTCTTAAGTGAGAAATCTGAGGTTCTAAGGATGGAAATACGGCTCTACGAGAAGCAGCCTTCCATGGCCATCTTGGCGTCGTTGAAGTTCTAGTGAAGAATGGAGCCGATGTAAACGTCAAGACGGGTAAAGGATTCACGGCGCTGCATCTGGCGGCTCAGGAAGGTCATCCTGAAGTCGTTCGCTTCCTTCTTGAGAATGGGGCCGACGTTGATCTGAGGAATTCGGTTGGTATTCAAGTTTGACGGAAACTTGGGAAAATGGTTACCTGAAAATGGGCCAGAACGCTTCTTGATGTAGTAGATGGCCTTCCAGAAAGGCTCAACCTGGAAAATTTCCTAGCTTTTTCGAACTCAAAGAAAACTCTCAAAATCCATTGGTGTAGGCTATTTTGGGGCCCTTATTTCTCGAGAACTAGGAATTTTTTCGGGCTGAAACTTTCAGAAACTGCTTCTGGGGCATCAGGGAGTGTTCTAACCAAGCTTCCGTGAAGTAAATTCCTTTTGAACTTATTTCAGTTCAAAAAGGTTTCTGTTCATTTAGGACCAAGGAACAGCTCTTCACTTTGCTGCAATGAAAGCTCAAATCTCAACTATTCCGATCCTTCTGGACTTCGGAGCTGATATCAACGCTCAAAGTGACAGTGGGAACACGGCACTCATCGAAGCGGCCATCAAAAATAGCCTCGAAGTTGTGGATTTCCTGCTGTCGAAGGGAGCCAGGACTGACCTTCGGACTGAGGTAAGCTCGAAAAAGCGCTACTCAGGGTTTAATTTTTAGAGTTCGTAATGAAATGAAGAGGATCTTGAAAGGTCTCCAGGGTTGAATCTTACTCAAACTTTCTCTCATCGGGCAAAGTCGGAATGATGGAAGGAAGAGGCTCGAAAAAAGCTTCAGAAAGACAGCAAAAAGGGTCCTTTATCGAGCCTTCCATTTTTTCTAGAAATCAATAAATGGTGGAAAAAGGGAGAGGCTCAAAAATGGTGCAAAAGGGCCGAGAAAATGGCGCAAAAAGGCAGCAAAAAGGAAGCCTTTTTCACCGTAAAAGGTACATCTCTATGGAACCTTTTTCCGACTTTGTCTATGTCTGAAAAGTTTTGAATTTTTTTTTTGAAACCTCCTTTTCTATTTTTATTATTTTTTTTCCAGAATGGCTACACTGTCCTCGACGTCGCGTCCTTCCTGAACAACCATGAAATCGTCTCCTCCCTTTTAAAAAACCAAAAAACAAATGTGAATTATCAAGACGACAATGGGTTCACGGCCTTGCACAGCGCCGCTCAAAAGGGAAATCCGGAAGTCGTTAGAATTTTACTCGAGAACGGAGCCGAAGTTGACCTTTTCAGCGTGGTGAGAAGATGTAAAACCTTCAAAAAATAAAATCAATCAGGACGAAAAAACCGCTCTGCGAGAAGCCTCCTTCTACGGCCATCTGTCGGTAGTCCAACTTCTGGTAGAACATGGAGCTGACGTCAGTCGACAGGACAACTTGGGACTTTCTCCGCTCCATTGTGCCGCCTGGAGAGGTCACGAGAACGTGGTTAGGCTCCTGCTCACCAAGGGAATCGATGCTGACTTGAAGGACTATGTTGGTGGATCTTCCTTTTCCAAGTTCCACAACACTTCAGGAAGGCAACACCCCTCTACACATGGCTTCCACCGAAGGCCACAAAACCTGCGTGGCCGCTCTTCTGGAGCGCGGGGCCGACGTCAACGCCAGAACGACGAAAGGACTTTCCCCTCTGATGTGTGCGACCGAGAAAAATCAAGTCGAAACGATGAAATTCTTGATTTTCAAAGGCGCCGACGTGAATCAAAGAGCAGCGGTTTGTTGATTCTAATCGATAAAGATGTTGAAATTCCAGGAAAATGTGACCGCTCTACATGGGGCTGCATTCAACGGCATTTTGGCTGTTGTCCAGATTCTGGTGCTGAACGGCGCGGAAGTTGATGCTCAGACGAAAGATGGTGACACTCCTCTGCTTCATGCAGTTCAGGAGAATCACCTCGATGTCGTCAAGTTCTTATTGGAGAAGGGGGCGAAGGCTTCTTTGAGTAATCAGGTATGTTTTTGGCGACTTGAAAGGACTTCTCTGCGCCCTCCTTGTCTCTCGGCGACCCTCTCATGTTTACGTGCTATTTTCTTATTTCTCTGACCTCGCCGGTGAGATGACAGAGAGACGCAGACACTGGAGAACTTTCAAGACGCGGTGAATGGACTATATCACTCTAGTAGCAGACTTATCGCACTGAGAATGGCTCAATGCGTCGCGGTCGCGTTGCGGTTGTAAACGGCTCCCAAAAGCTTCCTTCTCTGCTTTCCGATGTCTCAGCGCGCAAGTCGTTTTGGGTCGGATCAAAGCTACCGATTTTTTTTTACGCGTAGCCGCGTGCGGCCATAGGCTTTTTAGCCATACAAACTCAAAAATACGGAATCTATCTCAAATTTCAATTTTATTTTTTTCAGAAAGGACTAACTCCATTGAAAGCCGCTGAAGAAAAAAACCACACCGAAATTTTTAAATATTTTTGAAACAATTTAATAAATAAACCGCTTTTTCAATTTTTTTGCTTTTTAAAAAGTTCAATAAAAAAAGTTTATCTCAATTTCTAGAAAACAAAAAAATCAAAAAGACCCTCAAATAGAGGGAAGCAAGACCGCCATAAATGGAGGAATAATGCCCAAAAAAATGGGTATTCGGTTCATAATTTCGCCGATTTTCAGATAGAACGTCTCTCGTTGCTTCGATTTCGAGATGATTTTCGGGACCTGAAAAAATTCTTCAAAGTTTCTAAACGGAATTTCAGATCTTCAGGCTTTTTTTGAACTAGGAACCGCAAAAAATTCAAAAAATCAACGGAATTTTTTTGAATTTTGAAAGGAGAAAAAAATTCAACAAACCTTGCCATTTTCCAACGACTTCACCGCCTTGTCAACGTTTTTCTGCACGCATTTTCGCTCCGAATCCAAAAACCAGAACCCGTATTTGGTCAGAATCTTCTCCTGGAATATTATATTTCATTCTCAAAAAGTTCTGGTCGCATTTGGAATGACTCAAATCGTTTTCATTATCTTGTTCTCATTTTCTCTGATGCGCAAGTCGTTTTTGGTCGGGCGCGTGACCATGGGTTTCCAAATCCAATACTAAAGAAAGCATAATAAACCTTATTGCCGCCAGTTTCTCCGTCCATTTGAATGATTATTGGCGGGAATGTCTGGTCGCCGTAAATCCATTCCCAGCCGGAGGAAGTTCTGGAAAAAGTGATATTTTGAGTTAAGTTATACTTAGCTCATTTTTCTCAAAATGTATATCTTCGAATCGATAGATAAAACTATAAGAAAAGAAAAATTGGCAGATTTTCAAGTTTATCTGAGTTTTGTGTTGCACGAAACAATTTTAAGAAAAAAATATTTATTTACGATGGCAATATTTTTCTCGAATTCCTTATTCAAAAATTCTCTTGCAAAAAGAAAGGATATTGAAAAGCGCGTCCGACCGTGAAGTGACTTACGCGCGCCTGCATTCTTAAAATCGGTGGCTCTAAGAGTTAACACAATTTTAAATTTTGGTTCAAGATCTATAAAACTTCACAGTTTTTCATCAATTTCTCAAGTTCCAAAGTTGCACCAAACACCAGTCACTCCAAAAAACAAAAAAACAACAAACGAATGAGGCAGATAATCGCAGTCGAAATCGCCCCGAAGGCAGAACATTTTGACGAGATCTGGGTCCGTGATATAAATCTTCCGTTGCCATTTCAACCATGACGCCACGAGTTCTTTGGTCGAGGTCTTGTTGGGCAGGTAGAAGTTGGCGCCGTTCATCATCTTCTTTCTGCAGGAAAAATGCTTGAAAAAGAAAAAGCCGAGGAAAAGCTGAAGAATTTTTATGAAAAGGATAGGCATTACTCAAAAAAAAGTTTCACGAAGAATAAGATTTTTAACTTTACAACGGAAATTATTATGAAAATTTGAGAGAAATTAGGATTCTTAGAAACCTCAGACTGGCCCCTAGAGGGTTTCAGGGATAACAAGGCCCTTGTTACAAGTGGCTAAATTTCAAGTGGTCCCTAGAGGGGTCTGATTCCTAAGCTCGTAGCAGAGGTCTTTGAAATTTTTAAAGTCTGCAAATTCAAAAAAAAAAAAACAATTTATCTCCTGCTGATATTTTTTTCATTCAAATGAGCTGAAAAATTCATAAAAAATAAAAAAATAGCAAATTTCTCTATAGTGACCACTATTTACAGCCCCTAGAGTGGCCACTTCTTTAAGCCTCAGCGCCCTCTATTGGGGGAGGTAAGGTGGTCCCTAGAGGGCAACCTTCAAAAGCATGTCGCCCCCCCCCCAAAAAAACTTCTTCCTGAACCAACCTTGCCTCGGAAGTTCCATGGTAGCCCTGCTGGTCTAGCAGTATGTCGCCTTTGAACTTGCCGACGTCGACCCGTTCGAACAGATTTTGGCGCCAAATCGTGTCGGCTTGAAGCATCCAAAAGCTTTTTCCAAAAGTCAGAAGCGCCTGGATCATGTTCGTCCTCATGAGGAAGAAGCTCATGTATGTCGCGTCGTATGGCAGGAAACCAATCTGAAAAAAACTAAGATAATTCGATTTAAGAAAAAGCAACCTGAAGTGGGATAACGTGCCAGGTGAAAATCTTCAACTCCGGATAAAAGCTGTGCAGAATCCGCCTCGTTTTCCCATCCATCACAATGAATAACGTGTTCTCGTGGACTTTTTCGAATCTCCCAGTGTTGCAAAGCCAATTCAAAGTCATATTAATCGCAAAACGATTCAATAGAATCACTCCATAACCATTTGGCAGCTTTCGCCACCGTTTCTCGAAGCACTAGACTTTGAGAAATATCTTCCCATCGAAAATCTTCTTCATTTATCAGCAAGAATACACAGGTTTTGATAGTTGGCGTAAATATTTGAAACGAAAATCGCGAGTGGGATGGCGGATAATAGGGCTAGAAACTTGTAGGTGGAAGGAAGTTTTAGCATTGAGCGAGTGTCTTCCTCAAAAAAGTGTTCGATCACATCTCCGACGTTCTCTGAATTAAGATCAATCGGGGAGATTTGGTAACCATGCGATTTTGTTTTTTGTTAAACATTACGGTAAGAAACTTGGTTCACATGGGTGCGTGCACGAAATACATTTAACCTCACGCCTGATCCGGAAACGGACGCGTTTTTTTTCCTGTTCCTGTTTTTTGAATCGATTCCTCATTTTGCATTGATTGGATGGCGTGTTCTCATCGTATTTAGTGTTTGAAGAAGGCTACCAAGTCTTTTAGACATTATAACTGCTGATTAGCTTATTTTTCTTGGAAAATAACTCCTTTTTGTGCGTCTAATTTCTTTCCTCTCCCTTTTCGTTTTCAAGATTATTTTTCACTTTCTAGTATTTTATTTTGTTTATACTTATGTTTTTTTGCTACAGAATGTCATCAGACGAGAGTGACAACGATTTCGTTGCAAATGATGTCGAAGAGGACGAGGTTTCGCTAAAAATTTTGAGGAAGATTTAAAAATTTTCTAGGGAAGCGTCGGTTCCGCTGCATCTGACGACGCTGGTAGTGACGTAGAAGATGTTAAACCAAAAGTGAAAAAAGATCGTAAAAGAAAGGTTTTGGAAGAGCAAATGAATATTTTTTTTGAGTGTGAAATATTTCAGATTGCCTCTGACAGCGAGGGCGATGAGGAAGCGGCAAGTGACAAGGACGATGAAGAAGAAGAAGATTCCGAAGACGATTCTCCCAAGAAAACGACCAAAAAGAAGAAGGGAAAACGAGGGAAAAATGTTTGATTTTTGGGAGTTTCTTTGTTTCTTGATTGTATATTTTAGAAACGCCCACGCGGTCTCGATTTCATTTTGCAAGACGTCGATGTAGATGATGAAGAGTTGGAAGAAGATGAATACGATGAAGATGACGCCAGGGCCTTGGAACCGAATGAGAAAGAAGAGGTCGAAGAAGAATCAAAGAAAAGTCAATAATAAATGAATATTTTTAGGCCGAGCGATATTTGAAGCAGATCGAACAGGATCGCAGACGGAGTGATCGCGACAAATTCGCGTAATTTTTGAACTTCAAAAAAATGATAATTTAATTTTAGGAATATGAGCGCCGAAGAAATCGGCCGTTATTTCGAGAATAAGTACAAAAAGTCGCAAAATGATCGAGCCGTCGTGGATGATGACGATTCGGCCGTCGGTTAGTGATCACTTTGGGGAATATCGAATCAAAAATGAATTGAAATATGTCTTTTTTAAAGTTTATAAAACTAGAAAAAAATATTTCAGATTGAGTTCATTTTTAATAGAGATTGATGCGCAAATTCAACTAAGAAAGGAGTTTTTTTCTCGATTTTTCATTTCTCATTGATTTAAGTTTTTGAAATATTGCTAAAAACTGTAAATTTATCAAAAAAAGAAACAATAATCAGTCATTTTTTTAGGGTTTTTCTTGAAAGTAATCTTCCTCGGAGTTGAGATGTTGACCTGAGATTATTATTTAATTTTTTTAAAATGTTGAGAAAATGAGCACAATGTGAAAGTTCAGTTTTAAATAATTAAATAATTTTTACTGAAACATGATTTCTTCAATTAAAAAATTTTTTTTGAAACGGAAAATTGCTATTCTTAAAGATCGAACTTTTACAAATTTAGAAAAATCTTGGGAAAACTCAAAAAGTGTGAAAGAAAATTTAAAAAAGCATTTTATTGCAGTCTTCATTTAAAAAGTTTATGAATCACTCTCATGCTAGCCAGGCTTCTCAACGGGCGTACCCGTATTGAACCCGCGTTTTTAGAGGCTGTTTCAGTCTTAGTTGGGCTAAAACAGGAAAATAACGGGTGCAAAAAGAGATAGATTAATATATACAATATATTTATAAATATCCAGTCGTGGTTATTTCGAAAATCTGAGACCCAACTGAGCTAAAACGGTGTCTCAGATGTGGTAAGAAATGCCGGAAGTTCGACTGACTATGTTCAAAACAGTTAAATACGGATACGCCCGTTTGGTCAACCTCACATCAGCATGAGAGTGAAGTACCTAATAAATTGAAGGTTTGCGATTTTCAGATGAAATAACGAGATCCGGAATCTTGCCCTCAACCAAAGAACCCAATTTGTGGATCGTCAAATGTCGGATGGGCGAAGAAAAAATGGTCGCCCTGCTCTTGATGCGGAAGTATTTGGCCCACGAAAATACGCAGGAGGTTGGGATGATCTAGAAAGCGTATTTTAATACAATTTCAGCCTCTCCAAATCAAATCGGTGGTGGTGAAGGAAGGCCTCAAGGGAATGATCTACGTCGAGTCCTACAAACAGGCTCACGTCGCCAGCGCCATCGAGGGAATCTCGGCCCTCAATCAGTTCAATATCACGGTTTGTGAGGAAAAAGTCCAGAAAAGAGAATTTTTGTGGCGAAAAGTTGAAAAAAACGGCTCTAAAAATGAAACTAAGCGTGTATATAATGTAGTTTCAGAGAAAATGGTTTTTTTTTTTACGTGAATTTGTAATTTTGCCAGTTGAATTTTTCAAAGTTTAAGCGCCTTCAAGTGTACATAATCCGAAAAATGAAGCCTAAGAATCCATTTTTTGAAGTAGGCTCTTAATTTAATGAAAATTTCTTTTCGTAGCTGATCCAATTCCACATGAAAAATATTGATTTTTAAATGAAATTTTCTAAAAAAAGTTTACGTGAGTTGGAATTTTTTTATTTGCCTACGGAATCGGTCCAACAAATGATCTCAAAAAGGCCCCTGAAATCGGAATTTTTTTCTTGATTCAGAAGCTCGATTTTTCAGAATTGAAACCGTGTAATTTACATACGTTTTTTTATACGATTTTTTTAAAATTTTTCCAATCCTTATTGAAAATTCCTGGTAGGAAGCTTTTTCGGAGAAGTGTTAGAACTATTTTTTTCCCCGAAATTGAGCAAATACAAATTTTTTTCCATGATTTATTTGTGAAAAAGATACAGTTTTTTTGCAGATGGTTCCGATCAAAGACATGGTCGACGTGTTGAGAGTCGTCAAAGACACGCCCCAGTTGAAAATCGGATCTTACGTCCGTCTCAACAGAACAATGTTCAAAGGAGATTTGGCTCAGGTTGGAAAATGATTCAGAAAAAATTTTTTTGCTTTGAAAAGTTCCATTTTATGTGTACCAAAAAAATCATTCAAAAATGAAAAAAATCAAACTTTTCAACTTTCCTTAGATTTTTCCATCACATTCAATCAAGAATTCATTATTCTTAAGTATTAACGAAACTAAAATTTTGATTCCAGGTCGATTTGGTTGATATCGGAGGAAACAAAGTCAACTTGAAATTGATCCCCAGAATCGACTATAATCGTATGAGAGGAGCCATGAGAACTGTTCGTTTTTCTACTTTCAAAAAAATCAGATTTTCTTTAATTCCGACTCTCGTTTGTAGGAAGCCGATAGAAACTACAAATTGAAACGTCGACCAATGGCCAAGCTTTTCGACGTCGATGCAATCAAGTGAGCTTTTTTTTCTTAAATTCCAATGAAAATCGGAAGAAAAATCTAGGATTAATGAAAATAGCTGTTTTTGTCATGACTTTTTGTGCTTCAGTCCTAGTTTAAAGGGTTAAGATTTGGTTTTTTGTGTTTTCTGATATCTCAACGATCGCCTTTTTCATATTCAAATTCCTATTTCTTTCATTTTTTTTTTCCAAGTTTTCCCTCAAGTTAAAAAAAAAGGGAAATTTGTAAAATTCCAAGGGAAAGGGAAATTTTCAAATTTAAGAGTGCTTATTTTTTTGTGATCTACCTGAAAAGCTTGAAAAATTTTGGTCATTGAAAAATTTTTTTCCACTTATAATCGATTAAAAATTAAGATTTTTTCATGATTTTTCGGAAAAGGTTTTGATTTTTTTGAACAATACGTTTGAAAAAGATTTTTTTGAATTTTCTATAAAAAGGTTTACAAATTTTTCAATTTTTCCCACCTTTAAGAGGGCTCTATAATTTTTTTAAATCGCTCAAAAAATTTTCCCAGCAAAGACTGCCGCTAATTTCCAGAGATATTGGCGGCGAAGTGACCAACGACGGAGATTTCGTCACTTTCGAAGGCAACAGTTATCGTCGCGGATTCCTCTACAAGTATTTCCCATTGAACGCGATTGTCAGTTGATTTTTAGAGAATTCCATGTTGAATTTCCCATTTTCAGCTCGCTGATGGAGTCAAACCGTCCCTGGCGGAACTGGAAAAGTTCCAAGAAGCGAATGACGATTTGAAGAAAGAATGTAAGGACTAAATGAGGAATAATAATCAAGAGTTGTGAAATGAGAGAAGAAAACTTTTTAGGCTTCATTTTGAGAAAAAAAGTATTTGAATCAAAAAGTGGTAACTACTTTTTAATTTTTAAAAAAATAAAATTCCCAAAGCTGGGATTCAGAAAAAAAGATTTACCAAAGTTTTTCAAAGATATTTCAGCGATAATTTACTTTTTATCAAAAAAAGAAGAGCTTTCCAAAATTTACCTGACTATGAAAACGTGAACTTCTGAGAATTTTGAAAAAACAAATTTTCAACTAAAATAGGGAAATTTTTGGATAGGTACTGTGCGTTTATGTGAATTTCCTATATTTCATTCTTTTCATGTCGAGAAAGAATAACAAAAAAACCAATTATTTGAATATTTTTTTCTTCTCGGAATTTTTCCTAGCTCAAGAATATGAAAAATTGTGATAATGAGCTTCAAAAAAAGTGGAATTTATCGTTTTTTTATACGATTTGAAGTCATTATTTAAAGGACTGGTAGAATCGTTCGAAAAAAAAAATTTTTTTTGGTCAAACACTAAGGCTCCTGCCATAGCTTGACATTATATATATGCAAAAAAAGAATGATATCAAAAATAATATCCATCCCTTAAGTGGAATCGACGAGCATCAAAGAGACGGAAAATCCGTTCGTTCCTGGGGATATGGTCGAAGTAAAATCCGGAGAATTGGTCAATTTACGCGGTAAAGTCGAGACGATCGACGGCAGCAAAGTCGTTTTGATTCCCGATCAGGAGGGTCTCAAGGTAAGGGATTCACGAATTCAGGCTGTAAGACTTTCGGAAAAAAAATATCCAAGATATAATTTTTTTAATATTTTTCCTTTTTTTAATTTTTTTAGAAGGGAACAAGGTAGGAAACTTCAGGTAAAAATTTTTAAAAAAATTTATTTTTGAAAAAAAGTTTTTATTATAAGAAATACGTTGGAAATTTTTTTGATTTTATACAGGTTCAGTTTAAAAAAATTCAGAAACTTTTTGGAAAAAAATAAATTGCAAAAAAAATATTCAGGATTTTTACTTTAAATATTTTTCTGTAAAAAAACTGCAAAAGTCTCAGATTTTTTTAAAATAAAACTTCTGTTGAAAACTTTCAAAGTCTATAAAAAAATATGTATTTAAAAACTGAAAAGATTCAATTTTCGCCTTTCCCAGGACCCCATCACCCTCAACGCCTACGAATTGCGCAAGTATTTCAAAGATGGAGACCACGTCAAGGTTTGGAACTTCTCTGGAAAGAAAATAATAATATTTGGGACATTTCCAGGTGATATCCGGGCGATACGAGGGCCACACGGGTTTGATCGTCCGCGTCGTCGAGAATAATGTCATTATGCTCTCGGATTTGGGCATGGATGAGGTTTGTTCAGCGCGGAATTGCTCAAAAAAGACCTTAAAAATGGAAATTTAGCTCAAAAAATTCCGTTTTTCGAAATCGCGGACTTCACTGTTTCAATAAAATTAAAAAAGCTTCTAGAAGGGCGGTTTTATTCATTATTACAATTTCATGTTTGGGCTATGTTACATTGTAGCTTCTAGTTATTTTTTCCACCAATAATGATAATCTTGAGAAATCCAGAGTGATCTTTGTAGGGGCAACTTTAGGGGGCCCCTTTAGCTTCCCCTAGAGGGGTTACTGAAGCTTGTAAAAGAGGCCTTTGTAGGGGTTTTAGTAGTAAGTAACCCTATAAGAATTTTTTTAAAGTTTCAAGTCTGAAAATGAATCAAAAGACCCCTACAGGGACCACCTAAATTTTACCTCTTCAGGGAGCATTTTCAACCCCTATATGGCTGGTTTTCTTTCCTGACCCGTATAGGGACCACTTTGGCGTTCTAAAGATTGAATAAAGAAAAAGTCTTAACAAAGATTTCAAAAAGAACATTCGCAAAAAAAAATTCCCAATTAGCGAAAAAAAATAAGCAAAATCTAAGTTTTTGTATATTTAAGAAATTCTATTTATATTCTGAATAATATTATCGAAAAAAATCTTCCCAATTACTATGAACAATAATTATAACAAAAAGTGAGAAAACAATTTTTTTGAGACTTTTTTAAAGCCAAAAAAAGGTGACCCATGGAAAAGTTTCATTTTATGTCTTTCAGTATATTTATAATAATTTGAAAATCAAAAATCTATTCTAGCGTCTGTATGGCTGAATTGAGCAGAAAAATCTGTAGAAAATGAATTTTGGCTTGAAAATTAAAGTTGACTAAAATCGGCTGAGTTAAGTTTCAGAACACCCTTAAAACTTTTGTTTTTGCCCTGCTTTTGTTTAATATTCCAAATATAAATGATAGTGGGAATATTTCAGCTGAAAGTCCGCAGTCGAGATCTGCAACTTTGCGCCGACGTGACCACTGGAGTGGACTCTCTGGGACAGTTCCAGTATCACGATTTGGTGCAGCTCGACCAGGCCGGGACTGTCGGCGTGATCGTCCGGCTGGAGAGGGAGAACCTCGAAGTCCTCAACATGCATGGAAAGGTTCGAATAATTGAAAAAAAGGAGGATTTTTCATTTTTCAGACTGACTGAATAAATGTAAGGAAAATTGGAAAATACGAGTTCTAATCCCAATTTTCAGTTAATTAATTTTACAAGGGTTATAAGATCTAGCATAAAAATATATGGTTTTAAAAGTTGAATGGAATTTTTACAAAAAGGATACATATTGTAAATATTATTTGTTAATCAGGTTTCTGAAGGCAGAGAGCGAACAATTCGATAGTAGGAAAAAATTGGTGTATGCACAGTTCACGCTCACGAATATTCACGGACCCAAAATTCCTTCCTACCATCAACAATTACTAGCTAAGAAAGGATCCAATCAAGCAATAAATTCCATTTTCATTGTTTCGCGCGAGAGGATCACGTTTTAAAATCACAGCAGAATAAAAGCTACCGCAAACATAGCTTCTTCACATATTTGCTCAAAATAACTGCAGAAAAGGTATCCAAGCGAATTTTGGTCAAACTTGAACAAGTGGGGGATGGAAGATGAATAAAAATGGGGTGGGGAAACAGAAAAGTTATGTTAGCTTATTCTTGAAAAAAAGAGGAAATTTAAAATGTTTATACGTTTTTTTATAAAGTCTGGTTTGAATAGTTTGAAAGAATGGATAGATTTTTGAGTTTTGCCACATTTTTTTCCTCAATATTTTTTTGTTCTGTGGTTTTTTTCTAATCATAATTTTTTTCACTTTTTTTAAATCAAAAATCAAAAGATGTGAAAGGGACGTGAATTATTGTTCATCAGAGCCTTGAAATGGCTCCGAATCGGTAGTTTCTCCTTTTGTTTTTGCGTTTCGGAACGATTTTGGTGTTTTTCAAAGCAATTTTTGAAAATTTTACGAGATTTTTTTCTTGAAGAGTTATCCAAATATGTTTTAGATCATCCGAATCAAGCCGCAAGCGATTATTAGCAAAAAAGACGTGAGATTTTCCCGGGCCTTGGACAGCCAGAATAACAGTATCGAAGCCAGGGACCTGGTCAAGATTGTCGATGGACCTCACGCGGTTCTCATCAAGAAAGGAAATTAAGAAAATGAAGAATCATTCTCAGAAAGAAAGAGAACGAGAGGACGACACTGTCGGCGAAGTCAAGCACGTCTACAGGAATTTCGCCTTCGTCTACCTCCGAAAAATGACACAAAACGGCGGAATGATCTCCTGCCGCTGCAAGCATCTCTTGCTCCAGGGCGCCAAGAAACGTGAGTTCCGAGGAAAATTCAAAAAAGTCTCAAAATATCAATAAGGTGAACGTTTAAGTTCTAAAAAAAAAAAAAGAATTTTTTCAGGAGAAAAATTGAAAAAACGCATTTTTTTAGCAGTCCTCTCGTGGACTTTCAAGTAAAATTTATAATCAAGTATCTCTATAAAAAAATTGACAAAGTATCAAATTGATGTTGAAATTTTTTTCAGGGTAAATACTTGGAAAAAAACTTTTTTTAGAAGGCTTTCCGGTTTCGACTTCAGAACAAAACAATAAAATATTGAACTCTTGTGATTTACAGATAACCGTTTGAACACAGCTTACCTTTTCTAAAAAAATTTTTGTAAATAATGAATTTTTTTATGAAGTGGAAGCTGACCTTGCTTTTCGTTTTTTTTTAATCCATCGCCACAATGTTCCCAAAAGAACGAAAGTATAACATTTTTAATCGGAAGTTCGTAATTTTCAGAAGAGACGCCGGTGATGGCGCGAATGCAGTCGCCGAATCCGATGGCCTCGCCGCGACCATTCGGCGCCGCGACGCCGCGAAGCGACAACATGTCGACCGGATCGCGAAGTGTTGGCGGACAGACGCCCAAGAATAATCGTCGGTTTTTTTCGTCCGAAAAATAGTATTAATCACTAAAATCTCTACTAAAAAAATGTTAGAAGAGCATTCAACTCTGAGCGGGTTTAAAATAATTGAGAGATAGTCCGTTCGCGGCGACTTGACAGTTCTCGAGTGTCTGCGTCTCTCTGTTCCCTCGTCGGCGAGGTCAGAGAAACGTGGAAATAGCACAAAAAACATTAGAGGGTCGCCGAGAGACGAGGAGGGCACAGAAGTCCCGAAAATTGTCGAAAAATCGGAATAAAAAACTAGAAAAATCTTTAAAAATCTCGAGGCGAAGAGCTTCTTTCAGTCATATTTTTGAATTAATTATGAAACTTTCCTGATCTTTTTTTCTGAGAGACCTAACTTTTTCAAAGTATTTTTGTTCTCTCTTGAAATTACTGTAGGATTTTTCTTAAAACCTCATTTTTCCAAGTTCTGTATGAGAATTTTTTTCAGCCAACCTTGGAACGGCGAACAACTTGCGAATCCGTCGTAATAATGCGATAATTGGAAAGAACATCCGCGTCACTCAAGGACCTTTCAAGGTAAAAAAAGTTATAGATGATTAAATCATATTTTTAATTAGCGTTAATTTCAAAAAAATAATTAATAAAGAAAAACTTATTTCTCCGATTAGAAAGTGTATAGGCTCACAAAAAAACTGAATTTTTTTGGAAAATAAGTTTCAAGGCTCAATTTTTCAGGGATATTTCGGTATTGTACGCGATGCGACTGAACAGACGGCTCGTGTCGAACTTCATTCATCCTGCAAGGTTGGCTTGGAATGAAGAAAACGAAGAAAGTTGTGAAAAGATTCTTTTTTGAAAAGGAAAAATTGAGTTTTAGGTGTTTAATTAAATAAAGTGCGGAAAATTTCAATTTTTTTCGAAAAAAATTATCACAAAAAGTCTTGGTTTTTCTCTTCATAACATACGCGGGCAAGTAGATAATTCAATTAGTCTGTAAGGAGGTGTTTCAATAAATGAGTTATTAAAATGAGTTTCAATCCTAGAGAGAAAGTTCAGTCAAAAAGGTGAGATTATTGATTTTAGGAAAGTATTAGTAATTTCAATTTATGAAAGCTCGGGAGAATGCGCCCTTGCTTCATTGGTGACTCCCCATTTTCCCTGCTAGAAAAAAAAAGGAAGATGATCCAATCTACACAAATTGGTGTGAAAGAACTTCGAAAAACTGGAATATTCCTCTAAAAAATCAAAAATGAAGGAAATCCTTCCCATTCAGACCATTTCTGTGGACTGTTCCCGTCTGATGGTCGTCGGCGACGCCGGCCGCGCGACGACTTCTGGCGCGGCGTCGTTCCTCTACTCGAAGACGCCCAGCAGCGACCCCACCAAGACGCCCATGTACAGCGGCTCCAAGACGCCCATGTACGGCTCGGCGACCCCCATGTACGGGTCTCAGACTCCTGCTCAAGACGGTCCGTCCTCCAGAAGCTCCCCCAGCTCATTCCGAACCTTTTGCAGGCTCGAGAACTCCTCACTACGGCTCGATGACGCCCGCCTACGAGAACTCGCACGGCGGCCGCACCCCGGCCTACGACCGGACTCCCGCCTTCACCCCCGGCTACGAGTCGAGCAGCGGCCGGACTCCCGCCTACGACAGCGGCAGCAACAGAACGCCCGCCTACGGTAACCGTACGCCGGCTTACGAGACGGCTGGAGACCGCACTCCCGCCTACGACAATCACAGCTCTGGAAGGTTTGTCGGGGTTTTTTTCTTGGGAACAAGGTCACAGATTAACACAACATTTACATACAAAACCTCCTTTTTTGTCTATTTTCAAAAATATTTCATAGGTAAAGTCGGAAAAGGTTCCATAGAAATGTTCCTTTTTTGCTGCCTTTTTGCACCATTTTCCGAGCCCTTGGGCACCCTTTTTGCTGCCTCTCCTTTTTTCGCACCATTTCTTGAGCCTTTAAAATCTTAGAAAAAAGTGGAAGACTCGATAAAGGGATTTCTTTGGTGCCTTTCTGCGGCCTTTTCGAGTCTTTCCCGTTTAGCGGCCATTATCCACCATTCCGACTTTGCCCGAGCTCCACAAGACAAATTTTACTGATTTTCTGTTGGATTTATTCGCAAAATCGTACACTTTTTATTGTCAAGGCAACACTTAAGTGTTCAACACCACTTTAGTAATAACTTATTGGTTTAGAATCGTCCGAATAAAAACACCTGATTTTTTCGCACCTTCTCCGACTATGAGAATTTAATGAAAATAATTGGAAGGTCATCCAATCAAGTTTTTTCGAAACTGAAATCAGAGATAGAAAAAATTAATCTTTTCAAAAATACCAATAAAAATATTTCCTGAACCTATTTCTTCCCGCAATTTTTTAAAATCTTCAGAAATCTCCTAAGTCATTAATCAATAACGTTTGCGGTCCTTGGCTTTCGAATGCTGGAGTTAGAATTTTTTTTTGAGTAAAAACCTGGATTATTGAGCTCTTAAGGCCCACAGTAGCATCATAGAAGAAAAACATTTTATTTTGTAAGTATTTTCTCAAAATAACAATGACCATAATCAATACTGTTTCATTTTTTATCACTTCAACTTCGACATTTTCCTTTTTCCAGAACTCCGGCCTACGACTCGATGTCCGCCGGCGGCCGTACTCCGGCCTATGAGAATTCTCACGGAGGCAGAACTCCGGCCTACGAAAATCAGAGTGGCAGAACGCCAGCTTATGAGAACCAGAGCGGTCGCACTCCGGCTTACGAAAACCAGAGCGGCCGCACGCCGGCCTATGAGTCGGCCAAGACTCCGGCCTACGACAACGAGTTCGCTCCGCAGTCGCCGACCTATGACGGACCGAGCTCGCCCAGGGACAGCGATGAGGAGGAGGAGCCGGAGGTAGTGTCATGTTGATTGAAAAAGCTGTTTTCTTTGGGTTCGAGGGTTACAAAGCTGATTCGGTTTGTACTCGGTTTGCTTCAAAACCTTAAGAGTTTTAGATAGAATTTTTGATAAAAGGCCAAAAACAGAAGATATATATTTTTTTATTTTTTTCTTTAAAGGTTTGAATCTTCATTTATTCGAAGTCTCATTATTTTTTTAGCGAATAAGAATTTTTCAAAATTTTTGTTTCCGACAGTTTTTTGGTTTTTCGAGTTTTTTTGTAATGGTTTGTAGATACTGTATGAACTGCCCGCGGTTTCAAAATTATTCACTGAAAGAAGATTACGTGAAATTAGTTGAAAAAATTGAATTTCGAGTTGTTTCGTTCTTTAATTTTGTTGAAAAATATTTTGTAAGCTCCATTTACGGCATTCCTAATGGGGTGAGGGAAGGTAAGCGAGGCGTCAAAGTTTCTGAATTTACAAAAAAAAAGTAAGTGCGCGCTTCGGATAAAATGACGTCATTCTACGTCACAAATTACATGAGTATTCAATGTTATTAAATTTTTTGTTCGATCGCTTTTGGCTGCGTACTTGAGATTTAAATTTTCGCGCCAATTTTTTTTTTTTTTTGACGTTTTCCCACCCCGTTTGGGACTCCATTCTTCATGAAACTGACTGGCCTTCCTGCGCTCTCTTTTCTCTCACCAGAGAAATCTTAAAAAAGTGAAAATAGAAGGAAAGAATGGGTTTTACAACAAAAGCTTTGATAAATTGGATTGCTTTAAGTTTCGGGGAATGATGTATAAAAAATGGGGGACTTTTTAGAAATTTTTCTAAGTTTAGTTCATTCTCTATTTTCATCATTTTTAAGCGCGTCAGCTCTCCGGTCTACGATTCGCCAGCCTCACCGCAATACGTTGCTCCGACTCCTGGCGCCAATTTGAACCCCCAGACGCCGTATTCCGTCGACAGCGGTTTCTATCTCTTCCCGTGAAGTTATAATGAGGCATTTTAGGTAATTTCAATGCTCCGATGACGCCTGGCAATGCGATGTACAACGACTACGCGGCCCCCTCGCCGTTCCCAAGTGGACCCAATTACGAGGCCGGCAGTTACAGCACGGCCGACGAGACTATCCGTGAGTTTTGTAAATGAAAATTCAAGGTGTTTCAGAAGCAAGACAAAATTAATCATTTCGCCGCTTTGAATTTGAAAAATAGATTCAGAAACGGAAATTTTGTTTTGTTTATCTTTATCGAAACTTGAGAAAAAAATGTACTGCAGCCGACAAAAAGCATCCGAAATAGTTATTTTTTTCAGAACAAGTGAGAAAAACAAGAAAAAAATCTGACTTTGGTCCAAAAAAACTCAAGAAATTTCCCGAAAAAAAGACGAAATTAATCATTTTTTTCTGCACTCGAAAAAAATTCAGAAGCTGAGTTTTAGTTTTTCTTAATCATGGATTTTTTTGATTTATAAAATTGAGTTGAAGTTGTCGAAAAAAACTTCCAAAAAAATAGGTATTTTTTTATCCGAAGGAGAAAAACCAGGAAAAACAAAGAAATTGCTGAAAAAGTTTAAATTTAGCTAACAAAAAGCAGTAATTACGACCTACAAGTCTAAAAGTTTTTGTGAGAAAAATCGTCTGAAACTCTGAAATTTTTTTCGATGGTGACTAGTTTCAATAGTTTTTTGTCTCAACAAAAAAGCTGCGATTCTTCAAAATTTCAATGAATCTCGTTGACATCGTTTTTGATGTTTCGAGTAAAGCTCAAAAAAATTGAATAAATTTTTTTGATTTTTGTTTGTTACATTGCGATTAGGCTCGATTTTACTCTAACAAAAATAGGAGTGTACTCCGCAGTGAACCCCGAAAAAGGTGAACTTTTGGCTGATTTTTGCTCTGCACCCCACGTTTTACCTTGAAAAATATTCGCATTTTTCGATTTTGATAAGGTTTTCTGACCAAGAAATCAATAAACTTTAAAAAAGTCATTTTTTCGTTTCCTGTCATTGGAATGAAGATTATTTCTACAAAAAGGGTATTCTTTCAATAATAAGGTTTTTTTGAATTGGCCCCAAAACGCATCGCGACCGCTTCGTACACGAACTGCAATAGTGGCACTCCACCTTTTCAAGCCGAGAAAAAATAATTTTACTTTATGAGCATTTTTTTTTTCAGCTCAACACCATCTGTCGCAAGGCAAATGGATCGTGCAGAATATGTACGTGACGATCGTCGACCACGACCCGAGATTCAACGATCGTGAGGGCGTCGTTCGTCAAGTTGCCGTGCGTTTTGAAATGCTCAAAATTTCTTCATAGATTTGATAACATTGAAATTAATCTCATTTCCCTTGTTACGCTATCATTTTCAGAACGGGCGCGTCGAACTCTACGTTCCTGACCTGAAGACCGACCTTGAGGCGGATTTTGATCAAGTCGTGCCAACGCGTCCGCATGCACACGATTATGTAAGTTTTTATCGAAGTTTGTGGGGATTGCCGCCAAAAATAAGCCTCTTTGCGCATAGTTCAATCATTAAAACTTTCTGAAATATAAAAAAAATCAGCTAGGAGAACCTGAATTTGGATTAGGGCTTTAAAGAGGAATCTTCATGAGGATCTTTTTGAGAATGGCTCGACGAGTTGCGGTCGCGCTGCGGTTTCAGCTAGATATGTAAAAAAAAAACTGATCATAAGATTTTTTACTAGATACGCGGAAGTCACTTTTGGTCGGGCGCACATTTGTGTTGATAATTTGTTTCGTCGTTGACCAATCCTACAAGTAAAAAATTTTAGCGACATCTGGATCTCTCCTGTTCACACGCTATATAGCTGATTCACGGTTAACCTAGGACGCTAAGAGGGCGTGGCTTGTCTGCGCTCTCCACGAGCCAGTCACTATCTCAAGCATTATCGTGTCAGGACCCTTTTTTTGATGGCTCAAGCCAGCCGTGAATCAGCTATATTCAGTTTATGAAGAACATCAAGTTTTTTTAATTTTAGTGATTTTTTTTTTCGTAGTTTTCGTCCAAAACTAGATGTCCCATTGAACTTAGCGTGGAATTCTCTATGAGATAGGAAAAATTTTCATCAAATTGGTGATTTTCAAATCAAAAACCTTGGCTCTAACCGCAACGCGTTAAGCCATTCCAAGTGCGGCTTTTGAAAATCAACTCATAATGAAGATAATTCGAAAAATTGTCCAGGTCCGCGTGATCTACGGACCGGACATGGGCTACACCGGAGTCGTCGTGGAGCTGAGAGGGAGTTCGGCGATCATCCGTTCGAACGCCGACCATTCCTTGGAACGCAACATCAACGCCGGCCTCTGCTGCAGAATGGCCGGCGATTAATCAAACTTCAATTTTGATATCTGCTTTTTAGAGTTGTCTTTTTCCTGGGGGATCGGTTTAGTTGGTTTTTTGAGTCTTCATAGTTTTAAAGGAGCATGCTCAATGTTTCAAAAGGTCTCGAGGCGATTAGGGATTTTCGTTCACTAAATGCGCTTATATACTTGCTTTTTTAGGATATATTTCTGGCTTCTAAACGTTTTCTCACCTAATCAGGTCTCGAAACGACTTTCCTCCCAACTAAGCCAATCCCTCCACCTTTTCTTCTTCTCTAGATCCAGCTTTTTGTTTGTTTCTAAAACTTTATTGTCTCTTTCTTTCCCGCCCAGATGCTGTTTTCCATCTCTCTCTAGCGTTATTTATCTTCGAAACGGATTCTTTTTTTTTCTCATAATCTCCCTTATATATTGTCGTTTTGTTGTTGGAAAGCCGACTACTGGTAGATGAAACCCTACTCCCATTTATTTATTCTTTTCTTTTTTCATTAGAATTCCTTGTCTCTTGGGCCGTTGTGTTGCGAATAAAATTTTCTTAAAGGAAAATTTGAGCTTGAAAGGGAAAATTATTGATTATCTCTTTGTAATATGCTTCAAATCATGGATTTTTTCAATCAAAATCAAGATTATCAGAAATTTGGCAAGATTTGAACTTTAAAAAAAATTAATTATTTATTGCGTCTCATTATTCCCATTGAGGTTTCGAAGTATTTCTCTGTTTCCGTGATATTATTTTCAAACCTAATTTTTCGTTTTCAATAGTAATCTAAAGTTTGTGTAGTTAATCATCTGTAATTTTTAAAGGCGCATCAAGTTAGCGGGGCTTAAAACGTTCAAATAGGTTTTTCATGATAGAACTTTTGGCACTTTTTAGCCCAACTGAGACCCCGCTTTAGCCCAGCTGGGTTACCTATTTTTCTTACACCCGTTTTTCCCCCGTTTTAGCCCAACTGAGACTAAAATAACCTCAGAAACACGGGTTTAATACGGGTACACCCGTTGAGACACCTGCTCAGCATGCGAGTTAGGAAACCTGTTTTTTCCTAGCTTGAGCTTTGAAATTTTATTTTGTATTCCTACCTAAACCAAATGTCAAAATCTAAACTATTTCTTCGGTTTCAAGTCTCAATGACTTCTTAAAAGTTAGAGTTCATCAGTCAAGCTTGAAAAATTCTGACCTGTCTGCGTCTCTTTCCCCTCGCCATGGAGAAAGTAGAAAGTAAAAATGAGAGCGTCACCGGGGGAAAAGAGAAAAAAAAAAGAGAGATGAGGATTTTTGAAGTAAGGTTGAAAAAATGACACTTTCAAAATACAATGAGTATCATGATTATGAAAAAGGTGTTCCTTATCGATGACTAAACTCTTTTTTTCTATTATCTTTCAAGCAGACGGCTTATCACAGTTTTCCGCTTATGGTTTAAATGTGTCACGATTTGTTTGATTTGTGTCATTTTGCTCCGTTTTCGACATGAAATTGTTGAGGTTCTACGCTGTTTTTGGTTTGGTTCTCGGCGCTGTTTTGGCGGAAACCTACTTTGGTGAGCTTTTTTTCGACTTTTCTTTGATTGAATGTTAAATATTCTCTTTGAAGTTTCTTTCTGTGGTGTTTGAAAATGCAAAAGTTTCGAAAGACTCAAAAAAGGCTCTCTGTTTCATAATATTAGCTCGGTAAAAAAATGTGCCTTTTTTTGATTTGTATTTTCTTAAGAGTATAAGCGTTGACTATGAGGATGGTGGTGTTATACGACGCTTTGAGGGGAGTTTCGACGGATTATGAAGCCTCCTATTTTTTATTTTTTGGCACCGACATTATGACTCGACCGTCCTTGCAGCGCTGTGCTACGGGGCCGTAACTTTGTCAAAAACAAAACCTCCGAGAAACATCATAGGCCATTCCGCGCTAGCTTGTCACTTTTTTCTTTCCGCCAAAAGGCCAGGTCAAATTTAACCAACTTTCGTTTCAAGACCTTTGTTTCTTTCCGTTGTAAAAGCAGAAATTTGATCTAATTTGGTATACGGTCTTTTTGGCGGAAAGGAAAACGTGACAAGCTGGCGCGTAATAGGCTATAACACCACCCAACGGACGACGCTGGTTCATGGCTGGTTTTCGAAAAATGGGTCCCGACACGATAAGAAAAGAGACTGGTGGAAGGCGCAAAGAGGGATGCGCCTTTCAGAGTCCCAAGTGGAATGGGCTATAAGATCCCTACTTGGAATCAGCCGGAAAGAGCAACACGAACTCATGATACGAAGCACAACCTTCGTGGGCAATCGGGGATATAGCCCGACAGCGAACGGGCGGTTCAATTTTCGCGGCGAAGGTAGATCATGGCGACAATCCCTGCGCCTTTCATGAAAGACCCCATTTTATGACTTATTTATTTTTTTCTCTTTTAGTTAGTCGATTTTAAGAAAAATCTAAAAAAATCAATGAAATGAATTTAAACAAAAATGAAATTCAATAGAAACAAAAATAATTTATCAAATGAAGCTCTTATTAAAGGCGCATGTATGGCCGCCATGACCTACCATCGCCGCGCAAGTTGAACCGCCCGTTCGCTGTCCCAAGCCAGCTGTGAACGGGCTATACGCAGTCGAACACATCCGCGAAGCAAAAATAAGATGAGCAAACAAAAAATAGATGAGCAGCACGGCATTCCTAATGGGGTGAGGGAAGGTGAGCGAGGCATCAAGGTTTCTGAATTCACAAGAAAAAAGTAAGTGCGCGCTTCGGATAAAAGGACTGTGACGTCACAGCTACCTATCGTTGCAAATTAAACTGAGTATTCAACGGCGTGAAGAATACATTAAACTGAGTATTCAACGGCGTGAAGAATACAAATTAAACTGAGTATTCAACGGCGTGAAGAATACATTTGGCTGCGTACTTAAGATTCCATATTTCGCGCCAAAATTTTTTTGACGTCTCCCCACCCCGTTTGGGAACGCCGTGAGCAGGACGAGCCAGTCAGCTTATTCCGAAGCGAATCCCGATAAACTTGACAATGAAAGCCTTTTTCAAAAAGAGAAAAACAAAATCATAGTTGAAATTTTATTTCTGACGCAATAAAACATAACATTAACTGTACGAACCGTGTTCAATGGTTGGATTTATTGGAAAGATTAACGATCACTTGTTGGCGTAGTTGACTCTGAGATTGCGGCCATTGAACGCCTGTCCATTCAACTCTTCGACTGCCCGTTGAGCTCCAGATTCATCCGCATACTCGACGAAGCAGAATCCTCTCGGACGACCAGTTTCGCGGTCGTAGACAATTCTTGAAACAGATTCGTTGAGGCGATGAATTTCAAACTTGAAACTAACCTGACGTTTTGGACTTCTCCAATAGAGCTGAAGTAGCTGCCTATGTCTTGTTCTGTCGCATCGTATGGGAGATTTCCGACTGAAAATAATTTTCAAAGTCGAGTCGAGAGATTGATGTGCGTAACCATCTTACAAGACAGGTGACTAGTTTTTGAAAAAAAATAACCGCAATAAATGAAATAAAAAACGGGGTTTGAGATGGAAGCAAAACCTTTTAGAGCTTTTCATTTTGAATCGAGTAGTCCATTTGTAAGATCAGATATGCGTGATTTAAAAAAAAATTTTCCAGTCATTTAAATTTGAAAAAAATTCTTCGGAGTAGTTTTTCTTCTCTATAAAATTTTTTAGGGAAACAAAAAACACACCACGGCGTTCCCAAACGAGGTGGGGAGACGGTGGTATGAAAAAAAGACCAGCGAAAATTCAAACGGCGACTTTTCCGATTTTTTCATATCGCTAGGGAACTTTCCGACGGCCACCTTCCGACGAATCTTTTTCCGACTTTTTTTCTCGATTAACTTTTCGTTTTAAATCTCCCTATATGAATTAGGTAGTTGGTTAATGATTAAAACACAAAAAAATGGGAAAAAAAAATGTTTATAGATGTTTTATAAACCGAAAAACTTAAGGGAAAAAGTCAGAAAGGGATCCGTCGGAAAGGTGGCCGTCGGACAGTTCCCTAGCGATATGAAAAAATAGGAAAAGTCGCCGTTCGAACTTTCGCTGGTGGTTTTTTCATACCACCGGGGAGACGTCAAGAAAAATTTGGCGCGAAATTCGAAATCTCAAGTACGCACCCAAAGGCGATCGAGCAAATATGTTATTAATGTTTATGCCGTGTTCAAAGTAATTTCCGCGAAATGCGAAATTGTCTCTGACCCTCCAAAATTTAGTTATCTTTCTCTTTCTCTGAAGGCTATTTTGAATTTCGCGGAATCACTTTGAACACGGCATTAATACTCAGTGTAATTATGACGTCAATTTATCCGGAGCGCGCACTTACTTTTTTTTTGCAAATTCGAAAACTTTGACGCCTCGCTCACCTTCCCTCACCCCGTTAGGAATGCCGTGCACACATCGATGATAAAGGAAACGCAAAAATCGATATGGCAATCGAAATTTGTGGAAAATCATCATTTTCCCCCACGTAACATTTCGCGATCAAAATTTGCAAATATTGTATAAATAGAAAATTTTCATGACGGAAATTTTGGTGACAACAGTATTGCAATTTGAAAGAAACAAAAAAAAAAAAATCTCTTCGACTTTTGAATTTTTTTTTTCTTTTTTTGAACTAGGGAGTTTTTTTGTACGCTTCCAAGTACACCGTTCGACACACAATAAAAATCTAAAAAGCAAACACAAAATGACATTTTTTTTTTCTCAACTCCTTTTTTTACTATTATGCCTTTAAAGTCAAAGAAAAGCATCAAAAACTCCTAAAATGAATCATTCTCCGTCGAAACCCACCGTATACTGCGAATCCTTGAGCAGCCATGACGAATCCTGGAATGAAAAAAAGAAATAGTAGAACGGATCGATAATAGGACGGTCGAATGACTATAGAGAAAGGAAAAATGAGCGCGTTAACTGCCGAGAGTGCAGGGCGTTTCAGTGGTCTCGCAACAGCGATTGTAATGTTCAAAGGAGGGCAATAAAAAACGCGTGACAACGAGAGAGAGCGTCGACCAAAAACCTAGACAACAATCTCAAAGATCGCCCTACTTTTTGAAAATTCAAAGTTATCTTTTTAACTTTCCGCTCTCATAAAGAAATAATCATTACAAAGATTCCCATATGCTTGAAAAATAGCGATTTGAAGATATTTCAAAGGAATTTATATATTGCGCGGCCGTTTCGGGTCTCAAAAAATGGACGGCGGGGAGGGTGGTCTTTCGTCAGCATTTTACCCTTTTGCTTTAAACCAAAACATTCCTTAAATTTTGACTACACCAAGACGCAATATTCATAAATGTTAAAATAAATCAAATATAGCCAAAAGAGCAAAAATAAAACAAAATAAGACAAAAAGAGAAATAAAGACACAACACGAGTATCGAGTGATGTTTAGCGGGGCGGTGGGGGTCAAAGTGATGAGGTAAGTGGTCAAAAAGTTACGAGGTCCAAAATATAGATTAAGTCTATAATTTCGAGGTAAGGTAATTCAAAGGCGATTTGTTTTTTTTGCAGAATTAACCTGAATGCTCTTAAGTACAATTGGATTTAATTTTTGCAACAGACTTTTTTTAAAAATTTCTTTGAACTTTGAATTTAGTTTTTTTGATGAATTTGGATTTTAAAATTAATTTCTTTTTGTAACTCGTACTAGTTAAAAACTGTTGAGTTAAAACTTGAATAAGGGGAAAAAAATGAATAAGGAATAAAAGATTTAACAACGTGTCAATTTTAAAATTTTTAAAATTTGTGCACCGGTGCGAAAGAGTGTTTACATTTTTCGCGGTTACTGTAAACTGACCCCGTCTAAATTTCGAATTATAAAGCAAATTTGACATTTTCTCAATTGAACTTTAGTTAACTAGAGTTAGTTAGCTAGCTTTTCTGTCGAACTCAAAAAATGCGGAGATTAAAGGTTTGATATATTGGACTCAGAGTCGATCTCTTTTCCTCTGCATTTTTCAAAAGATGAGCTCGAAAAAAAGACTTCCAATCAGGAGTAAAAATGCTTCCCTCATGAAAATTGTCACTTTCGTTTCACTTCTCTTCCATTTTGAGCATTTCAGATTGCTCAAAAAGCTCCTTGACACTGACGGATGATCTCTATGGAGCGAATTTCACGACCGTTAATGGCCAACCAGGAAAATGCACTATCAAGGTCCCATCAAACCGAAAATTAGTATAAAATACAGGAAATATTTCAGATTTCTATGGAAGTCGTTTATTTGAAGCCCCGGATCCTATTGGGGGCTGTGGGTGGCAATGATTACATAAAAGTGACCCAAAATACTCCTTATCGCAACTTGGTTTACACGTAAGTTATGCCGTGCGTTAAAGTAAAAATAAATTGAAAATGAAAAGTTCAGGTTGAATGCGGACAATTCAACCAGCTACAACTTGCCCTTGGCCCCGGCTGATTTTTCAATTGAAATATCGATTTCTGATCCCAATTACGTCATTATCATTCATTCTGAAACATGTTGGTCTTTTTCGAAAATTTGAAGTTTCCCATTCGCCGTGAAATTGAAATATTCTGACTTCTCTGTGCTCTCTTGGCTTCTGTATACATGTTCCTATGATCTAGTCAGCGAGGGAAAGGAGAGAGGAGAGCGCAGACAAGATTTTTCCAAGTTCTGTCAAAAAAAAGAAAAAAAATGAGCTGAAATTCTTTTAAACGATTCAGTTTGTACAATCTAGTGATAATCGCGTTTTCAAAGTTCGATTTTTCCTTATCTTTCAATAATAATTTATTCACTGCCATTTTCACTGTAATCAGTAAAAAAAAAATTTATCCGAAAAATCAGCCATAAAACGCACGGATTAGCCCTTCGTTGACCGCATCATTTATGCCTCATCGAGATTGATATTATCAAAAAAGTTTTCACTTGCTCTCTCACTGAGGTAGGAGAGAGTATAAGTTAGAGACTGCAGAAAACTCTGAGCTTTTCAATTTTGGATGAGTTAAAGAGAGAATTTTCTCGAAATTCACGAAACATTTTTTCAGTTGCTCCAACGGAAGAAAGTGTGACGGCGGTAGCTCAGCCGCTGGCGACGGTGGTCCAAGCCAAAACCTTGACCTCCAGAAAAATTCTGACTTTCACGGCTGACGTGCCTCTGTCGATTCGCTACGCTGACTTTGGGAGTTCCGCAATTCTGGCCGACGCCTTCAATAGCATGTTCGTCTACGAAGGCTTCAACTACCTGGGAAGGTGGGAAGTCGATGATTTCTGATAGGATTCTGATGTGAATTATTTATGAATGGCATCAAGATTCGGAGGGATTTTTTCATTAAAACTTGAGATTTACACCTTTTTGAAAGAAGGGAATTTTGGGAAAATCAAAAATATATTTTTTATCTCAAACTTCCACGGACTCTAGTAACGGAAACTGGTCGATTCTGAGCATTTCAAGTGATCACTTAAGAATGCTGACGCCGCTGAAGTGATCCCTGGACATACTCAGAAAAGTCCGTGTTGCGTCTGGTTCCCGGCACCGAGAACAGAGTGGTCGTAGTCCTTCGAAATAAAATTCGATAGTATCGTGTTTTCAGTATGAACGATGTGATCAACTGTCCGTCGGACAAGCCGATCACCAGCCAGGGGAAATCTCTGAGCTTCATCAACGCCGCTGGCGGCAACTTCAGTGGCTACGGGATCGTCATCAGTCAACCCAACAGTTAGTTTTTGGAGGTATAGCCGGTTCAGGCTTGGGGCTTCTTTGCTCTTTCCACCAATCGGGCTCTTTTTTTTCGTCTCAAGACCCTTTTTCCGATGAATCAAGCCTATGAACTGTAAATTTTTGTAAATCACACTTTTATTTCTACTTCTTAACCAAACTATTCCCACTATGTGCATTTTTCACTCGGATTCCGAATATATCTAAAATTTTCCAAGGACTACTTGGAGAGGACTCTAAAGTGGCCACTATTTTTCGTTTTAGTGGCCACTTCAGTAGTTTTCCATCCAGTATTCCTTCCAGCAACTTTAATAATTTTAAAACAAAAAGATCGGACCAGTTATGTTGATCCATTGACCCCTAAAGTGGCCACTAAAATTTTTAGTGGTCTATTAGTAGCACTTAGACCGCTATAGTGGCCACTAAATTTTAACCCCTTAAGCAACTACTAATTTGATTACTATAGTGACCGCTAAAACGTCAAAACCCTATAGTGGCCACCAAAAGTTTTTCCAGGTGCTTGAAACTCGCCACTCAAAGATGCAAATAGTCGGCTAAAAGAGTCTCTAGAACGTTTAAAAATATTTTTCAGGTTTGACGAACAATGTAGTGATAATGCAACTGCCAAACGTTGCCTTGAACACGATCCAACACAGTTTGGTCCTGAATCCCGGAGAAGACAAGAAACTTTTCCAGTGGGTCGGAAACGATTATTACACATCCATACAAACCAATTACCTCGTCGATTACAATTTTGTGAGCTTTTGAAGTTTCTGCGGAAAGAATCGGCTGTTTTTAGAAATCGGCTGCTGCGAAATTGACAATTTATGCGGGTTGTTTGACTCAAGCCGTGGAGAGTTTGAGGATCGCCACTATTACGTTTGTTTTTTTGTGTATTGCAAATCTTTAGAAAAAATAAGGAAGGTTACCTCTTTTGCAATAAGAAGAGCTTCACTGTGAAAAACTTCGATGGCCACTTAAGAGGCTTTTTGAAGATAACTTGGCACTAAAACCGCCTCTAGAGTGGCCTCTTTAGTGATCCAGTGATACCATTCACGCTTTTAAAGAGGCCACTTAATTCTAGCCATTCAAGGGGCCATCTATTTGATTACTATAGTGGCCACTAAAACACTACTGAAATTGTCCTAGTTGCTTGTGGCTCTAAGGGGCGTGGCCTGTCTGCACTCTCCACCAACCAGGCACTCTTTTTTGGAGTGAAGCCTTCTTTTTTAATGATGACCTAGACTAGCCAGTTTCAAGTTGTGTATAATCAGCTTTTTCGGAAAAAATGAGTTCGAAAATCAATTTTCTTGAATTTAGAAACGACACGGCCGAAGATTTCACGAATTTGGCGCTCCAAGGCGATTGTCGGACCTACCTGCTCGAACAGGGATCCGTCTCCGTTATTACTAGATATTCATGTTAGTATTTTCCGAAGCAAAGGCATTTCGAAAACAAAAAGTTGCAACAAAATTCACCAATTGAAATTTTTTCTGAGGCTTTGAAGATAGATTGAATGAAATCGAGATTTTATTAATGATTATTGATTTTTTAACGAATTTTCCTAGAAGGTACTACCAATATTAGACTATTCAGTAAAAGAAAAACCCTGTGAATCTCGATTTTTTTGGTCTAAAAAAAATATTTTGTATGTCAATATATGTCAAGGGAGAGGCTCAAAAAGGCCGCAAAAAGGTCGCAAAAAGGCAGCAAAAAGGCAGCAAAAAGGCTGCTAAAAGGCAGCAAAAAGGCTGCTAAAAGGCCGCGAAAAGGCCGCAAAAAAGCCGCAAAAAAGCAGCAAAAAGACTGCTGAAAGGCAGCAAAAAGGCTGCTAAAAGGCCGCGAAAAGGTCGCAAAAAAGCCGCAAAAAAGCAGCAAAAAGACTGCTAAAAGGCCGCAAAAAAGGCCGCAAAAAGGCAGCAAAAAGGCTGCTAAAAGGCCGCAAAAAGGTCGCAAAAAAGCCGCAAAAAAGCAGCAAAAAAAGCAGCAAAAAGAGTCCCTTTATCGAGCCTTTCATTTTTCTGAGACTCTAAAGGCTCAAGAAATGGTGGAAAAAGGGAGAGGCAGCAAAAATGGTGCAAAACTGAAACAAAAAGGCAGCAAAAAGGGAACCTTTTTTCACCCTTTCCGACTTTGTCTATGTATCTTATTCAAACAACTCCTCTCATTAATTCCGCATGGTCTTACAAAACTCTATCACGAAAAATGTCTTTTTACATCGAATTTCGAATAAATCTGAACGATTCCAGACGAGACAGTCCTCTACAAGTACCCCAACGGTCACAAAGGAGCCATAATGTCGTCGTATTTGACGGAATCGCCGTCGACGGACGAGTCCCGCAATTACCTGATCCAACCGGCCGACAACTCCGCCGTTACTGTAACCTACGACTTTGTGACTTTCGATCCGACGTCACCTTTCTCGCCGAGTCTCACCGTCACCGACTACCGTAGCAAGCAACCCGAGAAAAATACGACGTGAGTATTGCCCATTCGGCGGCAGCTTGTCACGATTTTTTCTTAAGAAACTTGCGGCCTGTTTCTGCGCATGCGCCTTGAATATAAAGGGGTTTTCTCTGCATGCGCCTTTAATATAACTGGAATTTCCTCCATTCATACGCCTTTAATCTATCGGGTATTTTCTCTGTCCATGCGCCTTTAATATATAGCTGATTCACGGCTGGCTTGAGCCATCGAGAAAAGGGTCCTGCCACGAAAAGAGACGAGACAGTGCCCTGGTTGGTGGAGATTGCAGGCATGCCACGCCTTTTTGCGTCCCAAGCTAGCCGTGAATCGTTTATAACAGGAGTTTTCTCTGTGCACGCGCCTTTAATATAACTGAAATTTTTAAGCTCTATTAAAGGCGCATGTACAGAGCTAGGCTTCGTCTATCCAATAATGGGTTCTGTAGCTCCAATTCAATATAAAAATCGTAGAAAAGAGACTTAGAATTGGGTACAAGGAAAAATGAGGTTTGAATGAAGAGAGCTGTCTTTGAAAACTTCTACTTTTTAAAAATTCATTTGAAACGCAGGCTTGTTCAGCGTAGGTTGAAGTTAGGTTTTGATTTTTAAAGCAAAAGTATAGAAAAAAAATCCAGTAATATAACTTCCCAAAAGATGTGCTCAACAGCAAAAGTTCACATTCTTTGAACTCGACATTCGGATTTTCGAAAAATTTTCAATTTTGAAGTTTTTTTTAGTTACATCGGCTCTGTCCCGACAACAGTTACAATTGGACCATCATATCAACAATTTATCGTCTTGAAAGTTCCTCCAAAATCGAAAGGGTTGTTGGTTCGGTTCTCGGTCAAGACCAGCAGCGCTTCAGGTTATTTTTGCTTTTTTAAAATTGATAATGGATTCAGAAGAAGATTACTCATTTTTTTATCTTTTTACATTTCAAAAAGCTACCATGAAAAGCTCATTACAAATTTCATTTCATCAATTCATTTTTTTCAGGTCTTCTGTGCTGTTCAATGTTTCTGCTGGCGTTGGTAATCTCCTACCTCTACGTGTAATCTTTTTCGGAACATTTTTACTTTTTGAAGAGCTTATTGTCTTTTCTTCATTTTTTAATAATAAAGGACTAATAAAGAATTTCAAAAATGTTCCATTTTCTGGATCCAGAAGGTTATTTTCTTATACTATAAGGGTCCTGACAGACAGGCCATGCTCTTTTTGCCGCAATGTCGCTGTGAATCGGCTATAGCTCATTCACAACTGGCTTGAACCAACGACAAAAGGGTCCTGCCACGAAAAGAGAAGAGACAGTGCCTGGTTGGTGGAGAGTGCAGACAGGCTACGCCCTTTTCGCCCCGAGGTATAGTCTGTTCAAATTTTGAATTTCAAGTCGCCGCTCAAGCTCCGCCTTCTAATGGCGCGACAAACCAATCAGAGAGCGAGCCATCCACAGAGCGTTTTCGAATAACGTCATTGCACTTGACATTCAAAGTCTGAACAGACTATAACCGTGAAAGCTAGAAAACTATTTCAGAACCCTCCAAAAGCTCAGAGCCCATTCACGTAAACTACAGTTCCGTTTTTATCAAATGAATCACCTATAGGTGTCAAGTATTCAAGTCATTTCGAAATAGTTGATGAGTGGAACTGTACCCGGGATTTCTTTAAAACACAAACTAATTCCCTAATAAAGCAATCATTAAGCCTACAAACTATAAGAATTCGTTTCGAGGGACATGACAAAATACAAAGTAAACACTCTTATCGTCACTCTCCCCCCTTCAAGTAAGCGCTATTTTCCAATTTTTATCAATTCTTTTTTTTCCATGCAGACTATTCTGTTTGCCGTTTTTGGGCTTTTGATCGCAAGAGCTTCGGCTGAAAGTTCCTTCGGTTGGTTTTTTTTTTTTGAAAAATGCATTAAATTTTCAGTTTCTTATGCCCTGTTAAAAGCGGTTTCACAAAATTCGGAATAACAATTAGAGAGTGAAAAAGATAATTTAATTTCGAAGAGTCAGAAACTATTTTGCATTTCGCGGAAAGTACTTCAAACACGGATTTGTAGGTAGAAATTTTTTTTTTCACTGGAAGCTAGGGAAGTTGTATTCAAACGAATTTCGCTTTTACTTTTGAAAAAAAGCCAATAAGCTTTCCAGAAATATTCATTTTGACAATTCTTATTGTTGGTTTTTTTCAAATATTTTTCTCTTACAAATAATTCAAAATCCTTCCGAAGCTGGGAAAATTTTCGAATTTGTAGAAAACACTAGAAATAGCACCAAAAGTTATTCCAATTTTTTTCTTCGAAAAAACGGCGGTTTAAATAAAAGAAGGCAAAAAAAAGGTCGGAAAAAGTTTCATCGCCTTTTTAGTAGTATGCATACACGGTGATATACACCGCCCGCGATTTTGCGGCCTTTGATTTTTTCGCCAACGAAAATTCCGCTAATCTTGTTCCCATAACACCGGAAAAAAACCCGATAAACAATCAGTAAATGAAAAAAGAAACGGTTTTTGTACGAAAGAGGTAAAAAAAGTAATATGCGAAGTTGTTACTTTTTTTCGTAGAAAAATACTTACTTTCCTTTTTTTTAAATTACTAAGTTCCAGATTGCACCACCAAGGAAATCACATTGAATGATCGCTTAATAGGTCATAGTTTCACCAACACTAAGGGAACCACCGCAAAATGTACAGTCAAGGTAGGAAATTTATATTTTTTGATCGAAATATTCTTTTTAGGTGACCCTGGGAGCGGATTATTTGAAGCCAAGCCTTTCAATTCCAAATCTGAAAGGCGCTGACTATATCCTGTTCATTCAGAACACGCCCTATAGAAATTTGACCTTTTGGTGAGATTTTCTTGATGTTATAGCCCATCCCACGACAGTTTGTTCAAATTTTTTTTGTCGGTCAAAAATACAGTATACCAAATTTAACATAAAATTTCTTTAAGACCTTTTTTCTGTATTTTTTTGCCGTTTTGTATAGAAAATCTGCGAAATAACTGTGTTTACGGTAACTTTTTTCGCTGTGCTTCAGAAACATTCGGTGCCACACATTATATTCAATTCGAATAATAATTTCAGGTATAACAGCACGAAAATTCCCGATGACCTCGGAATGCTCGCTCCCGCTGACTTTTCTTTGGAAATCTCAATTTCCGACCCCGGCTATTCTTTCGTGGTCCAGGCGAAAAGTTGTAAGTTTTCATATTTTCATCAGATGTTGCATGGAAAACATTTTCGGTACTAAGAAGCTTTGGTTAAGTTTCCAAAAAAGTGAGCTTTCAAAATGATTTTGGCTGTATAGAACTTCTACATTTCCAAAAAAAATTCGTTATCTTTTTTGGTTAAAAACATTTTATGAAAAAAAATAAATTTGGCGAGATAGAAACGGGTTGTTGTAGTTGAGATTGTTTAAGTTAAATAAATCATTATTGAATCCATTGGATCAAGGCATTTTTTAAAATTTCGATGCCGATATCAAATAATTTATGAACTTTTTGTGTTTTGATGTTTATCCCATAACAGTATTTCGAAGAAAGACTCGCTTTCTTCTCACTAAACTGACCAGAATGAAAAAAATAAAAATTTATTTTTCTAGGAAAAAAATAATTTTCATAGGATTTCCTGAAATGAATATTTTTTTCGCTTTGAAAAAAATGAGAAAAATTAAACGAGAAATTGTGATTTTTTTGTAAATTTGTAAACGAGGTTTTTTTCTGATGAGTTTCATAAAGGATGTGGAAAGTGAGCAGAAAGGATGGAAAAAGAAATAATTCCGAAGTCATTTTTTTAAAGTGTCAGTATGTATCCTTTCACATTTGCCAGTTAAGATCATAGAAATCTTCAAAAATAAATTTAAAAAAATTTTGCAGTCGCGCCAACCTACTCAGTATCATATGATGTGAAGATTCCACGTGCAACGGTAGTCCATTCGGAACTTTTGGTTCCAAGAAAGTTGATCACGTTCATTTCCAACACGGGAGCGCCGTTGTCGATTCGATTCGCCAATCTCGGATTCCAATTCCCCACCTCCTTGTGGAATATGTACGTCTACGAGGAGAAGACCTACCTTGGAAGGTTTGTGGAATTGGAAAATCCCTTCTTTTGGTGGACTTGCCGTCCGTTTTCTGCGACTTGAATGATGTAGTTTATCTGCGCCCTCCTCGTCCCTCAGTGACCCTCTCATGTTGACACGCTGTTTTCACGTTTTTCTGACCGCTGAGAGAACAGAGAGACGCAGACGCTCTAAAAATATTGACTTGAAAAAAGGCCGCATTTGGAATGGCTTGATGCGTTGCTTTCGCTGATGAAGTCCATTTTTTATTCAACAGCTTTTCAAGTCTTTTCTAGACTCAAAAACTCTTGAATATTAATATCTAATCGAAAATCCTAGATTTTTGATAAACTAGGGTCATTCCGAAGACCTAGAACATTTTTAGGAATTTTCCATTCGCTTTTTTTATTAAAAAAATCTCTTTCTGAACTTTTTTTATGTCTAGAAACGTTCTTAGCGAGAAATCTAACCAGAAGCTTTGACAAAATCAGTTTTTTTTTACTTTTTTAGTCTTTCTAAATTTGGTTTCGATTCAGAATTTTGCTTGAAAACTCTCCCATGTCCTGAAAATCGTTCAAAAAAGTTTAAAATTAAAATATCTGGGATTTTGATAGCACTAGAATTATTTGATGATTAATGCCCTTTTTAGTCCCTTTTGACATAGTTTTCAAGGCGGAATTTTGTTTCCCACGGCGTTTTTCTTGATGGAAAAAAAAAAATGCGAAACCAATAAAGTGGGCGGAGTCAAAATATTAAGACGAATCGAAATCTCTCTACATAAACGCAATTTTCTGCGCGAAAGCGGCGCAGTGCATGCACACGACACACGACACTTCACGGAGAAAAAGTGGGCGTGGCGTCGTCGAAAAAATGCCGTGTTCCCTTTCTCAAATCAAAAATTTAAACCAAGAGTTTAGTAAATATGAAAAGTTAGAATCAACCGAAAAATCACAGATTTTTCAGTCTCTTCGAAGTTTTGTTGGCCCCTCATTCGCAGCCACTAAAAAGCAATGGAACAAATTTGAGCTTCATCAACGGCGATCAGAGCAGTTTCACTAGCTTCGCCATCGTCGTCGCGCAACCTTACGGTACCCTAACTACAGTAATCCAGATACTGTAGGCTGTTTTGAAGGGTTCCCGGAAGACGTTGAAATCCGCAAGATTCCGTCGGAAAAGCCGGGAATTCAACAGGAAATTTGTCGTCCTGTGGAAACGAGCAAAGTTTTCCACTTCATTGGCGGAGATTTCTTCGATGCAACCAAGCCAAACGTCTTGACAGGCTTCCAATTCGTCAGTTTATCGACTTTTTTGGAATTGCTTTGTAGGAAACGAAGAAAAGAGTTGAAAAATATTGAACTTGCTTAAAAATTTCAAAGAAGATACGCTTTTTTTCGTGGAAACTTTGACTTTAGGTGTCTGATTTTTTTCTTATCACTGAAAAAAATTATTTCAAAAAAACGATTTTTCTTGTGCATTTTTCCTGTAGATTTTTTTGTTCTGTTTTTGGGGCTCTTTTTTTGGATTTTATTCCTTTATAGAGGATATTCCAAAATTTGAAGGCATTCGAAAGGTTAAAAGGTAATAAAAGAATCATATTTTCAAAGATTTAGAAAAAAAAACAGTTTTTATATCAAATATTCATTCAAATCTGAGGTGAAATATTTCTTATTGACGGAAATTTGATTAGCAAAAATTTTTAGGGGGGTTCTTTTTTCACATAGAACCGTCTGGTACCCTCAAAACCCATTACTGATCTGAAAATATCGATTTGTCCTATATTTCCGTCAAATTTGTCTTCCTGAACTTCAAAATTTCATCTTTGTGCTCTAACTAGAACAAGGAAAGAAAATCGGATAGATAAAAACGGAGTTTTCAGAGTTCCGATTTCGCCTCTCTGACCATTTACGCTGGTTGTATCACCCAACCGACGGAGAGTTTGAGAATCGCGACTATAAAGTAAAATTCCGAATCATTCTCTATTTAAAATAACCTTTTCAGCCCCATGAATGCCAAAAACTTCACAAATCTGGCCCTTCACGGCGATTGTCGCACTTATTTCGTTGAGAAGGGTACTGTCACCGTCTCCGCCAATTTTTCAGGTTCTTAGGAAAACAATTCTTGAGTCAAATGAATCTATCAAATTCAGACCCGGGAACTGATTCGAAAGTTTTCGATGGACAAAAAGGAGCTTTAATGTCGTCGTATTTGACGGAGCCGCCAAGTAAAATTGAAGAAAGTACTGTTGTTCTGCAGCCTGCAGGTAACTGAAACTGAGGGAGATTTTATCACCTTTTGGAAAAAATTTTTGGTCAGGAAATTTCGAAAAATGCTCAAAAGGTTGATAGAAAACAAAGTTAGCGGAAAATAGCTGCATAAAATAGCTTCGATGAATATTTTAGCTTGTAAATACGGTAAAGTCAAGAAAGGTACGAACAAAAATTTCGCTTCCAACTGCTCGTAGAGTTCAATTTTTTTTTTGAACTTGTTAAACTGAGTTTTTTTTTTCTGCGTGCTGATGTCTATGCGCGCAAATCGTTTTAAGTCGGACGCGTTTCAAAAGAGCTGCAAAACCGAGTCATTCCAAGTGCGACCATGAAATCCCGAATGAAGAATATGTTTTAAAAAAATAGGAAAAATTCGTTAAAATTATAAGAGGATAATTTCATTTTTTTTTTTCTTGAAGTTAAGCTTAAAGCATTGTAAAGAAATATTGATTTTTTTACCTGCTTATTTGTGGTCGCGTGGCGAATGGCTCGAAGCGTCGCGGTTCGAACAGATTGGGCTTTATTGTTTTCTGACGTCTAGGCGCGCAAGTCGTTTTAAGTCGGACGCGTTTCAAAAGAGCCGTTTCAAAGCCGAGCCATTCCAAGTGCGACCATAGAACTTTAAGTTGAAAAGGGCAGAGCATATTGTAAATCTTTAAAAATTAAGAATAACTTGTTGAAGTTAGATTTTTCCAGCAATAGATTATTTTTGCAAGAAAGAAGAAATCACCCACTATTGATGAGAATCATCCTAGAAATATGTTATATCACTGAAACGTATTCAAATTTGGGACCGCAAAGCTCCGCCCACTTTTTTTCTTTTTTTGATCTGCTCGGTTTTTTTCAGGTTATCAATCAAAAAAGGGGGTTTTTTTAATAAAAAAAGTATCACGATTTTCAACTCAAAACTGGACAAAAAAACACTCAGATACAAATTTTTTTCGAAAAAAATCGAGGTCCCTGGTTTTTTTCTTATTTTTTTCCAATCTTTAGAAAGTAAAAAGGAGAAGAAAAAAAATGAGAACCTAAAATTTTACAGTGTGTAGAAAATCATTGTAATAAATTTTTCCTTTCCGAAAAATGGTTAGATTTTTTTCGAAATTTGATTTCTCAGAAGGACGAAAAAAATCAACGTCACCTACGATTTTGCCCTTTTCGATGGGAGTTCGGCTGGTTTGATCCTCACAGTTTCGGATTATCGAAGCCAAACCGACATCAGAAATACAACGTAAAATAATTTTTCCTTTCGAAAAAAAAAGAAAAAATTTAGATACACTTCTGCAAATGTCCCTAAATCAGTAACGATTGGACCTTCTTCCAAACAATCTATTTATTATTCTGTTCCGATGAATTGTAACGGGTTTTTTGGTGAGGTATTCGGCTTCTGTTGGCGACGTCCAAGGGGCTTCAGGTAGGAGACTTTTTGAAAAAAAGAGTAAGAAAGTATTTTTTTCAGGATAGCTTGGAAAACATCTAAAAATCAACTATTTTTCAGGAACGAAGAGTTTGGCCTCTGTTATTATCGGGCTGGTTTCCTCAGCCTTGTGGTTTTTTTGAGTAACTGAGAGGAAACTCAATTTTTGTACATATATTTTTAAAGAGATAAATTTATTGAATTTTTTTGATTCGTTAACGAAAAAAATGATTTAGAAAAAAATGAAAAAAACCCATGAAAAAGCTCATTAAAACATCGCATGAAGTTTTGTCGCCTAGCAAATGTAATAATAAAAAATAAGTTCAGAGATTTCGAAAAACCAACTTTTGATGAGCTTGCGCTACCTGGAAAGAGATAAATCAATGAGAAAAATAAAAAAGTCGGAATGGAGGTTTTTTTTATCAGAAAAAGATGAAATCGTTTATAGAAATCCAGTTCTGTAAATTAATTTTTCTGACCAACTGTTGAGTTTTTTCTATAAATTTTTTTGAATCAACTTTTGCCAGACCATTCTTTAATGTATCAGGAATTTGAATTTACTGCCGAAAAATTTATAGCCGCTGGGAAATGACACCTTTGGAATGAGATGTGATCAATCGTTCGTCGAAACGGAAAAATGAAAGTTGAAAAAAAAAAACGTTTCATCCAAACTAATCAATCATTCGGGCGTTTCAAACGACTTTCGTGAAAACGAAGCCTTCAATGGGCTGCGCTGAGAGTTCAAATTTCTCAAGATCAAAAAAGTCGGTGACTGAAGTTACATTAAAATTTTTTTTAAAAAAATAAACTTGCGAAAAAAAGTTCATTGGATCGGATTCGGTTTCTTTGTTCCTTTTTTTATTGTGAGCTTCAAAGTTTCCTAACAGTCAGGCCGGGATGGCTGAAGCCATGTCAAAATATTGAACAGATTCAAATAGAAATGCCCGTCTTTGAAACTCCAACTGTATTCGTTTCTCGGATTGAAAATTATTCATAATAATCTCTTTTATTTTCTATCCGTATCTGTTACCGTTGCATTGAGGAAAAATATACGCAAATCTTGAATTATTACATCATCAGGTCAAGTTCTGAAAATTTACGTCTTTTCCAAATGTTTCTATGAAATACAAGATCATAACCTCAGTGTATTTTTTAGACCAAGAAAATTTTTGAATGTCGGTTTCGAAGATTTAAAATCATCCTTTATACGTAAAAGAAACTGGGTTACGGAGCTTTTTTCTATCGATGCAATACGTTCCGCTTGAGTTTCATTTTGAAAGAAGTTTCAATGAGCTTTTAATGGAATTTTCGTTGGCATTGTTGCTAAGAGAGCCTTCATTAAACTTTTTATGAAGAATGGGCAACAATAAATAAAATTCTAGGATGCCAACAGTTACCAGGAAGTTTTTTTCGAGAAACGTTTTGATGAGACTGTTGCTTGGTTATTTTCTTTTTCAATGACCTTTTAAAGCTTCTTGTGAATGAAATAGGTGCACTATAAAAATTATTTCAAAGCTTACAGTGAGGATTCAATGTTCCATTGAAAATGAGTCTTCTTTTGGGCTTTTTATGATTTTTTTTTAATGGCACTGTTACTAAGAGATTTCCTCTCGAGAATTTTTCTGTCAGATGTGATTTTGGAGATCTACAGTATGAACATTTGGAATTAAAAGATATTTACCGTCGGAAGACCGTTGAGAGTTTCACAATAAAACTTAAAACTTAAAGTTTTATACTCATTAGTCATTCCCTGCTCTGGAATAATAAGAGTGTCTGCAGTCTTTTTTCTTACCATTTAGTTCAAAAATCTTAGACAGAAAAAAGAGTCGTAAAATTGATACAGGATAGAGGAAGATTAGGCTCTCTGAGCAAGTTTTCATAATTTTTTAAAAAGTAGATAAGCTTATCGAAAAAATATTTAAAATATTGCAAGGCTAAAAAAAAGAACGGTCTTCAAAAGGGCGGTCTCCGACGACAGAACAGACCATGCCTTCGAACTTCTCTACTTCCTATCCGATTAAGCTTTGACCCTTTCATTGTCTCTTTTTATTAATCTTGTTATATGCTGATTGATTATGAACAGTTTATCAATACTCCTCTCAATTACTCTCACAAATGTATATGGATGTATGCGAACAGTTCCTTCGGACACGGCGACTACTCCAGTAACAGCAGCCCCCACAGTCACAAGCACGGTGAGTTTTCGTCCGTTCTTTCTGTTTTTCTAAAGTTTAGAAGTTAAATAATGGTCATGCAATTACAAGTTTCTAGTATAACTTTTGACTTTTTGCAGACGATTCCCGCCTCATTACGATCAAATAGGTCAATTTGGATTGAGACAAGAGATAAGAAGAAAAAAAAACGTTCCCTGTGGCCCTAGTCTCCCAGTTCTTCTGGCGTTTGTAGAGATTCAATCAAAACAGATGAGAATAAGAAGATGATTTTTATTTGTTTAAAGATCTTAGCCGAGAAGAAAAACATTAATCATTTGATTTGTTTGTCTTCGTTTTTAGGTAAAGTCAAACTGCGTTATAAAATTTTTTATACCCACTTTGTATAAATTTGATATTCAAAAGTACTAAGGTTTTCTCCGGCAAAGTAGTAGTTAATTGTTGGTAAAGTGGAGAACGGCAGCAAAAAGAACCCCTTCATCGATCTTTTTTCCAGAATTTTAAAGGCTCAAGAAATGGTAGAAAATGTGAAAGCAGCAAAAATGATTAATAAAAGCCGAGGAAATGGCGCAAAAAGACAGCGTAAAGGAACCTTGGTCACTCTTAAAGCAAAATTCCTAAGGATCTATATGGATCCTTTTCAGACGCTTTCGACCTGTGTTCACTTGAAAGCATGTGTTTGAAATTTCACAGATAACTGAAGCTACAACTACTCCAACGACACAAATGACATCAACTACCACAGTGACTACGACCACGACTAGTGGTAAAATAAACTTGCTAATCATCTCTCATTCTAAATTATGAGAATCCAGAAGGTTTGCGGTGCGAAAAATTAGTTACCTGGAAAAAAATATTCAAAAAAAGTTCTTTAGTTTCTTTTTATTTCATAAATTTTCGCAGGATGTCTTTGCAAGCCGGAATCGTTGCAAGTCACTCCGATGGAGATGAATGAATACTCACCAGTAATTAGGTCAGTCACTATAAATTCAAAAAAACAATTTTTAAAAAAAATTGAGTCAGCACAAATTTTATAAGAATAAGATTAATTTCATAATTTCAGTGGGAATTCCTGTACGGCAACAGTAACATGTACATCTCCTACTGGAAGCTGTACGGCTGCTCTAGTGAGTCAATTGCTACAAACGAAATAACGTTTTTTATCAGCATTAGTCGCTATCGACGAAAAATGCGTTATGTTTTTATGGTTTTTCTGATTTCGAGGTTTTTAAGTTTCAAATCATCTAAAAAAAAATATTTTTTCCAAAAAATCAATCTTAGTACAGTTTGGTAGAAAACTTTCGTTTAAAAGAAGATCTTCAGATACACAACAACGGAGCACAGGCTGGAACTATCAGTGATAACATCGGAGTCGCAACCTTCACCGTTATGTGCAATGCGGAAGGCCTTTGGTTCTATGATGATGAAGGCGAACCTTTTTCAGAGTTAGTTTTCATTTGAGTTTTTTCCGAGCTCTTCTTTTCGTTCCGAAATCTACAGATTTATTCAAAAAAAAAGTGTGTGTCGACAATAACCTGTTTTACAGTTTCAACGGCATCTCATGTGCTGATATGTCAACAGACTGCAATTAGTTCTTGTTTTTTTTTTCCTTTTTCAAACGGCTAATAAATTACTTTTTTGACTTTCTTCATGTTTAGTGATAAGCTTTACAGCAATAAAGTTTCTCGTTATGAAAAAAAGACGTTACCATTGTTTTAATCAAGGCTTAAAAATTGAGAAAGTAACTTCATCAGTTTTGACCTTTCTCTTCTAAACGTTTGAAGTGCGATGAGTCTAGAATAAAAGAATTTTGAAAAGTCGCAGAGGAAGAATTTAAAACTAAGGATCGGAAATCAAAAATTAACTTTATTTTCCGTGGTTTTCATCCGATTAATTATTTTTCTTGCTTACAAGGAGATGGAAGAAAAACTTAAAAAAAAAAAGAAAGAAAAGACTTAACAACCAACGTCATTCGGCTACTGTAGGAGGAGCTTCGCCTTTGGAGCCAAATGGGCGGGACAAGAAGAGAAGAAGTGACTTGAAAATATTCGCGCTCATTTTTAGGTTTCCTCCATTATTTTTTATATTATTTTCAGCTCTGAGAATCACTTCGCATTCCCAACGACTTTTTTTTTGAGAATTTAAAAATTTTCTTATTCTCAGGATAATTTTCTAGATCTTCCTCTTTTGTGGAATAATTCAGCAATGACTCTAGAGGCAATTCTGCAGAGATATTTTTTTCAGATGAACAGCCTAGTCCAAAATGTTGTTCTTCTTCTGCTTTATCATGTTCTTCACAAGGGTCAACCCCTTTGTAAGTGATTTCTCATTCATATTCATTCATAAACTCAATTTTTCGTTTCGAAAAACAGAAAAAATAAATTTTATCCCTTTTTTGTATGCAAAATCACGATGAGAATTTTTTTGCAAGCCATATCAAACGTCATGGCTTTAACTTCAAGTACTGATTTCACGATTGAAAACACACACGAAATCATATTTTTCGCTTTTTTTCCAGCCCAAGATTGCATCAGGCACAATAGGAACTGCCCAACCACGTGAGTTATGATTTTTTTTTGTTCAGAAGGTGAAATTATGAAAGGATTATCGCCTGGTTAGATGAAAGTTAGTTTTTGTAAAGATGATGTATTCTTGTATTCGAGAAATCACATATAAGTTTACACGCGACTCTCCCAATAATTCATTAAACCAGTTTTAAATCGTAATTTTTTCTGATTAAAAAAAGGAGGGTTGTCTCATCTTTTGAGCAGTTTTTCTGTCTGAATTAGAATAAGGGTGAATGGATTGAAGGAAAAAAAAACTATTCTATTCACAGTGTAACTACGAAGCCAACGTTCTCGAGCTACATTTTCAATCTGACCACTCCAACTTCCTCTGCCTCTACGTCTACATCAACCTCGTCTTCCACTACTGTTTCAACGACGACGGCCAAACTTACTTCGACAGAAACAAAGTCAACATCGTCCACGGCAACCCCTTCAACTTCTACTCCGAAGGAAAGCTTTACTAACACAAGTCCTACATCTACAAGTATTTCTTCGGAAATTATAACGAATAGTGATCCTCCCACGACCACGACATCAATGAAACCTCCGCTCTCATCCACAATGATATCACCAAAAACACGGATTTCTTCCATGATCAGCCCTACTTCAACGGCGACGAAAATGCAAACTTCTTCCTCGTCCGCAAAGCCATATAGTCCCAGTACCAATAAAGAGACTTTTTCTATTTCCACCAGAACCACCACTATCACCACCTCCACTTCTTCGAAACTTGAGGATGGCTCCACCATTGAGAAGGCTTCTTCCTCAACTGCGACTACTGCCAGAAGCTCAATGACGACTCCTACTATAACTTCGACTACGACAAGCTCGTCGACCTCTTCTCAGATTTATTCCACTGACCCTGCCGAAGATTCCTCGTCCACCACTGCCAGCATTGCAAGTTACCCTACTTCAATCATTGTGAAGTTTGTGAAAATTTTAGTGGTTTCTCGAAAAGGTTTCGATTTTCAGGAAAAGCACGGCTGATGAGAAGTCGACGACAACTATTGAAAAAGAAGTGAGCACCACGCTTTCTGGAACTAAGGGTTCGCAGACTACTTTCACTGCCAATGGGCCAACAAGAGAGTCAATGAGCTCTAGAAAAACTTCAACGACGACCTCGACTCAGTCTTCGAATACTAAGAGCCCCGTAAAATCAGGAACCAGCTCTTCCAGCTTGGAAAGAAGCACCACCACAAAGTCGTTGTCGACGGAGATTACAAACAGCTCAAAACAATCGCTATCTACGACTTTCGCTTTGACAAAAGCCCTCCCCATCTCAGAAGAGTCACATCTCCCAACCTCAACTTCTAAGGCTCTAACCAGTTCAGACAAGTCGTCCACCACGACTCCCACATCGAAGGCTACAACTAGCTCAGAAAAATCATTCACCTCAACTTCCACTTCGTCTGAACCTCTAACAAGCTCCGGAAAGTCATCCACCACAACTGTCGCTTCGAAGACTCCAACCAGCTCGGAAAAGTCATCAACCCCGACCTCCGTTTTGACTGAGTCCCCAACCAGTTCGTACAAATCATCCACCAAATCTTCCACTTCGACAAAGTCTCCAACCAGTTCAGACAAGTCATTCACCACGACTCCCACTTCGATAAAAGTTTACCCAAGCTCTAAAAATTCATCTCCCGAAACTCCCACTTCAACCAGGGGCACAATCAGCTCAGAAAAATCATCCACCAAAACATCCACTTCGACAAAGCCTCCAACAAGTTCAGACAAGTCATCCACCACGACTCCCACATCTGAGGATACAACCAACTCAGTAAAGCCATTCACCACAGGCTCCATTTCGACCAAAGCTCAAATCAGCTCAGAAACACCCTCATCTACGACTCCCACAACGCCGAAGGCTCTCCCCAGTTCAGAGATGTCGTCATCTACTTCTACTTCATCCACCACTTCTTCAACTTTGACTTCCGAAACCGCACCACAGAGCTCGAATAACGCAGGTTCTGAGCCAACGAAAACGTCTAAAGCTACTTCGAAATCCGATAGCGCCATTACTCACTCAACGTTCTCTGCGAGGGAAAAGTCAACTAATTCGAAAGAACCCATGAAAAACTCCGAAGCTATGACAACAACTACTACACCGCCAACGAAGGCCACGACCTCCATTAAGTCCAAAAGCACCGTTTCTCATTCAACCACGTCTAAGACTGAAGAGGCCAAACTCTCCACGAAGTCCGAAGCTTCAAGCTCGGCCGCAGTCTCAGAAAAACCCGTGAAGAGCAGTAAGACCCGGAAAACTTCCCCGAAACCCGAGAAGATTGAAAGCACCACCGCTACCACTGTGTCAAAAAAATCCACAGCAAAGTCAAAAACGGTCAAGAAGTCAGAAACGTCCAAAACCACCACGTCGGCATCAAAAAGACCTACAGGAACGTCTAACACTGTGAAGAAGACTGAAAAGATCAGCATCACCTCCAAGTCCACCAAGAAGCCCACGACGTCCTCCAAGTCGACGTCGTCTTCCACGAAATCACAGAAGACACCGAAACAGAAGTCTACGATCAATTCCAAGACTTCGCAAAAAACTAGGAGCCCATCGTCGACAACCCAGAAATTTGCGCCATCGACGACCGCATCTTCCCAAAAGCCAATTATAAAGACGGGAACCGCTTCTAGGTGAGAAAGATGCACTGAAACTCGAAATGCAATGTGGAAGCTTCTAGGACAACGACGACTGACATGAAGACCACGAACAAAAAAGTGAGGACGACTGGCACGAGCTCGACCGGCGGAGAATCCACCACAAGCCAGCTCGGTACCACAATCCAACCAACATAACTTCTCAAACAGTATTTTTCAGACACAGCAACTTTAACCACGATTGCTTGCCCTGAAGAAGCCTTCGAAGGTCCCGAATTCTGCTATCGCTTGGTTCCAGACGGCAACAGGCATTTTTTCTTTTTGCTTTGTCTCAGTTTATTTCCTACTTGCTTTTTTTAAATCTTTCCCATTTCCAGGAACAAATCGTACATCCGCGTGAAATCCGCATGCAACGCTATTTTCGGAGAACAATCTTCAATCATCAATCTTTATGAATTCTTCAACATGGCCACCTTGAACATTTTCAAAAATCTCACGTTGGTTTTTCTCTTTTAAAAATATGATTGGTTACTCATTCTCTATGAAAAAATCTTTGTGGTTCTAGACAATTTCATAAAAAAAAATTAAAAAAAAAAATTATGTGAAAAAAGAAAAGAAAAAAAGGTTGACTTACTTTCAGAGCGGAGAAAAAAACGACCGTTTTCTGGATCGATAACGGAGGCTCGAAGCTCCAGCGAAGCGGAAAACTTGTTCAAGTCTACAGCTCATTCGCGCCAAACTTCTTCAGAGGCGTAGGAATCGAAACCGTCCCGCTTGGAACCATCGACCCGACCGTCGGAGGAATTTGTAAGACTCCCAGTGAGTTAATATTCCATTTTATTCCGTTTCCTAAGACCAGTTTTTCTTTTTGATTTCATATAAGCTTGCTTCTTATTCTTTAATTTCTCAAACAACAGCAAACAGTTTGAATACTGGATTGGATTCTCTGCTTTTTAGAAAAAACCACTATTTTTCCAAAATATATTTTTTTCTCAAATTTTGTGAAATCTTTGACTGATCCTCAGAACCTTCAATGCAACGTTCAAAAATAAATATAAAATGGTTGCAAAATGGAAAAATTGACCTCGAAATTTTTTTATTCTTTTTATTTCTTTATTGCTCGTAATTTTCGTTGCTTCAGTTGCAGCCGGCTGCACGAGGTGCATTTTTGAATTACGCGCAATGATAGATAAAATATTTTTTTCACAAAAATAATTTTTTTCCAGTGAAGTAAAATTTTTTTAAAGTAATGTTTCTTTTTAATTCGTTTCAGAATATGCAAAGCGATTGCAGTGCACCTCTAATACTTTCTATGAAGTTTTCGATTTGCGCGGCAAAATGAATCTTCCTCCAGCAGGACTGATCTTCGCTGCCGGCTATAGGATGCAGTTAGTTTGATAAAAATGTATACAATATTGGTAATGCTATAAACAATATTTGAAGCTACAGTTTTAAAAAAAGATATGCGTTCAAGAAAAAAAATATTTTTAGACTAACAAAAATCGCAATAATTTCGATACGAAGTTTTTAAAAAAATTTTTGGTATATTACTAATATTACCAATATTATTAAGATATTAGCAGAATTTTCCCGAACTATGTAAAAAAAAAACCAGATTCCAGACTCTCAAGCTTTTTGCTTACTTTTCATGATTCTTAATGTTTATCACATAATTGAGAGCACAGGTATTTGTGGTCAATTTATAACGAAGTGATAAAGCCCTTGTAGTAAAATCTGAATAGTTTTCTCAAGAGCACGCTACAAGCTTCCTTCCTATAGTGATTATTTCAAAAGAAAAATACTCATCTAGTTTTAAATTTTTCGTTTGTTTTAAAGGTTGGAGTGTGCCCTCCCGAACACTTACTATCCGAAATGGGATTTTCTCTGCACTCCACGTGGTTTGTGGAAGCCGCACCCGGACTACGTCAATTGCTCTCAGAGAAGTGCGTTAACAAACAAGAAAAAATGGAACTTTCAGGGATTTTTTTGAACCTTCCTACCTGCGAAAATTGAACATAAAAATCTATGTTTAAAAAAGGTTATTTTCACATATTTTCGTTTGAGATCATTTTAAATCTTAAAACGGGCTTATTAGTGAAGAAGAGAAACCTCGAAGAACTTTGAAATAAAAAAAGGAGCATTTTATTAGTCTATTTTAATACGATTTCTGAGGTTTAAGTTGATTCTGGGCTCTTCAGAGAAATCGGGCTAACACTAACCTACATAAGTCTATTTTCGGGAAAGTGCAATACCAACGTTTTAAATTGGACCATTTAACACTGTCGGAAGATTTTCTCAGACTTTGAATTCAGAAAATGAGAAAGTTGTGCAGGTTGACACTTTCAAGATCTTCATGAGAATTTAAATTTCTTCAGAAAATTGCAGAAAAACAATGACAATATTCGTCCATTTATCTACAGGAGGGACGCCGTTCGAAGATTCTCCACGTGGTCCGCTATACGGAAAAGAACAAAGCAGTTGCAACAACTGTTTAATGGAAGGAACTGAAAGCTGCAACTCGACGGAAAGTGGCAAGTTCGTCTGCATCTGCAAGCCCGGATGGATGGTGAGTTCAACATAAAAAAAAGGATTATTTCGAAGTTTTTTAAAATGGCTCTCATTTGGAATGCTTATGAAAATTCTCTGTTATCTTATGGTAAGCCAAAGTGATCCCTAGAGAGTTTGGGGAGCTTGAACGGTCGCCTTCAAGAACCACCTTAACTCACTTTAGAAGAGACGCTAAAGCTTGCAAAAGTTGCCACTCTAGGGGTTGTTTATTATTTTTTATTGGAACTCGGAGGGGCTTAGGGGTCCGAGAACCAGCTAAATTTCACCTTTTTATTTTGACCCCTATAAGGGTCTTTTGTATCCATAACCCCTCTAGACGTTCCTAAAAAAGTTTGAGTTCAAAAAAAGCATTCCTAAGTCTAATGTTATCAGAAACGATTTTTGAAAGGTTTCCTCTAGTTTTTAACAAGTAAATGTGAAATTAACCTACATGTGATGAGAAGTTTTTCATCAGGGGTTCCGATGCCAACGTACTCCGTTATACTGCGGAGACGACAAGCAGGCGGCGCAGCTCTGTCGGATGGGGTTTCTTTTTTTTTTTACTTGTTTGAATTTTGAAACAGACTTCCACAAAAGGTTTTTTCGAAATTTCCTTCGTTTTGAGCTCTTTCCTTATATACTCTTGTATATACCCGATTCAAGACTAGATTTGGGCCCAAAGGGGCGTGGCCTGTCTGCGCTTTTTTTTTGTCAGCACCCTTTTTCAATGACTCAAGCCCTGAACCAGCCATACTGAAGAGAAATAGTCATTTTATTTTTCGGTTGACAATTTCCTTAAATTTGGCCAAGAAACTTCTTGGTGTACTATGAAAAGATTCAGAAAGCCACAACCTGTACAACTTTCTAGTTTTCAAAAAATTAAGGTTCAAAGCCCCAAAATAGTCAATTTTTACGCTTTTTGAGGAGTTTCAAGGTGTCCTTTCTCCAAATCTGAGTAGTTGAGCAGGTTGAAATTTTCAGGATCCATTTCTGGTACATCAAGTAGTGTTCTGGTTAATATTTAGAAAAATCTTTAGGAAAACCTATCGCAAGGTGAATGATCTTCTTCTGAGAAAAACGAATACTAAAGTTTTCTCGTCTCTTTTTTTAACGAATTTCGGGAAACTATCGTTTAACAGCTTTATTTTTTAAGCCGTTGCGTCAACGAGAGAAACGGCTACAAATGTATCTGCAAATACGGCGTTGGAGGCTCGCATTGTACGCTCAACAGAACCGTTTTTGAATGGAATTCCGTATGTTTTTTTTTCGATGCGTCATAGTCTGTGTGCCACGACTTGAAATTTCACGGCACGACATTCCGCTATTCTGCTGCGTGCGTTCGCGAAGCGTCTTTCGAATCTAGGTCACGCTTTCAATTGATTGTTAATGCTTTGGGAATTAGAGTACCTTAATAAAAGAAAAATAAAATAAAAGCGCGCAGCGGCACAGCGGAATGTCGTTCGGTGAAATTCCAAGTCGTGACTATAACACATTTTCACTTTGTAAGCTTACAGGAACAAAATGACCAGAAAACCTTCATAGGTTTTTTTCCCTCACACTGTAAAAAATTTCAGAAAATTTTGCCTAAAGTCAGTGTCAATTGGACCATGCTACGTATTAATTATTGAAGAAGATCTCAACAAAACCTTGTTCTCATTGCTTCGGACTTTGCAGGAGGGATGGCTCTCCTCGACGCAGGCCGCTTCGATGACGTCGGTCGTGTCTCTGGTCTCCTGGTTCTTCTGCTTCAATTATGTCGCGCAGAGCGATAGGAACTTCAATTCTTTGGTTTGTAACACCAAGATATCTCATAAACTGTGGGAAAATAGTTATCATCAAGGCCTAGAAATTGCGCTTTTCTTAGGAGTTTTTCGTGTTTTTTATACAAAGTTCCATATTTTGCTAGGAAACGTCGCATTTTTCATCGAGTGTTCCTTGCATTTGCGATTTTTTTTTGAGTAGTTATCATCCGATCTGTGGTTCAGGATCGCCAAGCGACCGTGCAACTCCTCCGTGGCTGGGCGACTCTCACCATGCAGACCATATTCGCCTTTTTCAGACATCCGGCCATGTTCGACACTTCGACGTCCTGCGGGATCATGTACTTTATATTCACGTGGATGCATGTCACTGGTTCGTTTGACATATTGCATATTAAAAAAAAAAACAATAGAAAAATCGGAAAACCCCATTTCTCAATCGATTTCCTTCAAGCTTTAGCAATCTTAGATACTTGAAAGAGAGTCCAAATTATATAGTGAATCCTTCCCGACTTGGAAGGCGAGATGGGTAGATTGGCAATGGGGAAGCGTTGCCTGTGCGACGCGGCTTTTCGCGGAAAGCTCGAGGTCAAACTCAGTCGAGAAAAAATGTTGAAAAAATAATTTCACTGAAAAAACAGAGTTGACTATAAAGGATAACTTTCAGTTGATCGTTTGACCTTCCGAGAACGGAGAAAAAAAGTTGTGATACCAAGTAAAATCATGGAAAGATTCAGAATATCCATTTTTTTTTAGAGCTAGCAGTGATCGAACTATGAAAAAAAAAAGAAACAGGAAAGTCGAAAAATGGCTATTTCCAGTTTGCCTCCTGTTCGCGGTCGAGTCGATTTCCTACGGAAGCTTGCTAATGAACAAGCATCGGAACGGATTTCACAGCTGGGACGGCCTTCACACTTCCGCCCTAACTTATATGGTTCACTTTTGATTTTAATTGCGAGAAAAATCACGCTTTTTAGGCTTTTAATCTTGATTCAATTCCTTAATTTTACGAAATTCTATGCTTTATTGGCTTTAATTGATATTTGAAGATTTCTCAGAAGTCAAATCTGGAACAATTTGTGAATAAAGTTCAATGAGAAACAGTTTTTTATTGATCTCTGTTTCAGTTTCTATTGGCCGGGCCTTTTTTTCGTCGGCTTCCTTTGGGCCGGAACGATCGTATTCGTGTCTGCCGGAACTCTGAATTCAGTTCTGTTTTGTTTTCAATTTTTGGAGATCAATTTTAGACCTGAGAAAAAAGATTTAAACATGAGGTTTGTGTTTAAATTCAGAAAAATCATAAAAATAAAATTTCATTTTTTTGTAGAGACTTTCAGGAATATTTTTCAATAAGATCAATTTTTGAGATTTTCATTTCGTTCCGGAAAATTCAAAATGAAGTATAGTCTGATCCCCGCAACTTGAAATTTTCCGCCTGTCTGCGTCTCTCTGTTCCCTCACCGCGCGAGGTCAGAGAAACACGAAAACAGAACGTAAATATGAGAGAGACGAGGAGAGCGCAGAGAATTCTCACCTTTTGAATTCGCGAAAAATAGACTATAAAAGTTTCTTTCAACAACGAGATATTGAAGGCAGCAAGTTCTTGGTCCTGCGTCGGCTGGAACGTCGACACTATTGACGCGAATTTGTACCTTATCCCAATTATTCTACTGCCGGCGTTTGGCTTCAAGAAGTTTGCGGAGTCGTTGTCGTGAGTCCAAGCAACTTTTTTACTCGAGCATCAAAAATCGATAAATGGTGAATTTTTCAAACTTTTTTATTTGCTCCAATCCTTTCATGGCAATATAGTCTTTCCCACAAGAGACAGTGACGTTTTTAAACACATATTTAATTATAAAAAAAGGTATCTGAAACCCAATTTTTTTTTGATCTTTCGCTTCAAGACCCTTCAAAGAAAGTATGGAAACAAAGACTTCGAAGCGAGATTTTGTATATTCTGTCTACATTTTGAATTTCAAATTCAAGGGTGTCATTTGAAAATGCTCTGTGCATGGCTCGCTCTTTGATTGGTTTGTCGCACCTTTAGAGGCGGAGCTTAGGCTTGAAGCTTGAAAAACGCCTAAGCTTGAAATTCAAAAACTGAATAGACTATCAACTGTTAAAAAAGGGACGAGCTGGCGGGAAAAACCCTATCAGAAACTTGGCTAGCTGATGAGAGAAAATTATGGAAAATCTAGAAATGAAAGATCTAACAGAGCTTTTCTGCAGAACCGTGCGTGTTCAGTTCCGCGAGCGGCTTCGAGCGTGGTTTGCCGTTTATTCTCCGAGAAACATAGATTTTTATTCTAGAGTGAGTGGCAATTTTCCGAAAGAGCGGATAGAAAAGAAAAGTCCATGTTTTCGTGTTCAAGAAGTTAATAAAAATTGAATTTCGGGCTTTTTGATCTTGGATTTCCCTTATTTTTTCCGCAAATGATTAAAGCAGAAAAGTAAGAAGTTGAGGTGCTTCGTAATGGCCCTCTGCTGGATATCATGCCGTTTGCGTCAGCGTTGCAATATTGGGCCATGGTGCGAAATGCCGCCGAGCCCGAGGACGATTTTTACAGGACGTATGTCCACAAAAATCAAAATATTGAAAGTTGAATTTAATAAAAAAAATAATAGATCGCTCGGATTTGAAGATAATTTTGAAGACTCAAAATTTTTTCGTTAGAATTTTTGAGCCTTTCTAGTGAGCACTTAAAAGCGTAGGGTCTGCTAAAGGGATCACTAAAAATCTCTAAAACGTCCGGTTTGCGTTATCAAGGTCCGAGAGGTTTGAATATTGGTAAATTCGAAATAACAGAGTTATCCATTACAAGGTGACAACTTCATTCCTTACCAGAGAAGATTGGTTAGAGAAGATTCCTTTATAATTATTACGTTCATATCTTTACACAAACTCTTGTAATAATTGGATAGTAAGGTCAAGAAGGGAAGCTTTTCACTAATCCTCGCTTTTCCATATGCAAATTTAAGAAAAAAACGCTTTTTTGATCACACTCTTTTGTATGGAGTTCAATCTTTCTGGAATATCCTGTAGTTGTGATGACTGTTATTTTTAACACTGTGATGGAATTTAAGTTAGTAGAAAAAAAAAAACTCGCAATTTTATAGAGTTTCGAAAAGATTAGAGCCCCGTACGAGGAAGTTTTGAGCAAAAAAAATTTTTCGTACCTTTCCTGACGGTAGCGTAATAGCTCTATTACATTTTTAAGACAGTTTTCCCTTTTTTCCTGCTGTTTTCAATAAATTATGATAAATTAAATTCCCAAGCCCTAATTAAATTTCAATATCCCAAGGTTCGCCGCGTTGGCGATCACCGTCAACATTCTGCTCCATTGGCTTCAGTTTCTCGTCACGGCACCGCCTGTAAGAAAGAGAAACATTTAAAATAAAGTTTATAAATAACTCATTTGAAGCAGAAGTCCCAATAAAAACTTGAAAAAAAGCCGCCAAAACATTATCTCTTCCTCAATTTTCAAAAACCATGACTACTTTTTGGATTTCAAATTTATTTCTGCTTTTCAGTCAAAATATTTTGCTCAGAATTGCTCATCATGACCTTCGAATATCTACTTTTCGTAGCACAATCCAAAAAGATAATTTTAAGTTTTGGTCGTGGACGTGTAATCGGTTGATGATTCACCTTCCAGCGCACCTGGCACCCAAATTTAACACTGTTCTTCGTTGGACGCGAGAAGAAGTAATTTTATCAATTTATTTGATGTTTTTGTATTCAAAGCTGTTCGAAAAAAATGCGAGCCTGAAGTTAATTTTTATAAAATTTTTGATTTTTTTAATCAGAAAGATCGAATCGAAGTCATAAATTTTTCTTACCAGATTTTTTTCGAAGATGAAATCGACAAATTAATGAAAAAAACATAACTGATTTTTTCAGAAGCTTTGCGGGCAGAGAAAAAAACGAACTCAAAGCTATCAAGTTTTTGAATGTATAAATTTCCATCACGTATATATCATTTCTGGAAACGTGTGAACATCTGTACGAAATGTTTAGATATCAAGTTCTAACTTGAATTAAAATTCCATTGATCAGGTCCTATGCTGGCTCGCGCCGAAAAAGTTTGCGCGAGAGTTCGAGGAAAAGCTGGAGCTTGAAAACAAGCGGCGGAAAACGCAAATCGAGGAAGCCATCAGAAAACGCGAAAAAATGCTCGAAATGGTCTGAAGATTGAACTTCTATCTCCAATTAGTTTGAAAGTGTTCATGTTCAGTGCCCATCGATGAACAAACGGTATCTCCCAGCGGTTCCGGTTTTTTTGGCCGCAGAAGCTCCGTCGGAGGTATTCATTTCAATACGTTCTGAAAGGGCGCGTTCGAACAATCTTAGGCGCCGAAAATAACGTTTCTTAATAAGTAGGATATTTTTGAAGCTATGGCTTTTTTTTTAACAGATTAGCTATTTACGAGTCTACGTCTGTATCTTCCTATTTCCCAGCAATTGACCAAACTGACTCCGAACGGAATCGAAAGGCCGGAAGATTACCTCTCGGATCACACCTTAGAAATTATACAAACAAGGTTCTTCGTGAGATACATCCGCGAGAGGCTCAACAGTCGGTGCGAGAAAATGCACTGTGCGTTTGTAAGTCTAATGGAGGATTTACTTGGTCTGAATCGGGTTTTCAAGCGGATAGTGGCTGATGAATGGACGTCAGTCTACTACGAACAACACACAGTAGCTCGTCATCAACTCATCAGACTCTTCAAAGAGTGCTGCGACACGGTTCGCGAGAACGATAACCTTCTTTTTGAAGGCGAGAAGCCGGGAATGGATCCTCTAAAGGTTCGGAAATCTTGAAATACGTATCTTGAATGGTGAGGGTGAAACTTTGCGAACGCGAAGCGGCTTTTGGCGGGGAAATTAAATTCAAACGGTACCCGCCTTTTTTTGGTTTTAGTTTTTTGATATTTTTTTAAGAAATTTTTCTTGAGCTTTTTAAAAAAATTTAGTTTAACTTAATAGAATTTTTTTCTGCGTTTTTTTCGATTACCTCGACTTTCTCTCTGAAGCCGCGACGCGAACGCCCCGCTTCACCCTGCGCATCTACCCATCTCGCTTTTCAAGTCGCGAAAAATCGATTTTTTTTTTTAAATGTTGACTTTAGACTCAGTTTTATTAATTTTCCAGAGTACATCGTCGTCCGATACAGTTATAAAATCTTAATCAATTTTAGTTGAAAGGAAAGATAATATTAGCGTTAAGAATCGGAATCCCCTATAATTTTCTTTAAAAATTCTTCGATTTACTGGCCGTGGTCACGTGTTAAACGAAAACTTTCAGAATTCATAACTTTATAACGAAAAACTCGCGTAGGTCGAGACTATGCGGGATTAATACCAGGTCAATCTGAGCTTGTGAACAAATATACAGAAATTTCCAAACCCTACGCTAAAATGACCTCGCATACGAAAAACAGACTATCATTTTTATCGTATTAGATGAACCCACCGCTGGCCAAGTGCTTCGAGATCACGAAGAGATGGAAGCGAAGAAAGGAAGCGCCACCGGCCAACAGCAAAGAAGCCGAGGTCACAAATCACCCCAAAAGATGACTTGTTACTCGGAAAGTATTTCAGGAAAAGTACGAGAAGTTGCTGGAGTCAATAGGCTTCCGTTATCCTGTGGGCGACTTCACGTCGTTCTACTATGCCGACGCGGTTCTTCATTCTTTTCAATCAATTAATTTCTGTCTTGAACCTCAAGGTGGAGCAGTACGACACCAGCACCGACACAAAGTGGATCACCAGGGCTGGATATATCCGCACGATGAAGGAGGTTCGAGGGAAAAAATAACAGAGCTCCAGAGTTTATAACAAGAACCGTTTGAGAATGGAAATAAAAGGAAGATTTTACATTGAAAAGCGGTATTTTCTGAGCTTGCTGCTTTAGATTAAAAAGACTTCTTTGAAAAAAATAGACTGATTTAAATTTTTTTAAAAATCAAAAACCAGTTTATCAGCGAGAATTAGTTCCAATGACATGAAATGAATGTGTTCGTAAATCAAATCGCATCGAAAATTGACAAAAAAATTGGACTCACTCATTCGAAACAATATTTTTTTAAATCTAATATCGCTTTTTATTATCTATACTTATATGATTTTTCTTCGTCGTTCTTGTTAAGTGTTATTAATTGAAGATAATACGAGAGAAAACAGATTTTATCATTTTGAGCTGGAAGAACGTCTGCAACAGTTCGAAGAACAGTCTTTGGAAGAAAACGCGATCTGGGACCACGTCTACGACAACGATGAATGGTTTGTTCATTATTTTTGATACTTAAAAAAATTGTTTTTGATTATGAGTCACTAGGGTGAGAACATGTTTTTCTCAATCTTTTTCTTTATTTTTGTTTCAGTTTCACAATTGTCTTAATAATATATTAATAATAAATTATCTGTATTTTTGAGGTTCATGGAACGAACCGATGAGGAGAAGGCGGCACTGAAGGCTCATTATGTACGAAAATGTTTTTCTTTTTTTGATTTTTTCATGATCTTTCTTTCCGAATGTTTCGATTTTACTTCGACACAAAAATTTCTTTCCCCCTTTTTTAGTTCCAACTGCTTTACTTTCAAAAGAGGACTCTACATTAATTTATTTTTTCAAGTTTCCAGAACATCCTCGATTCCAGCTTGCATGCGAACCCGCGAAAAGCTCCTATTCGTCTGAATCCCGACAGGAATTATGATCAAATGAAACCAGGGTGATTTTGAAAATCCTTTATTGTTCTTGGGAGAGAAAATGTTAAGGTTCATCGGCCCAGTGACACCAAATGGAAAGAAATACCCGGATTTCAAGGGGCTGTTTTCGACGGCCAGGCTATTTTTCGAGGTGAAAATAACAATATTTTCAGAAATTTTTTTGCAGGCTTGTAAACTCAAAAATGAATAAATTTTCTAACTTTCAAACAACAGTTAAGGACTAGAAATTTCAGAATGATAATTTTGATTTCTGATTTTCCTTTTTTCTCCGTACTATCATATTTCGTTCTATTAATATTATTTAAATTTTTTTCAAAGTCTGGCCTGGCCCAAGCCACGCGTCCTTTTTAAAGTAAGGTCTAAAGCCCTACCTGATGCACAAGCCTGTGCCAAGGCATGGTTCCTATGCGAGAAAGTTTGCGATAGAGCGCAAAAGTCAGACTTACGTTCAATTTTCCCGGGATTCCGCATCACACAACTGTTTTCCAGGAAGAAGACGATCGCGTCTTCGATTCGTTCCATGAAGTGCGAGATTGGAAGAAATCTGACGAGGAGCTTTATGAATTGAATCGAGCGGCCGACAGGAATCCGGTAATAAAAACTTAATCATTTTGAATTAGCCAAATATACTTCTTTCAGAAAAAGGTCAAGAAGCACAAGCCTAGGGGGCGCAAAGCCCCGCCCCTTCACGCCACCAAAATGACGATTTTTTTGTTGCAAAAACGGTTTTGAGGCGTTTATACTAGCTAAAGTCCCACTTTAAAAATTAACTGTTTCTGTTAATCTATGTAATCGACAACGCTCTACAAGACTGAATATTTTAAAAACTATGTTTTTTTCAAAAATAAGCGAAAAAGTAAGATTTAACACGAAAAAAACTGACAAGTTTCATAAAATCATCGCGTTTCAGAAAAGCAAGTGAGGAACGCTTCTAAATTTTGAGTATGTTATATATTAACACTTTCTTTATTTTTCGAGTAAAAATTTTAAAAAATCTAACGACGCGAAAAAAAAATCGAAGCTTGTAAAGTGACACCAAACTTTGAAGCTGAAATGCGAAAAAATTTCAGCGACAAGGTATACTTTTTTATTTGATTTAAAAAAACTCACAATGTGTTCAAAAAAATAAAAAAATTCAGGATGAAAAATAATTATTGGGACAGCGAATTAAATTATATTTGAATTTTACCAAAACCTCCTTTTTTTCGCCTGCCTCGTTGACGCATGAGAGAATAGGATCGCGTCTATACTTTTTCTTATGTTATTAAGCGTTCAAAAACTCTATCAATGAAAAAAATTATGAAAAAAATCGATCGACGCGAAAAAAATAACGGCTTTGAAAAACCTCGAAAAAAATGGCAATTTTTTTGAAATTTTTGGAAGAATTCGTGCAAGCGTTCGTAGCTGTGTTTGCGTCAAACACACCGATGCGCCATTTTAAATGTTGCAGGAGCCGTTTTTTTCGGAGTCAAATTGCACTTTTTTTCCTGTTTTATTTCGAAATGACATCATTTTTTTCATTTTTTTCTTTCTTCCAAACCGAATGATAATAATTTTTTTCTGATTAGAAAAAGAGAAAAAAATAAGCTGAAAATTCCTTCTGACCTTTTTTTCTAAGTAGTTTTTTTGATATTTTATCAAAAAAATTCTTATGAGAGTTATACAAAAGATTTATACCAAAACGTTAAGCTCAGATCTAACAACCTCTCAGAACAGAAAACCGCTTTTAAAAAAACGGTCCAGAAACGCGTAAAAACATTTAAAAAGAAAGCGTGCGGCAGCGGGTAAACCGTGAGATTTTGCCTCCAGTTGAACGCCGAGCGCGCTAGTTTTTTGGCCATAACTTTTTTCTTAGTGGAGCTTTTTTCAAAAACTAAACGGATTATGAAAATGGACAGTCTCCTCTATCGAACAATGTGAAAAACATATTTTTTGAATCGTTCTGAAGAAATGGCTTGCGGACCCTACACAAGCCACAACTGAAGGACGTCGGAGAGGGAACCGGGCCCAGGAAGCGCTTCAAAACCTACCTTCGTCAATAAAAAAAATTTTTCAATATTTTTTTAGAAGAATTAATGGTGTGCCGATTGTTTGGAAACGTGGATAAGGATCTCCTTTATTAGAAGATAATTTTCTCAGTTTTTGATAACTCCCGTCGAGGACCAGATCTGCAATGTTCATCTTAGAAACCTCTATGGATTTTTGAAAGGTTAGGTTCTTTTTTAGCTTCTAAGAATTTTTTAAGTTGGTAAGCAAGCTACCCAGAGTTAACTTGGTTCACAGGCAAAGTCCAAACGGCCTCGAAAATGCCTTGAAAAAAAGAATCTAAAACTCCTTGTTAAACTTCAAAAGATGTCAAAAGTTTCTCGGATTCTTTTTTCTTCCTTAAAAGGTCCTTTTCAGAAAGAGGTATAGCAAAAAAGCGCCTGTAAAGGCCTTTTAGAACTTTTCCCTAAAAAACTTTTTTTTGGATTTCGCCGTTGTGATTTTTTGCAATTTATAAGCGTTTTTTGTAACTCCAGTTTGAAAAAAAAACAGTTCTTTTTGAAATTTATTTTATTTAGGCTCACCCCGTTCTTGCTGGTCAACTGAGTCATGATTTTTTCGATAATATGGTTTAAGTCATGTTTCATTTTCGCAGCGACTTTCTCGATGAGATCTTGGCTCAAATCCAATTTTTTTACTATCTGCCCATTTCAACACCAAATTCTTGCCAAAATCTTTGAAAATCGTCGGAAAGAAAAAGGCGTGAATGAGGATTACATAACGAAAGGATCGGAGATTTTCTCGACCGATATCTTTTAGATTCTTCCGTTCCTTGTTCGATTAAATCGCAGATTTCATGTTTTTCCAGGGCACTAAAACTTCAAAATAGGTTGAAAAAATATGCTAGTGAAGTTTTTGATTTGAGAAGCTGAAAATTTTAAAGAAACCATAAATATTCTGTATTTTTTAAATTTTTTAGAAGGAAATGAATCGATGATGGAATGTTTGAGGCATACTGTACTTGGAAGAGGCGATCAAGTTTTCTCTTTGAGACTCTTAAAGGACACCAGGGACACTCAATCGAGTTTGAAAACGTTCTTCAAAAGCTTGGGATAAGATCTATGCCGCAGTGATGTTTGCTTTCACAAAAGGAAAAAGCTGAGGATTTTCCCAAAAAAGGGGTTTCGTTGGAGAAACCCTTTGAGAACACACAAATCGATTTTTTCGAGAACTTCTAGGATCAGAAATGAAGTTCAAGGCGGAACATTTTGAACGGAAATCAGAATTTAGACGGAAAACCTTTATTCTGAAATTGAAGCACTTTCAAAACCGTTTTCTTTATTTTTTTTTAGGAAAATTCGACCGTCTATCACGAGAATCACAACTTTAAAATAATTCAACTGGGAAAATTTTTAGTGGCCACTATATTAGTCGAATTAGTGGCCACTTAAGGGGTTAGAAGTTAGTGGCCACTATGAAGGTCTAAGTGCTACTAATAGACCAGTAAAAATTTTAGTGGCCACTTTAGGGGTCAATGGATCATCATAACTGGTCCAATCTGTTTGTTTTAAAATTATCAGAGTTACTGGAAGGAATACTAGATGAAAAACTACTGACGTGGCCCCTAAAACGGGAAATAGAGGCCACTATAGAGGTGGGTTTAGTGGCCACTTTAGTGTCCTCTCGAAGTAGTCCTTGGGCAGCCTCTAAAGTGGCCACTAAAAAATTTCCCAGAAAGATACGTTAGTTTTTATCAAACTTTCCAAAATTTTCAAGCTTCCTGCACTTATTTTCTCTCATTTTCTTCACAGATTTTACTGATTTCAACTTCTAGTCTTTCTTCAAAAGTTTTTATACTGTATCTTTAACAAAAAACTGGAACTAGGTTCTTTGGCCTCCGCCCATGAGTGGTGAAAGACAGACGATCGGTATCGTCTTTTGAAGGCCCCTGTCTAAACCATTCCGATCATCTCTTGGCTGCCATTTTCTTGTTCCTGAAGAAACGGCATTCTCAGTTTCGATGGGGGTCTATGGCCACCGAGAATCTTCCCAACCCCTGTTCAACACCAAAAAAGAGCTGGAGGAGGACGACGATTCTTCGAAGATCTCCATAAATTGGACCAATTTCAAAAAAACTCTTTTTTCTCTGATAGTAGCAACTTATATTTTTGTATATTCTGGAGATTTTCTTAATGAAATTGCTGGCGTGAATTCAAACGAGTGTCACGACGTCATCAGTGAATGCAGAGGTGCGATAATTTTTGGCTTACCTTGATTTCAAATTACAGGAATTCCTTTGGATAAAGTTGTAGTTCCGGGAAACGTCGACTTTCTGCAAGATTTCGTGGGGAGTTTCAAAAAAAAAAATTAGGGTGGGATACCAAAAAGGTACGAAAAGCTGAAACCATTCTAAAAATTTCGGAATTTTCGTCTTTGTTTACTATTTTCAAAATTATCGGGGGTCGCGCGAGGAATGGCTCGAAGCGTCGCGGTCGCGTTGCGGTTTTTTCCAGAGCCTTCTGAATTCAATGCGCGCAAGCCGTTTGAAGTCGGGCGTCTTTCAAAAGAGCCGCTTCAAAGCCAAATCATTCCAAGTGCGACCATAAACTTTCAAAAATTAAGATTATGCTTCAAAAAATAGAAAAAAATCCTTGAACTTAGATTTTCCCAACTACAACGGTATGCGGTTTCTGAAAAAAAAATTTAAAAAATCCCGATTTCATCTCGACAAACGTTGTGCTTAGACTTTTGACAGATTTTTGTTTTTTTTTTACATACTTGAGTTGTTAACCTGTGGTCGCATGGAGAACGGCTCGAAGCATCGCGGTCGCGTTGCGGATCGGATAAAAAGTACCCTAGGGCTTTCTGACGTCTATGCGCGCAAGTCGTTTGAAGTCGGAGGCGTTTCAAAAGAGCCGCAAAACCGAGTCATTCCAAGTGCGACCGTAAAACTTAAGGTTGAAAAGGATGGAGTATATTGTACATTCTTTGTAAAATAAGATAAATTTTTTGAAGTCAGATTATTCCAACCGTGGCTATAATATTGATAATACTCATCATGATGAATTTATTTTATCACTGAAACGTATTCAAATCAGGGGCCGCAAAGCTCCGCCCACTTGCTGGATAAGACTTTTTCTTTTCAATTTTCGCGCTCAGAATGTTCTTATTAACCGGAAAAAGGGTGTTATGTGACGTAATTTACCACGTAGGATCCGAATTTCAACTACAAACTGGAAAAAAGGCTCTTTTTCGAAAACGCTGGTTTTTCAGCGACGTTCGCCTGACTTCTTCAATTTTTTCAAATTTTTAGAACAAAAAGAAAGATGATCATTTTTAGAAAATTTCTAGAAAAAGTAAAACTTGAACATTATTTATACATCAAGTGTCAATTATGGCGATTAATTTTCCCTATCAAAGTTTATTTGAGGTCATTAAAACACTGATCCATATGGTATTTTTCTTTTTTGTAGCTATCAAAAAAGTACGGAATTTCGAGTTGCCTGATCCCGAAGTCGATGTCGACCCTCAGCACGGCCTTGTTCTGCTTTCTTCGAGATCCTGAGCTTTTCAAACGGAAAAACCTGAGTATCTCCAGTCAGACCTACGAAAATCGGTCCGTTTTGACCTTCCTTTTAAACGAGATGATCTAAAGGATCATCTTCTTAGCTTTCCATAGAAAAAGCTGCCAGAATGAGTCAACAGCTTGTAGATCATGTTCCGATGATCTTTTCGAAAGAAATCCACTTTTTCAGAAAGTTCCATCGACTTTTCATCGGGGAGATCATTAGCCGAAACTTGAAAAAGTCTGCCTTGTCTGCGCTCTCTTTTCTCTCGTCGATTAAGTCATCATAGAGACATGAAACATTGGAGAACTGGAGGGATAAGAGAGCGCAGACAAGACAGACTTTGAAGAAGAAAAAAGAGAATATTTTTTTTCTTCACGAAAAGCTTTTTTTTTCTCATAATACTCATTTTTCGTAGACATTTTCCTTCTATCAGTTCTTTTTTTCAATTTACGACTTTTTAAGATTTTGTGAAGACAACGAAGTGAAATCATTCCGAGCCGCCCAGGCTCTTATTCCCAATTCGACGAATTTGGTTTTTGTAAGGGATCCTTTGGACCGCTTCATATCTGGTTATACGGATGTTTGTATGGTGTAAGTTTTTTTTTTCAGCTCAATGTTCCTGTAACTTCACAAAGTTGTGAAAAATATTTTTTTAAACTATATCAAGGTCCATTTTTCTTCGAATTCTCAGAAAAGTTGTGGTGCTTTTTTTTGCTTGGGAAATAAATAATAAAAAATAAAATAAAAACTGTTTTGACCTTTTTCGAATTGAAATTCATAGCCAAACAAGTTCAACCATTTTTACATCCACAATTTGTGCTAGTTTGCCCGTTTTTCCGCAAAAAAGACTTCGAACCAAACTTGACCAAAATCGACCAAAATTCGCTTCGAGACCTTTGCTTTGAAAGTTTCCTAGAAGAAGAGCGTTTTTCGTAGCTTTTTGTCTTTCTGTTGTCCTTTTTAAAAGTGGTCGTCCCATTTTATTTGTTTTCCTTCAGAAGACCCTCTGGTTACTGTCACGGATGTGCCCCGGAAGATATTCGTTGTTTTGTCCGTCGACAATATCGCCGTTTCATTCGGATGTCCATGTTGTTTCCAGTTTATGGAGTTGCCGATGCTCATTTCGCCCCACAGACTTGGTGAGTACCAATTCGTCTTTTTTATTTGATTTTATAAATGGGTTGAGTATTTTAATAGTGAAAAAATGAGAGCAAAGGGGCGTGGCCTGTCTGTGCTCTCCACAAACCAGGCACTATGTCTATTTCAATCGTGTCAGGACCCTTTTATTAATGACTTAAATCATCCGTGAATCCGCCATGCCATACGGGGAAATTTGATAAGAAAAGTGGTGTTCAGCTTTTTGAAAAAACCGATTTTTGAGAAATTCGAACTGATTGGAAGGAATCGTGGAACAAGTATTCTGCTCCTAAACTTTTCGGTAAAAATATAGATATTTATTCTGATTTCAAGCTTCGATTTCACGACCTACTTTTTGAAAGTGGCTTGAAACCTTTATTTTTTTTTTTAGTCATTTAGGTCAGTGTTATAAATTTTGAGTGTACCTACTAGGTTACCGTTTCACGTCGGTAGAAAAGAAGTCTTTAGAAACTACTACGTTCTCTGAAAGTTCCAACAATAATAAAATATAATAATATTTTTTTAATACAACAATAATGGAACATAATAAAACATTTAAAATTTCCTTCGAAACAAACTTTTCACATTTTTCCTTATTATCAACCTCAAGGTACTGCGGAATGGGACAAAACATGGAGAAGTTCGAATTTATTCGATACGGTCATCAAGGCAAAAAACTGAAACAAATGGTCAACAAATTGAGCTCAACTTTTCGTAAAAAGTTTGTTCCTGATGAATATATCAACGAGATGAGGAAAGAGATGTACAGTGAGTTTTTTTTTGCCCTTTTAACTTGGGAATATCTGGGCGGTCCCTAGAGGGGTCAGAGAAAAAAAAAATAGCCCCGATAGGGGAAAATAGTGCTTCCTAGAGGGCTAGGATTTCGGTGGTCCATATAGTGGTTTGAAACCTTTGAAGCTTCAGTGGTCGTTATAGTGATTTTTTCATGTTTGATATTATTTGAAAATAAAAAGAGAGTGGTCACTAACAAAAACCCTAGAGTGACCGCTTTCGCCAGCTTTAGTCCGTAGAAGGTGGTCCCTAGGGAGGAGTCTTCAAGAGCTCCTAAAGTTGCCCCTCCAAGGTCCCTATATTCGCTCCCCCCCACCCCATTTTAAAGATTCGCATTCAGCAAAGTGTTGAAAAAAATGAACAGAAAATGAAGCTTTCAGACTTTTTTGGCCACAGTTATAGAAAAATCTGAAATACTCCAAACAATTTTTTTGAAATTACAGAAGGGAAAACGAAGCATACAACGGCAGGAACCAATTTGCGGGCCTTTGTTGAGAGAAAAATCGAAAAAGACGTCGATTTGAAGAGAGCAATTGCTAGGCTTTATTATCATGATTATCAGACTTTCGGATTCGATATTTCAAAACTTGGAGTACATCTTTAACATTTTTATTTTTCATGTCTGTTCCGAAATTCTTTTCTAGGCGATTAAAGGCGCAGATCCCACTTCAAATAATGTTGTAAAAAGCTTTGAGACCTTTTTAAGCTTCATATACGCGCCTTTAAAAACAGAGGGTTTCTGAACAGGATATAACTATACATTCCCTTTTTTGATCTCTCATTTGACCGGTTTGAAAATAAACTTTCACACATTCATTATACCAGTACCAATCATATTATCATATAAGTTATGCATAGTTAAATTAAATTATCAACTTGATTATCATCGTAACGAAGACAATTCCAAAGGACGCTGTTAAGGAACCTACAAAAAATATTTTTCGAATTTTTGTTATCATTTTTCCTTACCTTTGGTAGCTTTCTCGATCGTATACCTGACCAAAAAGCCGACAGATCCTTTCGGAACTTGATAAGATGTCATTTGTTGATAGCTTGGTCCGAGATCTACACTAGCTGGAGGCTTTTGAGCTTGGGAGTAGCTGGAAAAAATTGATTGGGACTTTGAAAATAGGGAAGAGCCAACGTCGAAGAATCTTTCTGGTTGTTCTTTTTGTAGACGTCAATTTTGAGCAAGGAACTGGGATCGAATGACGCGAATTCGTAGTTGATGTTGATTAGTTGGGAATCTGAAGTCGAACCTTCAAAATGTAAAATCTTAAGTCAAAAACATTTAAAGTCTTGAAAATCAATTTTTGTCCATATTTTTGGAATCTGAACTTTCTGTAGCTTTTGAATATAATAAGTTGTAACGCGCTTTCGAACAAGCTTATCGAAAAATGTCCTGTTGAATTTTGAAATTTGAAAGTTGGAACATTTCACTGGAAATTTTTATCTGGAAGTATAGAAAGAAATCAGGAATACTCTCAAAAAATAGAAATAAAACAACAAAATGAAAAAGACAAACTTGCTCAATTCATCCTCTTTCGATATTTTTTATTCAAAATACACTAATTTCTTGAGTGAGTTCCCATGGAAATTTTTCTTCTCATAGAGTTCCTAAAATAGCAGACTAGTATCCCCCATAGAGGTCACTAACTAAAACCCCTGTAGGTGCAAGCTTAAATGGCTCCTTTAGAGGTTGGTAGAGTGTTCCCTAAAGGGGACCCTCCAAGGACCTCTAGCGTTGCCCCTATAGGGAACAATCTAAAGTTCCTAAGTATCACTAAGATTCGGTAGAAGTATACACCATAAGAAATGCATTAATCTGCGCTTCGTTTCCACGTCCAAAAACCCTACCCATCGCTTGGAGAAGATAATTCGAGGTTTTATCCGAATCCGGGTCGGAAAGTGGAAAATCGTTGGACATGATGACGCCTTGTTGTCCGACGTTCACGTGGGGATCTCCATAAACTGAAAAATCGGAAACCGCGACGCGCGGATGAGCAGCCGCGACGCGGACTCACACGCTCTCATCGTCCGGAGATTGACGATCCCTCGGCTCAGAATCAGGGTTCGGCAGCGGCTGTGCAGTTTCAGCGGGACAAAGTTCTGGGCGGTGTCTGTGCTGCAATAAAACTGATCGCGTTGCGGCCGCGTCGCGGTTCGCTTCTGACTAACGTGATCGTGGCGATTCTTCTGGCGTCCGTCGCGGTCACAGAACAGCCGGCGTAAATGGTCAGGACTCCTTCTCCTCTCTGGAAAATGAAAAAAAAAATAGTAAGAATAAAGAATAGAAGCTGCGGAATGCTCGAAAAAGTCCAACCGCAACGCGACCGCGACGCTTTGAGCCATTCTCAGTGGAGCTAATCTTCTACAACAGTCGGCTGGTCGCGACTTGACCTTTCTAGTGTCTGCGCCACTCTGTTTTCTCACCGGCGAGGTCAGAGTCAGAGAAACATAAAAATAGCACGTCAACATGAGAGAGTCCACAAGAGACCAGGAGAGCGCAGAGAAACAGCATTTTCAAATCGCCAAAAACAGAGTATATTAGAAACAAAATTTGAATGATGAAACTAGTTCTAAAAAGTCACGTTTCTGAAAAGGAAAAAAAAACGTGAAAAGCTTCCCCTACGGGGAAATGCGCTCCAAGAAAAAAACTCAATTTTTGAAGATTTTTCAATACTTTGCAGCTTTCCGTAAAATTTTCTTTTTATTTTTCCCTCTAGGGACCACTTTACCTGACCCTATAGAGTTTTACTTAGTGGCTCTTATAGGAAAAGTGCATCGATAATTTTCCCTAAAGGGGCCACTTGAGCTTTAGGGTCTCAGGGGTCCAACCCTGAATATAGGTGCCCCCCTATAGGGACCGCCTATATTTTACCCCTATAGGGACAACTTGGCGTTCCTAAGAAAAGCGGTAAATGGAATTTTGAGCTTTTGGTGATTTTTCCACTACTCACAAAGTCGATGCCGATCACGGTTGAAGGAATGGTTGTCCCCTGGTTTTTGTCGCTGATCACGTGGAAAATCGTCTGGCCGTTCGTAGCCGTATACGTTTCCGTGGCGTTAGTCGTGGGCATTTTCCGCAAAACGACGGTTCCTTGGATCCCTGGAGATCCTCAATGGAGTGTCCTCTTAAGGGGAAATCAGGTCTCGAAGAGTACCGTAATCTGCGGAGACGAGAAGGGCGAAATTCGAATCAGAAGAAGGTTGGGTATTCAAAAAAGATAAGGCGCTTCCGGTGATAGCTTGGGAAATGTTCTGTAGAGCCAGCATGTCGTAGACTCTGAAAAAGTGAAGTAATTTGAAACTCATTTTGAAGAAAGAGGTTTTCCGAACTTCACTCTTGAAAAAAAAAATCACTAACGTTCCAACAAAAGTATCGCCGTCGTAGACATAAATGTAAGGAAGGACCATCTCCTTAACGAAATCAGAAAACTCGATATAACGGACGGTCAGATCCTGGGGCTGGTATGGCCTCAGAACGATGGTCGTGTTGGAGACAAGTTGATCGGCGTCGATAATTTCGGCCAGGTCGTTGCCGACCGACCATTGCTTCGAAATACTCGGTGTTACTGGAAAAATCTTTATTTTTCTCTTCTTTTTCAGCAAATTTTATAGAGACTTTCCTACTAGGTTAAGGTAAAAAACAATGAGAATTTTTCTATGAACCACAAAAACGGTTTTCTGGCTCGAGAAATCAGTATGATACTCTCAAAGCTTATAGCCCACTTAGGAGCACCACAGCAAATGATCAACTAGCATGTCCCTAGAGGGGCCACTATCTATAACCTCTTGAGAGACCTATTTTGCAAGCTTTAGTGGCCCTATAATGGGAGGTAAACCGATCCCTAGAGAGGAACCTTAAAGGGCGACTCAGAATGCCAAATATAAGGAAAGTTCTTTAAAAAAAAAAAGTTAAGGTTCATGAAGATGAACTAACTGATAATAAAGTAAACTCATCTCATCAAAATAAGAACAAATTCCTAAAAGAAAAACCGAGTAAACCAACCATCAATGACTGTAACGGTGACTGAAAAGCTTTCTTGAGCATTTCGATGATTCAAATATAAATCGATGTTAAAATTTGTTGGAGTCAGATCGAAGCTCGTCAGGTTGGTGCTGCCACCGTAACTGTAATAAATTAAAAATCGGTTAGAATATGTAAAAATACACTTACTTGTAATAAAATCCGCCCATTTTATAATGTTGACTGACGAAAATCGCGTCATCATTTTGTAGAGAAACTGTTTGAAGGGAAACTGTTGGTCTTGTGTATTTGTCGACGATGAACTGAAAAACGCTCAGAGTTGAAATTAAATAGAAAAAAGGTCTTCAAGAAAATTCTTATGAGGTTTAAATATATTTGTAGAAAGAAAAAAATCTTAGAATAATCATAGAAATACACAAAAAGATAAAAAAATTTACCGCGAAAAATTTTTTTGGGGTAAAAACAATTTTGGCGCAGAACGACGCAATATTACGGCCAATACGCGTCAGGCGTAAGTTTTTTTCCAAAATAGAAAAAAATTTTTTTGATCTTCACCGTTTACTTTCGCTAGTTTTTAAGAATAACTGTATAAAAAAATATTCTAAGCATTTAGTAGCCCTAGTAAGTGTTTTGAAAAGAATACTTCAAACCCTTTGATAACTTTGCACCTATCAAAACTTCTTCAAGGAATTCACTCAAAAACAGCAGCTCTCTTAACGTTTTATCAGCCGAAAATTCCATAAATCATCTTGTTGATAAGGAAAAAAAAGCTCGAAAAGACGTCAGTTACGACTGATTAGAAGCTGACATGTTCAAGGGTTCGGAAAATGCGAGAAAAGGAACTTGTCGCCCAAAACCGTACCGTATACCTGCAGAATTTGGGACTGAGGTCAGTCGTCGAAGAATTGATAACAAATGGTTGGGAATTTCCGGTCAGGGTTATGGTCGTGTTGACGCATTCTGAATGACGAGGATTGTGGAGGCGTTGAAATCAGGATGGCGTGGTTTTAGAAAAAGGTTCAAGAAAAAAGTTTTTATCACAATTCAGAAAAAAAAATTTCAATCCATACAAAAGGGCTAAAAAGTTCATTAAAGAAAAAAATTTTTTTAAAAAGTATTGGCTCTGATTCGATAGGCAAATAGATAGCCATAAGGTTCAAATTTTTTTGTTCAAAAATGGCCTTTGAAAATATCAATCGATACATTTTTTTACGACCGTTAGAATTGGTTGGCGAAAGCTATGAATTTCTGGAATCTTGGCACAAAGAATTTTTCAAAAATCCTGTTTTTACTGGATTTTTATCGATTGAAATCTTATTTTTTTGAAGTTTGTTACAAAGGAAGAAGAAATTAAAATAAAAAAACAAAAAGTCAAAAAAAATTGTAGTCTAGCGGACCAGAACTTCAGAATGATAACGTGACAAAAATATGACCTCAAGTTTTTTTGAACTCTCAATTTTTTTATGTACAAAATCGAGGAAATTATACGCAAGCTTCTGGAACTGACATAGAAAAATTAAATCATCATCTTAAATAAAACCGACTTTCAAAAAAATTAAAAAAACAGCTCAAATAAATAAAAAACTATCCTAATAAGCCTAACCTGGTCCATTCTGAGCCACACACGACGTCGAAATGGCGAAAAAGACGAAAAATGCGGACAAACGTCCAAATTGCATGCTCGGGTCCTAAAATAGACGCAGAACGACGGCGACAGGTTGCCACCAGAGAAGGAATTCCCGATTAACCGTAATTATCAGCGTTAGTTGGGCTCCTCGAGCTTATCATCCATCACCCACATGCCGTAAACGTCATCGTTTTCATCGATTTTTCTCCGCTTTTCGTTCAAAAATCGAGGAATCTTCCGTTTGTTGGAGACAAACATGCGTTGAAAAATGGTTTATTTTATTCGAAATCTCGGAAATTTATGAAAATCGGTTGAAAAACTATTAATCTTTCAGAATCAAATCTTCAAACTATCAACCTCCGAATTGTTTTTTTTTGTTTTGAAGAATGTATATACCTTTATTGAATCTAGGAAAAGTCCTGGTCGCATTTGGAATGGCCCAAAGCGTGGCGGTCGCGTCGCGGTTATGATTTGTCCCACGGTATGTTCGGCATCTCTTTCTAACGCTTCTAAATGCCTTCGCGCAAAAGTCGTTTTGAATCGGACGCACTCGAAAAGGAGCCTAGACTTCACGAGTTTAACCATTTTCCAGAAAACTCCCTGGTCGCAAAATTTGGAATGAATCAAAGATTTGCGGTCACGTCGCGGTAATAATTTGCCCCATGATAAATTCGGCGTCTTATTTCAACGCTTTTCAATATTTTCGCGCGAAAGTTGTTTTGAGTTGGACGCTTTCGAAAATCAGCCTCTACACTTTTACCCTTATACATGCGACCATTTTTGCTAGCACTTCAGAGCGAATAAACTGAAATTTTTATTGATTGAAAAAAAAAAACTCAAATCGGTCGACAAGAGTCTGAAAAAAACTTCTGAACCTAGATTGTGTTCAACACCAACTCCAATAATTAGAATTCTGGAACTTCAAAATTTCATCAAATGACGATTTTGTCCGTTTCATTGGCTAATTATTGTGCAACCCTTATCTTTTCAAATGAACGGTTTATCACGTTTTTTCTGAGCTCTGGGAAGATTTTTTCAAGTTTTATTTCATGGAATTACATGTTCTGTTGCATTTCCAGGTGGGTAAAAGCTCGGGGATGCTTTCCGGAGTGGATGTCGTGGATCCTTGCGAAGTTTGTCAGTGTGTGGAAAATTTTTTCTGAATTGTCACCATTTTGAATGAAATTTTATTCGCTAATAAGCTGTCTAGCCTGTCTGCGCTCTCTTTTCTCTCACCTCTAAGGGCACAAAAACGTGAGAAATGGAAATATAGTTGCTGTTGAGAGAAGAGAGGGCGCAGACTTGCGAGACGGACAAAAGAATGAAGAAATTCTTCGCCTCGCAATTTTCCAGTCTGTCTGCGCTCTCTTTTCTCTCACCTCTGAGGGCACAGCAACGTGAGAAATGGAAACATAAGTGTCTTTGAGAGAAGAGAGGGCGCAGACATGCGAGACAGTAAGAAATGAATGAAAAACGACCAACTTCTAGATTTCTCGGCGGGAATCCCTCGATTAAGAGAATAAGAACTTTCGACGCCCAAAGCGTGTTCAAATGGTTCAGCGCTGATCTGAAAAAAACAAAGGCTATTAAAAAAAAGAAAAATTTCAGGTTTTCTGCACGACTTCTGACTCTAATAATTTACTGATGCAAAGATGTCAAATTACCAACCTCTTCTCGGATTCTCTCCGGAAAATACGGATGATGCAGTGCTTCTATGACGCTTATCCGGTCCGACGGCTCAATAACCAACATCTTTTTCAATAAATCTCGGGCCAAATCGCCTGGAAATGAGCCGGATGAGTTCTTGAATAAATTCATCGAAAGGTTTCAGATTTATCGAATAAATATTGATTTAAGACTTTCCTTTTGACCACACAAAACTGGAAGCAATAAAAGAATTATATACTCTATTCAGATTTTGAATGCAAAGTCGTGGCTCAAGCTCCGCCCCTATGACATATAAAAACAAATCATAGAGCGAGCCCAGAGAACTTTTTCTAATGATGTCATTTTACTTAACGTTCAAAAATTTTAACAGACCATCGCTTGTCTGCGCTCTTCTTTTCTCTCAACTCTCTTGTTTCTACTGCTTAAATTTTTCGGAGAGAGAGAGAGGGAACAGACAGGTTAGACGGATCTAAATGACCTCCAAAACTTTCTCTCACATCTTTCCGACTCCGCAGCCGCTCCGGGTGGGAATGAGCTATCAGGAAGGCAAACTTCCAGCGGTTTTTGGTAGTAACTGAAAAAACAATTTGATGAAATTTTTCATGGAAATTGATAATTTTTATCTATTTCATAAGAAAGCCAATGAAAATATATGAAAGAAATCTTTGAAAAAGACCAGTACAGTTAGAACTCAGATTTAACTTGAAAAGTTGACTGAAAAATAATTTGATTAAAAAATGACGATTTAAAGACACACTTTCAGAATTTGGCCTGTTGAAGTTTAAAAAAAACATTGAAACATTTCTCAGTAACCGGAGCCTTTAATAATAATAATATAATTTATTTACAGGCAGAACGAAAAACATGTACAAAAAAAGAAGGGAAGATTGGCATAAAAGCCTGAAATAAATAAATAAAAGGCACTTGAGGCCCTCACGAGCCTCTGAGCCAGTATTGAAAGATGATAAGGTCAGACTAAGAATCGAGGATTGCCTTTATTTCTGTTGAAAACGTGAAAGAAAAAACAAGATAAGAAAAAAAAAGATTATGAAAAAAGGAAGTATAAAACTGTATGATGAGAAAATATGGGCGAAAAATAATCTGATGCCAAAAATAGGGCAAAATATAGCTGGAGTTAGCCCAATTTCAGACTCTCGATGTAAGACATCTGCTTTGAACCTTACGAACAAATTTTGCTCATGTTTTGGAAACTTATTTTTGCAAAATATTTCGTTTATGATAAGTTTTGTTCGATTTTCTTGATCGTTTTTTTCGAAAAGAAGTTTGAGAATCTTCGTTCTAGAACTTTTTCTGATTTAGAGAGAGTTAAGAAATTTGATAGAATCAGTTGTAACACTAGTTTTTCACGCTATTCCAAATTTGGTCTTGGAAACTGTCGAGGACGTCTGTGAAAAAAGTTATGAGTCGAAAATTTCACCGCCTTCGGTTTGACTGGTGAGCTCATTTTTGGAAGGTCTTGTCTTTTTGGAAACAGAAAACCAATAATTTTGGTAAGAGGAACAACGACTTTCTACTTATTTTCCGCCTTCTTTTATCAGACTTCAAACTAACTAAGGACAAGTTGCGATGGCCATTTGGACGTGAGGCTGTAGCCTTTGAACGAATGACGAGTCCGGCGGCGGCGTCCCGAGGATTTCCACGATCTTCTCCCACTGATGTAGATGATCGGTTCCTTTGAACAGAGGCTCTCCGATGATCAAGTTCGCCAAAATGCAGCCGACTGACCAAATGTCAACTGTAACCTTTTTTAAAGGCATAGGGGCAGTAAAGAATGGGGTTTCAGGAGAAAACAGTATCTTATACAGTTTTTCTTTGCGAATCGAACTGTGTACTCAAAAAAATTACAGATGTGACCACTTTTGAAAAAAAAAGGCGATTTCACTTTCACGCCTTTAGTTTTGAAAGATGCGTTGGATCGGCATACGGACAACTGTTCACAGTAGCTGTGCACAGGATGTTGCGGACATCTCATTAGACTCGCATTTTGGGAGAAATAACCGGATATCTGTTTTAAGCCAAAGGTTTCTTTCCTGAAAAATAAATTAAGAAATCAACAAACACACACCGATAATAAAGAAAACACTAATAATCGCTATCCCAATCGAAACCTGCGTAAATTCATCATTTTTCACCAGAAAAGCTTTTTTGCGATCAAAGTTTGCAAACTATACATGAATAGAAAGCGTTTGTGACGGAAAGAACTTTGGTGACAACAGATTTAAAATTGATAGCAACGAACAGGCTTGTGCGTCAGGCCGGGCTTTGGGCCTTACTTTCAGGGAAAAAAAGCCCGCGTGGGCTCGGGCCGGGCCGGACTTCAAAAATTTAAAATTTCATTTGAAAAAAATTTTTCACCGAAATGTGACTTTTACTTCTGAAATCATAGTTTTTTTGTTAAACTTCAAGTGAAAAAATGAGCAAAAAACATAATTTTTGTCGTAGAAAAACTTGATATTCGACTAGAGAAAAAAATACGCGCTTCGGGCCGGGCGGGCCATTTTTTCTTGAGGCCCGCTAAGGCCGGGCCGGGCTTACGAAACGGTCGTGAGGCCGGGAGGGTGACGGGCCGGCCCTCGCACAAGCCTGGCAACGAATAAAAAAGCGAAAATTCGGAAGATGGCGAAGCCTGTTGTCCATAGAGCAACTTTACTGCAAAGCGCCCTTTTCGCGGGAAATCAAACTTTCTTTTCTCCGACTTTGAATTATTTTTTCTAAAAACTAGGAACTTCTGTACGTTTCCAAGTTCACCGTTCGATTCGCAATGAAAAGCTCTTCAAAGTAATGCTTTGAACTGAAAGACCGTTTTTTACTGCCGCTGTGCCTTTAAAAAAATGAAGCTTACAAAATAGGTCTTAGAAGGAAAACCATTTTACTTCGGGGTCTTGAGTTTCGACTCCCTTTACAAACCTCGATTATCGTAAATGGCGAGGGCGCCCTGCTGGAGCAGGATTTCCGGGGCTCGAAACTGTCGTTGAACAACGTAGGGCGTGTTCATGAACGGGTCCTGCATGTTCGACTGCCCGAAATCGCACACCTTATCGATTTTTAAGTTTATTACGTTGAAAAACTTGTAAAAAGGTACCTTGACCTCGCCTCTGCACGTGGCTAAAATGTTGGCCAACTTCAGATCCTGTAAAATACAGTTTTAAATTTCGAACTGTTGCCTACGATTTTTTGTTGAACTTGAGATTTCCTACTTTCTTTGCAATTTAGGGAATCTCAGAGTGGTCTCTAGAGGGGTTCGGAAAAAAAAACCATATAGAGAAAAAAATAAAGGACCCTAGAGGATTTTAGACCTGATCTTTCACCCGTTAAAGGTTAAGTGGTCCCTATAAGGAACTTTCACTGTTTTTTTTTTCATATTTGAAGTATAAAGTTAGCAACAATAACGAAGGCTTCCCTAGAGTGGTCACTTTTCCAATCTTCAGTATCCCCTTGAGGGAGGCTAAGGCCGTCCCGAGAGGGAAACCTTCAGGAGCCCCTCTAGTGATCATTCTGGCTTTCCATAGTACCCTGTGAGCAATCTGGTTTCTGTGCAGATAATTGACTCCTTCCAATATTTGATAAACTATCGAGGAGATCGAGTCATGGTCCAGTATGTCTCTTTCCACCTGAAAAGCAATCCTTCCAAAGGAACTTTAGATTCTTTACCTTCCCCAAAGTTCCTTCAGTAAGTTCGCGAACAATGTAAAACTCTGTCAGAGCCTCAGAACGAGAAACGGACGCGAAAGCATTGTAGAAAGTTATGATCTGAATTATTTTTCTGCGTTTCTTTTTAGTGTCAAATAAACTACTTGATTATGCCGCAAGTTAATGGAACACTGAAGTTCTCGGTTGGCTTTCCGGAAAAGGTCATTTTCCGCGTCAGGAGGTAGTCTTATACGTTTTATCGCTATCGGAAAGTTCAGAACCGAATCGAAGGCCGATCTGAACGTAAGGGGATCACATCCAATGAGAAAATTTTGCAAAATAGATCATTTTTTAGGCTTTCTATATAACAAGAAAAAAACTATACAATGGGGGAAGGAGTGAATTTTTTCAAAAAAAGCTTGAAGTTATCATTAATGTACCAGTGTCAACCTATTTCCTCCCGTACTTTCTAAAAAAATTTGAAAAGAAAACAATTAAATAATAATATTAATAGGATTCCTAACCAAGTTCCGTAAAATAAGAAAGTGTGAATAATAGTGAGACTAAAAAAATTTCATAAATTAATTTTTTTAAACTAACACGACGTCTCCTTGAGTACCTTGTCCCAGATAAATGAGTCTATCATATCGGGAAGGGACAATGAAAGGAATCGTATCGCAGACGAAATGCAACCGGAAGCCTTCTGGAACGAAGAACTTGCCGTGGGGCGTTTGCACTTCCATATACAGCTAAAAATAAAAATTGACGACATTCCAAATGACACCTTGAGATTTTTATACTTCATAATTATTTCAATGAAAATGAAGATTTGGGAGCAAAAAAGGACTTCCGTCAAAAAATGATATATTCCATACACAACTAAAAATAAAAATTGACGACGTTCCTAATGACGCCTTGAAATTTTTATATTTTCAATTTATTTTAATGAAAATTAAGATCTAGGAGCAAAAAAGGACTTCCGTTAACAGATAAAAAATTGACAAAAATCCGAACTACGCACAAAAATTTTAAACTCACATTTTTTTCAAAACCAGTTCATTGAAAATGAAGATTTGGGAACAAAAAAAGCGACAAAGGCTCTAGAAACGGTGGAAAAAGGGAAAGGCAGCAAAAATGGTGCATAAGGGCCGGGAAAATGGCGCAAAAAGGCAAAGGACCTTTTTTTCATTTGTGTAATTACATCGTTTTTCTAAAAGCGAAAAAAAATCAAATGAACCAAAAAGAAAAAAACCAAATGAGAAAAAAACCTTGAAAAAAAGGAAATTTCCTCGAAGAGTGAGAAAAAAATTGATCGGAAACCTCATTTTTACACTGTTTAGAACCCAAAGATCGTCAATTTACTGATTAAAAAAAAATTTTTTTCGGAAGATTTGTTTCAGAGCGGATTTCAGAAAACAGGATGGCACTTTTCTGGGAACTTTTAAAAGTCGCCGCAAAAAAGGGCGAAAGACTAAGAGACGCGTGCCAAGTGGTCTTTTTTATCAAGGTTGAAATTGTTGATCGACGTGATTGGAGTGATAAGGAAATAGTTGAAAAACGGCCTTTTCAGCAATTCCTTCCGTTTTTCGAACGGAAAACAACGTAATTGCTTCCTATTTTTGTTTTTGGTTTGAAATTCTCCTTTTTATTTCTTCCGGAGCTGTTGCAAATCAAAAAAACTTGCTGAACTGATTTTTTTAATTTGGAAAAAACTCTCTGGCTAGTTGGAAAACTTAATTTTTTCTCTTGGAATTTCTTTTTCTAATCTAGTGTTCGCAAAGGTTTTCAATAATTTTTAATTGAAATAATTTAAAAAAAGACGTTTTTTTATAAATATATTTTTGCAAAAGAAAAAAATAGAAAAGATTTGGAAAAAAAGGGTAATAAAAAAATCTGTTGACTTTTTTTGAACTTGCCATTTTTTCGTTCTAGACGATTTTTTTGGGAGCTTTTTTTCTTTTTTTATTCCAATAATTTTTTTAAAAATTTTTTTCAAATATATTCAAAAAAACCCACTTACCTCATTTTTTTCCCTATCAGCCAGCAGAAAATTCTTCCATTCGAAATAAACAAAACTTTCCTGAAATTTAAGAATACGCTCTTCAATGTACACGATGATACTTTAAAAACTAAAAAACTGCGAAAATTCATATTTTTTTTTCGAGAATTACGGTTGAAACCATATTTTACTGCATAGACTTGAGTAAATCGACTTTTTGAGGCGTATTTTTCTCGAAAAATTGGAAATTTTTCCAAATTGAAAAAGTACGTAATATCGATTAATCAAAAAAATTCGGTGATTTTTAAAGTTGAAAGACCACTTGAAAGTACAAAAAAATAACGTTATTAAATAATCCAGCAATATTCATGATTTATGCTTCATTTTCGCTACCACCCAGATTTTATTCAAAATTCAGTCAAATCTCTTTATTTTAGACAGCATAAACACTGAAATTTACTAGTTCAAAAAACGCAGGTCAACAAAATCAATACAACTGAATCTTTAGTAAGTGAAAACGTGTCTTAAAGAGCAAAAAAAGAGAGCGTTATTAAGATTTTAAATGAGCAGGGTTCACAATGGGAAATCAATACGAATCAACCCGAAAAAAGGAAGCAAATGCGGTAAAATCACTAGCTAGCCTATCGATAAAATCCATTTTTCTTCTTTCTATTTCAAAATTCCCGTCGAAGATTGAGATCTCTAAATGAACAGAAAATGGGAAGAATGAAAGAATTTTTCTTTTGTCAACCGTAGATGTCGTGCTTGCGCGCGTAGTCGTTGAGCTCACGGAATATCAATTCTGAAATTTTTTATATTGAACATTTTCTGGCCTGTAAATTATTTTTATGCAACCTTTTCAAGTTTCCTTAGAATTTGAAAAATATACTTTAAAAAACAGAAACTCATTTTTTAAAGAAAGATAATGCCGTGTTCAAAGTGATTCCGCGAAATGCAAATGAGCCATCAGAAAAAAAAAGATAACTAAACTTTGGAGGGTCAGAGACAATATTGCACTTCGCAAAAATTACTTTGAACCCGGCATTAACTTAAAATAAGAACACGAAAAAAAAATTGAACCCTCGCCAAAATGGATGGTAGGACGAAAAATTTGATCCGCAAAAATACGTCGCGTGAAAATTGCGACCACATAACCTATGAGCCACGAAAATTTTAAGCCTTCAAAAATTTTTTTCGTAAAATTTTAAAAATTGCTCAGATGATGACTTTTTTGAATTTCTTTCTTTTTCCTTTTTTTCAATTTTTTTCCCTTTATTGTTGATATTGATTAATTCCAGATCTAGAGCCACTGTTTTTCGGTAGGTTTCTAGAAATTTCAATCATTATCATCAATAAGAAGTCTGTCATTTTTATAAACATGGAAAAACGTATTTAGTTGACAGATTTTTGAACTTTAATGATTTATGGCACAAATTAATTGTGAAAAACAGAAGAAAAAAAGAGTTAAAACTCGAAATCAGGTTTCAAAAACGTTATCAAATCCTGGGATCGCCGGGATAACTCAACGCAGAAATGAGAATCAGTACTAGAGCAGAAGTTTGAAGAAGACCAGAACGAAGAAAAACAGAAAATACAGAAATTGAAAGCCTTATATGCAAGTAATTTCTAATTTAAATGGACAAAATTTTAAAGGCTAAAATTTTCGTGGCTCATAAGTTATGTGGTCGCAATTTTCACGCGACGTATTTTTGCGGATCAAATTTTTCGTCCTACCATCCCAAAATGAAGTTTGTAGCAAAGTTGCTCCATGGAAAAAAACGTTATTTTTCGTATATTTCTTAATTTTTTCCGATTAAAACTTTGCCATTGGTTTTATAACAATCCTCATCGTGAAAGCTTCGGATTATGATAGATTTTCGAAATTTTTTTTAGCGACAAAACATTGCCTACTTAATACTAGATTACGGTAACGGTACACTTCTCATTCGCTGTTTTGAGGAAATGAACTTTCGCCGAAAGAAAAATACAAAACTTCGTCACAATTTCGAGTAAATCTTTGAAAACGCTCTAAACTCGTAACTCTGGCCATGCGCCTTTAAATAACGAACCTCTCCAAGATTCAACGTTCTGTTCCACGTCCAAATTGTGGTCGTAGGGCATTGGGGGCGGAGCGTAAACCTTCAAAAAACCGATGAAAAACCCTGATTTTCCTTATGATCACCTCAGCCTCGTCGAACCAAACATTGACGTAGGGATGCCTTAAGGCGTCGTCTACAGTAATCCTTCGTTCAGGATCGACTACCAACATCCGGCAGAGCAAGTCTCGGGCTTGGGCCGCTTCAAAAATGTGAATTTCTTAGTGGATCCATAATAAATTATGAGAAAATATTTTTAGTAAAAAAATAGCCTCATCGAACTCAAACTTTTGCGCTCCATCGATAATTTTTGGAAAAAAGTCTCTTAATTTTTTCCAAGTTATCTGTGGGCTCAAAAATCAAGCTCAATACCTATTAAAACAAATATCTTCGATTATTTATAAAAAAATTTATCTTTAGAGCGCATTCAAACCTAAAAAAAAGGTGACTTCTTAATTTTTTTTTACTCTTGGTTTGCATATTATAATTGGGATAACATGAATTCAAAACCAAGATATTATCCGTAGAGCGAATATGATGCCACAAATTGAGCCTTCATCCTTTTTTAACTTTATCGATTAAGGACATTTAACTTGGAAACAATTTTAGTCCTAGTTTTTTATTCTCAAATATTCGAAGAAAACGATGAAAATGTAGAAACCTGTTAATCTGGCGCTGTCGGCAGATGGAGGGAACATATTATCGCTGAAGAGAACTTCGAACGGAGTCGATTGGTAGCTGAAAAGTCAATGGTTCCTCTCTCAAAAAACTTGATAACGATATCCTTCCCGTTACGCCCAATAGGCTTCATTGCTTTTTTTTTATATTCCGTCCTTTAATAACTATTCATTCCTAGTATTCACTCTGAGGTTACCGATGGTATGAGGAACTTTGGGTCCGCGAATATTCGTGACCGTGAATTGTGCATACACCAATCTTAGAGGGAAAAATCGGATGTTGGTAACGCAAAACGGAAGTGCTTTTCCTGGGCGACTCTAGGGATCATTTAAGAGTGCTAACGCTGCTAAAGTAGTCACTAGAAATGCCCCGACACGTCCGTCACGCGTTCTCAATAACAGAGAAGACGCCAGAGAAGTTCTAAAGCCCTCAAAACTTGAAAAAAGGTACAGTTGACATCGTTTCGCCGGTTTGTTATAACACATGTCACTTTTCCTCAAAATATCTCTTCAAAAAAAAAAAAATTTGAATCCATGTTAAAATGTTGTAAAGCTTTTTTCAACTCTTCTTGATTTTCTAAATGTTTGAAATATCTTAGAAGTTCGCGATTCGAAAAATAAAATCGGAACTTTAAAAAACTTTCTAACGCTAATCCCTGTTTTTTGTCCAAAATAAGTATTCTTTGTCTATTTTTTCACGTTATATGTTTTCCATCTAGGCATATTTAAGAATATTTAACAACTGATTTTGAAAAAAAGTCTCAAAAAGTGAATTCAAACATTTTACTGAGACTTCGAAAAAAAGGAAAATTTTATTTCTGAGAAAAAGGCGAAATTTTTCAAAAATATACTTTGAATCTTCGATTTTTTTCCTTTACAAAAAAATTTTTTTCAAAAAGATATAGCTCATAGTGTCGTTTAACTTTTTTTAATATAAAAAAATTAAATCATAATTTTACTGTCACTTTTTTTATCCAGGTAGAAACATACCGAGGCCGATTTTCGACGTAGTTTCTCACAGTCGGCTGTAACCGTTCTAGAAAAGATCGTTCAGGCGTTCCCAATTGTTCTGGAAATTGGAAATTCGTTGAAAAAAAACAAAAATCAGTTCAATTTCGAAGTGAGAACGAACCAATAATCCGATTCCACTGATCGATATGATCTCCCCCTGGGAACAAAACTCGGCCGCGGATCAATTCGCCAAAAATGCAGCCAATCGACCAGACGTCAACTAGAAAAAAAAAATGAAAACAAATCACTACAAAAAACTTTTTTTCAAATTAACCAAAAAGTGTGTTTTTTTGACCTCAAAAATATGAAAATCAATGAAATTCAAAAATACTTCTTTCAATGGTTCATAGTCTGTTCCAAAACCTTCATTAGAACATTTTTGAGCTGAGAATTTTGAAATTACAGAAAAAAAACACGGAAAAACAGTTATTCGCCTCGAGACCTGAATAAAACCGTTATATGCTCCTTTAAATACCGGATTACCATTTTTCAACAAATTTAAAACCCTTAAAAGCGAGTCTTAAACATGAAAATCCTCTCAAAAACAGAAAGAGATCTAAAAATACTACTAAGCTCATGTGAAGCTTTCTAAAGAAAAAAAGAATTTCGAATTTAAAAGTATCCGCGAATCTTTCTTAACGATCTAATTTCAAAAATTATTCTCCAATAAAGCTTTAGTAATTTAAAAATTTCCTGTCCCTAGATCAAAATTTTACTATACGATGATCAAAAAAGGATAAAATCATAGAAAAAATCACCATTTTCGCGATAACCCATGCCGAGAATGACTTCAGGCGCCCGGTAATATCTGGTCACCACGTAAGGCGTCATCATAAACGCTTCAGTTGCCGATCGAGCCAGGCCAAAGTCGAGGATCTTCAGTGTGCAATCGCTGCGAACGACGATATTGGATGGCTTCAGGTCCTGAAGGGAGAAAATTGAGGAAAAAACGAAAAAAAGTGAAAAAGATATTGGAAAAAGTTTTAAATGATGTCTGCTGCAAGCTTTTAAAAAAAGTTCTAAAAAGAACGCCATTCTTGCAACCTTTCCCCTTAATTTCGTCCATTTTTGCCAATTTTTTGAAGTCCCAGTTCAAAAATTCAAAAACTCATTTTCCTTTTCAAAATTAGATTTCAAAAAGAAGGCAGAATGGATCATTTTTTCGTCCTTTCCTCTCATATTTCCTATCTTTTTAATCGATATTTAGTAGCCTCGTCTTCTAGGCCTAAAAAAATCTCAGAAGTTCATTTTTTTCAGATATAAAAATATGGTTTACAAAAAAAGAAAGGCAAAGTGGATCATTTTTTTCAACCTTTATCCTTGGATTACGCTCCGAGTGACGATTTCTGATGGTTTCAAGTCTTGAGAGACAATAAACGAAAAAAAAAATAGAGGAGAAATGCGAATTTTGAAACTTATTTCAAGGACATTGACTGCAAGTTTTTTAACAATAAATCCAAAAAACGTCATTTTCTTCTTTTCTCTTCATTTTTACAACCTTTCCCCTCATATTTCGAGCCTCTTCACTGGTTTTTTGGCTTAAAAATGTCAGATATAAACGGTTTCAAAATGAAAGCAGAACACGCATGCTTGAGACAGTACTACGGCGGCCGGTCAACATTGCGCAGTCAGTTTCGGAGCCAGGAAATTTTTTTAATTTTCTTTCTTTTTTGCAATTTGTTAAGGACCTGTTTCTCAAGGTTACAAGGTAAGTTACATCACAAAAAGTACACAGAAATCCCTTTTATTATTGAAAAATCTATCCAAACTACCGTAGTACGACCGGCCACCGCGTGGCGGGTCGTACAGGCGTGAGAATACATTTTTTTTTACATCAAACATTAAATTTCATATCTTTCATCGTTTTTTATTGCTTACAAATATCAAAAGTACATTTCTCATCTCAAAAATACGGCTAGGTTTCGAAAAATGGCAGAAAAAACGCAAACAGAAATCCATTTTATGACCTTTTTTCGAAAAAAGACCTGTTTTTCCTCTAATTTCCTCAGAATTGCTCACCCTATGAATAATCCCAGCGCTGTGCAAATGCCGAATCCCGCACAACATTTGATACAGGAGATATGATAACCTCTCGTGGTCAAGGTCCATTTGAATAACCTGGAAAATCTATAATTTTTTTTTTTTTTGAAAAAACCTGGCACAAATTCGCATCCATGAGCTCCATAACAATGTACAAATCGTTGAATTCATCGAGCGATTTTTGCGGCGTAAAACAATTTAATAATCCTATTATCTGAAAAAATGATCGTAAGATGCTAAAAAAATAGGAATATTTTGAAGTTTGAAAAAATGTTTAGACCTCACAAGGAGGTAATTTTATTTTGAGGTTCGGAATTATCTAAAAATTGGCCAGAACAATTCTCGATGTATGAAATGAAGATTTTGAGAGTCTCAACTTAAAAAACTTTCCAGTTTTCGAGAAATAAAGGCTCAAAGCCCGAAAACAGCCGATTTTTAAACATTTTCATGATTTTCTTCGACTTTGAGGAGTCCTTTTTTTCAAAAAAATTAGAGTTTTTGCAAGTTGAGAATTTCAGGACTTCCATCTGGTACATCAAAAAGTGTTCTGGCCAATTTTTAGAGGATTCTTAACAAAAAAAGTAAAACGACCTTCCTTGTCAAAGTCGACCAAAAAAATCTTAGGGTAGACCAATTTCACCTCTTTTTTTATGAAGAAAAAAATCCAAAAGCTATCCCACTTTCGAACTATGAGAACTTTAAAAAAATAAAAATGAAAAAAAGGAACATTTTTTTATGATTGACGAGGCTCATCAGCTTCAGCTCCCGGTAGGCCCCTCTTCGCATGTGTCACATTTTGGAACGGCCTCGACAGTTTCTTTATCGCGACTTGTTGATTTCGAACCGTGTCCAGGGCCGAACTGAAAATTTTCTCTTTCAAAAAGGACAAATGAAGAGAAAATCAGAGAAAAGAAGGATGTACTGGGAAAAGCTCTAGTGGCCACTGAAGAGGCTTCAAAAAGAGGTCACAAACAATTTTCCAATTAAGACTAGGGTTTTGAATGAAAATAGACAATTTTCGAATTTTTGATTTTAAAAAGATCATGGGTACATCCCGAAATCATTTCAGCGAGAGAATAAAAAAATTGAAACTTTTAGTTTAACACACGTTCTTCCCGAAACGCGATAAACCGTTTATACCAAAATTTCAGATTGAGTTTTCTGAGCTCAAATTGTGGTTGCAATAACTAAATAAAGTTCTGAAAATTTTACATAGAAATTTGAGAGGCTCCGCCCCCTTTTTTAGGATTACCAAAAACGTAACTTTTTTTCTCCGTTGTCCAAGTTGAATGAAACTTTTTCAAACGAAAGCGAATGACAAAATTGAACAGTTAAAAATCAATGATCGGTGGTTACTCACTACTGGTTAGTATAAAAAAACTGATAAAATAATTAAAAATAATCGAAATGGTCAATGATATGATATAAATATCTCGAGAAATCAGGTCGGAAAAAGACTTTAAAAAAAACGAATTTTTTTCAGTCCACGGTTGAAATTTCGTTAAAACTTGGTGTGAGTTTCCTGGAACTTCGAGAAATCCTCGCAAAAAAATCGAGATGTGATGGTTCAAAACTCTCGAATGAAGCTTTTTTTCCATGAATAATGATATTGAGGTTTTGAGATACATTTCAACATGGGGGGGTAAGTGAGTCTTCAATAATATCAATTCAAGGCAAAAATGATCAAAAACTAGCTGACACAAACAAAAAACCTTCCAAAATTCAGTCATTATTGAAAAAAGAACCCACCAAACGATTCCTTGAGCTCCAGAGCCGATCAGCCTCAAATTTTGGTACCTTTTCAGGATCACCAGTTGCGCCTCCCCAATTGTCACCTGAACAAGGTAAAACTTTTTGATTATAACCAAGACTTCAAAACCGTATAATAACTGTCCGGGACATGTGAGGAAGGCAAGTCCATTAAGAGATCGCTGAAATTTTTTTCAATAATAAACATTGGTTTTTAGTGGAAAAGGAAAAATAAAAAGCAAGAAATTAATTTTTTTCAGATATTTTTTTAGAAAGATTATTTAGCATACTTACGCAAGTACCAAACTCAATTAGCTCAGGTGAAAAGGATTATTTTTCAAAAAAACTTCGCAAGAAAAAAAGTTTCAACCTAGGGAGTTACTATCGATTTTTAAGTCATAAAAAAAACAGGCGTTAAACTTAAAAAAATTAGTCTTATTTTGTTGATTTATTTTTTCGGTATTTTTCGATTTGAAAAAAATGAGAATATTAAAAATAAAATTACCTCTTGAAGAAGGCATAATAAAATGATTGGCAATATAATAATTTCAAAAAGAAAGTTTGAAACAGGCAATTTTGCTTCCAAGATCCTTTTTTGAGAAATGTTTTTTTCAATCGGCCAATGTCACAGTAATAATTAGAACGGTTGCGAAAAACTCAACTTTTTAGAAAAAAAGGACTTTTCCGATAAGAAAAAGTGTTATTTTTTATAGTCCGTCCGCCGCGACTTGACAATTTTCGCGTGTCTGCGTCTCTTTGTTCCCTCGCGAGATCAGAGAAACATGGAAATAGCACGTAAACATGAGAGGGTCGTCGAGAGATAAAGAGAGCGCAGAGAAGTCGCGATAAACTAATTATAAAGGACTTTTTTTTTTCCAAAAAGCTCCTTTTTTGGCGTTTTCGGACTCTGCCGTGCAAAGTTTCTCCTTGAATGAGCTTTAGAATGGAGAAAATTTGTAGAAACCTGGAATGAACTGGGCTGAAAGCCGACTGGCAGCTGTCCAGCGAAACAATGTCGTCGTCGCGCGCCGATGACGGCACCAGCCACTGCAAACAAATAAATATAATCTAAATCTTACCAGAATCTTAATTTTATGTTCAATATTACAAATAATCACCCAAATAATTAGTACGATTACTAATACTCAAAAAGAAAAAATCAACATAAATTGAAAATTTGGGATCAACGTCTTTCCTCCAGCCGTTTGATTAAATTCTTTGTTTAGATTTTTTATTTTTTCTTTTTTTTTGTTCAGTTTGCGAAATTGCAATGTTGGAAATGAAAAAAGTGAATGAAGTTAAAAGAATATTTCACTTTGAGTTCTTGAGAATGAAATCGACATATCCTTTTTTTGATCTTCGAGAGGGACCAAAGCCGGTGCAAAAAATGCATCTTCAAGAATTAGAAGGTCAAAAAATTTTTTCTTCCAAGGGGTCAAAATTCGAAAAAGGACAAACCCACTTTTCTGTTTCAGACATATTCAAAACATGAAATAATAAGTGGTTCCCGTTCTATAGGCTTAATGGAGAAGTTCTGAAATTTTTAACATCCTCTTTTCATTTCAACTATCAATTTTCTTATAAAACATCATTAAAATGATCATTTTTGAAAGTTCAATCTTGAGAACCTTTCATCCGTTTAAAAATCCACTGGGAAAATTTTTAGCAGCCACTATAGGGTTTTGACCTTTTAGTGGCCACTTAAGGGGTTAAGGATTAGTGGCCACTATAGAGGTCCAAGTGCTACTACTAAACTACTGATAATTTTAGTGGCCACTTTAGGGGTCAATGGATCAACATAACTGGTCCAATCTGTTTGCTTTAAAATTATCAGAGTTACTGGAAGAATACGGGGTGAAAGGGATACTGGATGAAAAACTACTGAAATGGCCACTAAATATAGAACCACTATAGTGGCCACTAAAACGAAAAGTAGTGACCACTATAGAGGTGGGTTTTGTGGCCACTTTGGTGTCCTCTCCAAGAAGTTTTTGGCGAGCCTCTATAGACCACTAAAAATTTCCCCAGTATCACGTTTGAAAGCGCAGAAAATTTATAAAACGTGAAAAATCTTTAAAAACGGCTCTTGGCCTCAAGAACTTTATGAAATTCGGTTCTGCTACTTCAAAACACTAAAAAAGATGATTAAAACACAGAAGCTTCGTTATTTTGACGGTTCGTGTATAACATTGAGCTGAACACCTCTAAAAAATTGAGAAAATCCTAAAATCAAATCTAACTCAAAAGAAAGGCAAACCTGGCTGACAGAATCGATAAAGTTGTTGAGATGTCCGCGGGTGCCGCGCAGGATCGACGACAACGAGGACGACGCCAGCAACGAGTGATCTTCCTCGACGTCCCGGACTGCAAAAATCGAACCTTGATTAGAGAAACCGAGAAGAGTATCTCACAGATCAGTGCGAACCCTGAAGGGTCCACTTGGGTTTAAAGATTGAGAGAGTATATGATACGTTACGTTTTACATCAATTGAGCAACTAGAGAGCGTTTTTAGTCCTCGGTGGTCGAAAAACTTTTTCGTTGAGAAGTAAACCGACCCATAAATTTTAAATTATAGAGACACGGAAAAAAAAGGTTTGAAGATGAAATCTAAAAAAATGTGAGGACTTAAAAAAAAAAGAAGAATATTGAGGCCAGTGGCATCACGTCGTCAAAAAGTCAAAAAAACATTTTTTTCTGATTTTTTTCTTTTTTTCGTAAAATTATCCTCGAAAAAAAGGTTTATTTACAAACAGAAAAAAAAGTGAAGCATCCAAAATTTTAATGTTAGGAAATGCATTGCGAGAATGAATACATTTCCTTCAATTATTTAAAAAAAAAGAATAAAGATGGACTTTTAGGCAAACAAGCATTTTTTCTAATTCAAAAGTACTTTTCGTACAAGTAAATATTTGACAATCAGTCAGGAATAAAAAAAAAAAAAAATCTGAAAAAAAGGTCCCGAAAACCCTGAAGTCAGAGATTTGAAGTCGGCGAAAGTTGGTAAGAAATGAAAGCGGGGGTTGGCAGGAGCGATAATTGCCTCGCGGCTCAAAACCGAACCCAATCCGAGCAGAAGCCGGGGGGCAACAAAAGGGCAAGTTGCCTTGAAGAACGAGGCACGCCAAATCGACGCCGCCGACCCTTCAGCAGGAGAATCAATGGCCGAAAACGGCAGCTTTTGTTGGCCTCCAATTTGGTTCTTCTTGACCTTTTTGGGAAGCTTTTCATAAGTTGATAGTGAAATTTTGAGACCCGAAACGGCTTACATAAAATTCGTTCTAAATATATTTTTTTAATAGATATTAAAAACAAATGCACTATTTTTTTATAAAAAGTTAGCCTCTGTCCTTTTTCAAATTTCTATACCTTTTTCACATTAAATACCCGAATTTGATACACAGATCTTCATTGAGAAAAAAAGGAAAAAAAAAAAAAAATCAAAAAAAAGTTGAAATATCTCTAAAAAGGTTAATAGGACGTTTGAATTGATTTAAAAAAAAATTCTTTTGAACTTTTTTTCTGTGCATAAATGACGTGAAAAAAATAGAAAGATAGCTAAATTTTGATGAAACCGAGTTTTTCGGTCCACGATTGTTTCAAAAATCATGAAATTTCAAAGAAGGGTCGCATCAAACTGTATTATTTGCACTTTTGGATTTTCTAAAACTTTGCCCACGATTAAAAAAAACTGAAAAAAAACGTCAAAAACCGACTTGAAGTCATTTAGAGTCTATGTGGCCCATCTTTTTCCAAAAATAGAAAATTTTCCGTATAAAAATCTTTCAAGAAAACCCAAAAAATTTCAGAATGCAAAGTAACACGACCTTCCCTGTGAAAGCCTTTCAAAAATCGATTCTTCCAGAAACCGGAGAAAAAGCTGAAGAGGTCGTGGAAAAAGGAAGAAGAAGAAGGAGAAGACGTGCGAGGAGGACAAGATGCAGGAAATTGGGTAACGACCCCAGTCGACGCTTCTTCGGCCGGCTCTTTAAGTCTTTTCTCTCATCACACTCCTTCCAAATCCTCCATTCTTCCCCCTTTCGACCCGTTTTCCCAAGTAAATATAATTAATGGTGAGGAAAAAGGAGTAATTGTATTACTTGAGGAGATTTTTGCAGAGACTGGTACTGAAAATGAGTATAGAGGATCTCGGACGTCCGTATGGCAAACCGGACGTTCCTGAGCTTTTCTAGTGGCCACTTTAGCGTTGTCCGAACTCTTAAGGGGTCCCTAAAATTGCTCAGAGAAATCCGAGGCCTGCATATTTAGTAACCACTCAAGAGGTGACAGAACTCTTAAGTGGTCCCTAGAAATGCCTAGACTTTCTTAAAAACTTCCGGGGCCTTTATTCTTAGGGGACACTTTAGCGGTGTCATCCCAAGTGGCCACTTTAGCGACGCCCTCAGACTTGCTCAGAAACTTCCGAATTCTACATTTTTAGTGGCCACTTGAGCGGCGTCAAAGCTCTTAAGGAAACACTAGAAATGCTCAAAAACATCTGGTTTGCGTTACCGACGTCCAAGATAGAAAATTACGCTCGGAATAGAAGAAACTCCAATTTTAGGCTTTGCGGCTCATTTTCGAAAGATTATAATCCCAGAAAGATCTTTATGAATGATTAATTTTATTAAACGCTCGAACTCCGTTTACGAGAGTTTTTATTAGCCATGGAGCGCAAGTGTTCCAATATTGCTCATCTTATAATTTTTTCTGGTCAATTTTTTCTCTTGTTTTTGGGTAAGATAAAATGAGATTAAGAAATAATATGTAACCTAAAATAAATCTTGAAACATATTTTAAAAACAACGGTTCCTATTTTTTTTAATGGAAAGAAACGTGCTGGAAATTAAAAATGAAATCCACTCAACTAAGTTCAAAATAATCCATCAAAAGCTCCGTTTAAAAAAAACGTTATACTCTGAAAAATCCCACAAAGTGAAAAAAACAAAAGTAAAGTGAAAAAGAACAGGAAGGGAAGGCCCAAGGATGGGCTTCTTCCCGGACAAACTACGATTGGAGCAAAGAAAGCCGGAAAAATGGAGGCGGTTTTGATAAATCGCCTCTGGGCGTTTTCTTCGAGCCCCAGACTGAAATCTGTCTTGGGAAAAATTTGGTGGACTTCATCTTTAAAAAGTGGGAAAAAAACAAGCAGAATAAATTTTTTTGTTGAACAATTTTTTTGAAATTGAAATAAAATCGAAGGATTCTACTAGAAAGGGTCGAGGCGCTCAAAAAAACTATTTTGGAAAAATTTTTTTAATGATTATTTTTTTCCAATAAAAAAAGAGTAATTTTGAAACTTTGGATGAGTCTCTTTAGGAATTGTAATAAGGAGAAGCTGAATAATGAAACTAATTAAAAAATTGGCATCCAAAGACCAAAAACAAGTGATTAACAAATCTTCAAGCCGCAAAAAAATTGGGATTCGAAAAAAAAAACACTTCAGAAAAATATTTTACCATTTCAAACTGTAAAAGACCTCAATTTACAATTAAAAACGAAAAATTCTTTCCATGCCGTTCCAAATAAATCTCTATAGGCCTCCCAGATTCAGAGGAAATAGCCAATTTCGGCGATTGCCGGCCAAAATTAATGGACTGCCGAAAATTGAAAGCTTTTCCCAAAACGGAGCAACATTTTCTGCGTGGGCGTTGGGTGATTGTTTTCATAGATTTTTAAGAGGATTAGTTTAAAATTCAGGAAAAATGAAGAAAAAGGCAAAAATAAGCCTTTAAAACCTTTAAAAAGCGATTTTATGAAGCTTCAAATGGAAATGTTACATATTCTATGTGAAGCTAGAAGCTTCAATGTTGAATTCTAAAAGAATTTCATAAAATTGGAGAATTGGAAAAAAAAGTAGTCATCCATTCTTTCCAAAAAAAGCCTGATTCTCAAAAAAAAAAGATTCAGCCAGAAAATGGGGATTTGAACGACGGAACGACGATAATAGAAACGAAATTGAATCCGAGTTCTCAAGACGGATTGATTGAAGCAATTCGAACGGGCTAATTCTGAAATAATTTGGTTTTTCCGGAGAGAAAAAAAGGCTCTGGAGTCGGATTTGATTATTTTGACATTTCGGAGAAAAAAAAGATAAATTTTTTTGCTTTTTTTAATTTTTGTTTTTTTTTATAGAAATGTAGAAACACAATCTAATTGATCCCCAATTTTAATATAACTCTGAAACAGTCATGTCCCTCAAGAAACTCGATAAAAGTCATAGAAAACTTCAAAAGCAGAAAAAAATGTCAAAAAGTGTGCTTTCAATTCCGTTTTCACAATAAAAACGTGGTCTGAAGTGACTCATTTCTGATTCTTATCAAAATATCAAGATAAAATGAGAACTTCCTCTACAACCAAACTTCAAGAAAATATCTGTACAATTTTTAAAAAAGCCGACTTTGTAGTTCTCCTCAAGATTAAAAAAACCATAAAAATGACTAGAAATGTAATAAAACTACAAAAATGACTTTTTTATCTGGCTATGAATGGCTTAAGTTATCCAAAAAGAGTTATTAACGTCAATTTTTCAAAAAAAAAAAAGACTGCAAGAAATTTTTTTTATGGAGATTTCTGATGTCTATAATGCTTCTGAAGAAGTTTTTAAAAAAATTGGAAAAAAAGTTAAATTTAAAAAAATTTCTTCAAGTTTTTCCAATGTTAAGCGTGTCAAGAATGTAACATTTCAAGTTCGAATAATTTAAAAAGGATCTCGGTTTCAAAAAAAGTAGAACAAGCGTACATTTTTCTTGAAATTCTTTAATAAACCTTTTATAGGAAAAAAATGAAAGAAAAATTTATATTATTAAAAAAAGTTTTTCGAGAATGAGAAGTCTAACTTTGAACATTGAAGCCTGTTTGGATTTTATAAAAAGGTCTCTGGGTTAGTTAAAGACACAGAAGTATTACAAAGAAAGAAAATAGGGTTTTCGTTTTGAGACCTTCTTGAAATTCGTTAGGAGCAAGAGCTTTTCAACAGTCTTTCTGACGAAATTCGAAAAGTTTCCGAAAAATCCGGACCAAATGAAAAAGACTACTGTAAAAGTCTTACGGCTTTTTCTCTTGAGACCTTCCAGAACATTTCAAAAGGTTTACTGACCGAAACTTTTCGAAAAATCGGGAAAATCAAGACCGATTGAAAAAGACTACTGTAACAGTCTCCTGGCTTTTCGTCTTGAGACCTTCATAAAATCCCTGGGAGCAAGAACTTTTCGACAAGTTTACTAACCAAAGCTTTCCGAAAAATCCAGAAAATCCGGACCAAAATAAAAAAGACTACGGTGACAGTCTTGTGGCTTTTCGTCTTGAGACCTTTATAAAATCATTTGGACCACAAGGATCTTTCAAGCTTACTGAGAAGATTCAAAAGCTATCCGGAAAATCAGGAACAACAATAAAAAAAGACTACTGCAACGGTCTCGCCTCCAACTCGAGAAGGCTTCCGAAAAACAAAGAAAGGCCGTTTTCGGAATGAAAAGGGTGGTCGACGTGGTCCGTCGTTTGGTGGGCAGCGAGGCCGAAAACGGGGGGAAGATCGATTTCGAGAAGGCGGCTCGCCACGGAATGCAATGGATGGAAGGATGGATGGATGGAAATGCAAAATGGCCGAGACTCGGCTCCACACAATTTCGCATTGTCGTCGGCCGCATCATCGCCGCTTCTCGGGAGAGGCCTCCTCTTCTTTTCTTTTGTTTTTCCGTTTCAGATTTTTTCGGGAATCCAGCTTCGAGTGGAGAAGGAGGTATAGTTTTTCGAAGAAAACACCAAAAAATTTCTCTTCTTCTAGAGATTTTGTATAGTCTGCGTGCCACGAGTTGAAATTTCGCGGAACGACATTCCGCTGTTCCGCTGCGTGCGTTCGCGAAGCGTTTTTCGAATCTTAGTCACGCTTTCAATTGATTTTTATTGCTGTGGGTGCACAGGAAAGTAGAGTACCTCAATAAAAAAAGAAAAGAAATAAAAGCGCGACCAAGGTTCGCAAAGGCGCGGCACAGCGGAATGTCGTTCCGCGAAATTCCAAGTCTTGGCACACAGACTTTAACACACGTTCTTTGAGATTTTCAAAAATCTCTTGGTACAAGAATTCCAAGTTGGTTCCTCAGAGCTCGTTTCGCTATCAGTGATACTAAATAACCTCTTCAACTCATAACACCTGGTTTTTAGAGACTCCGCCCACTTTCAGGGTACTTAAAAGTAGAGAGAGAGAGGAAGAATTCATTTTTTGAAATCTGACTTGACCCCAATAAAATGGAGAAAATATGAAAAAGGTCTTCTAATTTTTCGGCTTTTTGTTCATATTTTTTTGAAAACAGCTTCAAGTAGAGAAAGAGGAAGAGTTTTGGATTATCCTACTCAAAAACTGACCTAGTAGACCTAAATGAAGGAAAAATATACTTTTTTTCTTATCAAATTCTTCAGAATTCTCAGCTTCAAGTAAGATCTGGCCTGCTCTATCTTAAAACTGGTTTTTCTTTAAATTTTTTTCATACTCAATTTAGGAACTGATCAAGACGACTTCAAAAAAATATGAAGAAAAAAACGGAAAAAAATGTCTCCTCTTCTTTTCTGTTACTCTCCAGCAAGATATTCCAGATTTTTTTTTTGGAATTTTCAGTTTTGAGTAATGAAAATGAAAGAGTTTGGTATAATAAACTTAAAAACCAATCTAGTCGACCTCAAAATTATGAAAATAATTCAAAAAAAGTTTTTTTCTTTCCTGTATTCCAAATCTTCTTTTCAAAAACAGCGCGAGAAATAGAGAAAAATGAAGGTTTTTTGGTATACTCTTTTAAAAATAGATGACTTCAATTATGTGACGAAAAGAAAGGAAAGTGCGGCCGCACTACTAGTAACTTCAGACCAGGAAGTCCTTTACTTGGAACTTCAAATTCTATATTCTCAAAAGTGCTCAAGTACTCTTTAAGAATTTTGAATGAAATGAGAGTATTCAATTTGGAAGATTTGAAGAATATTCAAAATGATAGAAAAAATGACCTCTCTTCTAACTAGGAAATGTTTTTTTACCCCCTTCCGGTTGAACTTTTGATGAAACTTGTCTGAAGTGTACTTTAGGACCTCCTGATTGCAAAACTAGAAAAAAACATTTCTCGCAATAGATCTTTTTTCGAGTTATGGAGCTTCAAAGTCCGCAAATCACGCAAACTATGACAAAAAAAGCTATTTTTGAGCTTTTGAAGTGTCCTAACTCGAAAAAGAGATTTATTGCAAGAAATTTTTTTCTTGGAAACAATCCCAAGTAAGCTGAAGCATCGAAATTTATCAAGGTTTCTAGCAACAGAAAAAAAAATTGAAAATCCTATATTTTCAATAGCTTTTTCGGCTTGAAAGTCTTTTCAAAACTAGAAAGCTAGGTTGACTTTTAGGATTTTTATTTGGTCAGACCCTATGAATTTTCGAAATAATATCTCAATTTTTTTCTCTAGAGTGAAAATTGTTTCTCTGGGCCTTCTGTTGACAATCTAATCTCATCATTCAATCCAATTCTTAAATTTCTCGGATTACTTATTTTTATTCAAGTCTATAAATCATCGATTTTCTAGCACCCTTAGATTAAAAAAGAACAAAAAATCTAACGAAACATCTTCCTAGTCTAAAAAATAATAACTTTCGAAAATTATGAAAAATCACAATTTTTCTTGCAATAATGGTATCTGAACAGTTTCCCTCAACGAGTTTTCAATGAAAAAGAAAAAAACCGGACCGTAATGATGGGACATGCTGGCGGCGGTAGCTCTTCCTTCCATAATGGTTCGGTTTTCAACCCGTTTTCTGAAATTTGAATTCATTTCAATTTCGGGGTGATTTATGAAACGAATAGTCGAGTTTAAGGCGTTCTAAGTGTGTAGAAAACGAGGGAAGCAATTGAAAAATGGAAAATTTATAGTTTTAAGCTTTATGGATCAATTCAAAAAATTCTCCTGGCCTTAAAAAAAAAAAAAGGTCTAGTTAATTTTTTTAAACCACGGAACGACTTTTTCTCCGAGACATTTCGAGAAAATTGAGAAAAAAACAATTATTTCAAAAAGGTAAATGAGCAATTTATAAGGAATAACCGAAAAAAATCTTTTTGTTTGAAAGAAAAAGTTTAAGAGATTCCCAAAAAAACTGCAAGTGGAAACGAAAAAAACAAGAAAAAAAACTCAAGCTCTTCTTATTTTCAACGAGCCACTCGTAAATCTCTTTTGCGCGTAGTTTATAATGCTTAGTGTGCATGCAACCAAAAAAACAACGGATATTCCGGTAAACAGAAAAATTCAAATAACTTTCTTTGATTATTATGTTTTTCTTCCTATTGTAGTGAGTTCCAAGAATGACCAAACAAAAAAGAACCCAAAAAACATATTTTTAGACTTTGAATTCCAATATTTGCTGAATATCCTAGATGGAATGATTTTTAGTCTCAAATTTCCCTTTTTTTACTAAATTTGAAGAAAAAAAGAATCGCTCCAGTTCTACTTGTTGAATGAAAATCAAGACTATTTTTTTTATTTTTCTCGAAAGTTATATTTTTGAAATAAAATAACTTCTTCATTATCCATAAAAATCGGAATCGAAGAGGTCTTTTCTTAAAAAAACTTTTCCAAAAACTTCAATTTTTAATTTAAAAAAAAACAAGCCTTAAAAACCAATAAAATCAAAAGTGCTTCAAAAAAACTTCTTCCACATCGAATTAGACGAAAGCAAAAGCTATAAATCTGGTGGGGAATTTCCTTTTTTGGAGTGAAAGCTTTGAAATTGCGGATTTCCAGGAATTAATGAAGATACGATAAGTATGGGGGATGAAAGGGCATAACTGGAGATTATGTGGAGAAGCTTCTGGAAGGAGCAAAGTAACACTTTTTGCAACATCACATGTTTTCTCGAGTTTGTGGGAAAAGGGACTGAAATAGCGGAGGACTTTCAGAAAAAAAAAACTTAAGACTCGTGTGACTTGATCAAAACTGGAAACTACAAAACATCTGGTTCTTAGAAAGATTTTCAGGTTATTTAAAAGAAAAACTAGGACCGAAAACTCTTAATTTCGAATAATGTGTCTCTACTATCGAGTTTTCTCCGTCATTGCGCTCTATCTAACGTGTAAGCTTATAGAAAATCCAGTTTTTTGAAATATTTCCGAATTTTCGTCAAATTTTCAGCTTTTCCCAAACAATTCAAACAAGCAAACCTATTTTAGAGTAATCATATTTTTCTACTCCAAAAAAGTTTCAGAAAAACAAAAAGTTTATAAACTATTGACCAAAAAACCACGAAAATTTGAGAAAAAATGAAGAAAAAAGAGAAAAATCGTGCTTCCAGTGATGAGAAAAAGATTCTTCCCCAGGATCCTTTCGATAAAAAATTCATGAAAAATCGGCGTCAGAAGAAATTTTTTTCTGCGTCATAGTGTATTCATAAACAGCTTCGGGGAACTTTTGGAGGCTTGAGTTTTTGCTCAGGAATTTGAACTTTGACAGTTAAAAAAATTGAGAAGTTTGAATTTTATAGCTTAACTTCTTGTCACAGAAAAAAGAAGAGTACTGGTAAAATCCTTCCTTTTTTTTCAAGACGAGTTTTACGAAAAATTATCGACCTTTTGAAAATCGCTAAGTTTGAAAAAAAAAATCAAAGGACTGAAATTTGATTTTATTCATCCAAGACATGTCGCTAGTTTTATAAAAAGGGTCCAAAAATCATGAAAATTTTGACTTTTACCTGTCACCTAGCTAGGTAAACTGTAAAATGTACCAGAACTAAAAAAAAAACCAATAAAATCAAAAATTTTCCTTTCTCGTACTAAGAAGCAACAATGGAGGGAATCGTATGAGTCTGATATTAATGACAAATAAATCGTGGAAATCATAGTAAAAGCTTCATTTTTCTGGGAAAAAACACCTTGAAAGCTTCTGATTGAGGTGAGAGCTGAGTGATAATTACACTAATTCACGGCTGGAAAAGCGAAAAAAAAAACTTGCAGAAGCTGTGACAAAAAAAAAAACTAAAGAGAACGTGAAATAACGAAGACTTTCCTTCATGAAGAGGCTAGGTGCACAATTATTAATAAATCACAGAAAAACTTTTATTTTCCTGGAAACAACCCCTTGAAAGCTTCTGATTAAGTTGATAAGAAAAAAGAAACGAAACAAAACGTGAAATTATGGAAAATTTCCCAACATTCATAACGCTACGTGACCAACTACCCTACTAAATCACTGAAAACCCGTCATTTTTCTGGAAACAACACCTTGAAAGCTTCTAATTAAGGTGAGAGGCGAGATATAATTATGCTAGATGATGGGAAAGCAAAAAAAGTTATAACTGTTTTTCTCAATTTTTAATATTTTAGGTGAAAAATTACACTACTAAATCACAGCGAGAGCTTCATTTATCTGTAAAAAACACCTTTAAAGCTTCTGATTAAGTTGAGAAGAAAAAAAAAACAAAACAAAACGTGAAATTATGGAAACTTTTATTCCCAAACACGCCAGGTACTCAATGATAGTATGAAATCACAGAAAAGGCCTTGAAAGCTTCCAATTAAGGAGAGAGCTGAGTGATAATTACACTAATTGACGGACGGAAAACGCGAAAAAAGAGTTGCGTGAGGAGCCGTGAGAAAAAAAGGGAGACGGGACGAGGTTTTGGAGGCCCCGAGGGCGACTCGAGAGCCGAGACTCGCGCACGCTCACACGCAATCAGCCAAGGTTTATGAGCGGTCCGTTGAGGACCTCGAATTATTCACGGCTGCCACGAATTCTCGAGGTGAGCCCCTCCTCAGCACCTCTTCTCTCGTAAGCTTCAGATTTTTAAAAATACGGTAG